AACTACAACTGGTCCAACTGCATCTACTGAAACTACTCCAACCACCGCATCAACCACAACCACAACCACAAACACAACCACCCACTAATCCAAACATAACCACCATCACTCTACCCACATCACCCTACACATCTATCAACACGTCCACAACAACATCCACCAGCATCACAACTACACCAGCCACACTCAACGCTACCACTCTACCAACAACCCTCAACACCGCAACCGCAACCGCAACCACAACCACAACCACAACCACAAACACCACTCCTCTCACAATCACACTCAACGCCACAACAACTTCCATCACACCAGCATCACAATCTGCACCAATCGATGCGAGCACAACTCAAACTCAAACCAACCTCACAACTACAACTGGTCCAACTGCATCTACTGAAACTACTCCATCCACCGCATCAACCACAACCACTAATCCAAACATAACCACCATCACTCTACCCACATCACCCTACACATCTATCAACACGTCCACAACAACATCCACCAGCATCACAACCACACCATCCACACTCAACGCAACCACTCTGACAACAACCCTCAACACCGCAACCGCAAACGCTACCGCAACCGCAACCACAACCACAACCACAAACACCACTCCTCTCACAATCACACTCAACGCCACAACAACTTCCATCACACCAGCATCACAATCTGCACCAATCGATGCGAGCACAACTCAAACTCAAACTCCAACCAACCTCACAACTACAACTGGTCCAACTGCATCTACTGAAACTACTCCATCCACCGCATCAACCACAACCACTAATCCAAACATAACCACCATCACTCTACCCACAACACCCTACACATCTATCAACACGTCCACAACAACATCCACCAGCATCACAACTACACCATCCACACTCAACGCAACCACTCTGACAACAACCCTCAACACCGCAACCGCAAACGCACCGCAACCGCAACTGCAACCACAACCACAAACACCACTCCTCTCACAATCACACTCAACGCCACAACAACTTCCATCACACCAGCATCACAATCTGCACCAATCGATGCGAGCACAACAACTCAAACTCAAACCAACCTCACAACTACAACTGGTCCAACTGCATCTACTGAAACTACTCCATCCACCGCATCAACCACAACCACAACCACAACCACAACCACTAATCCAAACATAACCACCATCACTCTACCCACAACACCCTACACATCTATCAACACGTCCACAACAACATCCACCAGCATCACAACTACACCAGTCACACTCAACGCTACCACTCTGACAACAACCCTCAACACCGCAACCGCAAACGCACCGCAACCGCAACTGCAACCACAACAACAAACACCACTCCTCTCACAATCACACTCAACGCCACAACAACTTCCATCACACCAGCATCACAATCTGCATCAATCAATGCAAGCACAACTCAAACTCAAACAAACATCACCACTAAAACTGGTCCAACTGCATCTACTGAAACTACTCCATCCACCGCATCAACCACAACCACTAATCCAAACATAACCACCATCACTCTACCCACATCATCCTACACATCTATCAACACGTCCACAACAACATCCACCAGCATCACAACCACACCATCCACACTCAACGCAACCACTCTGACAACAACCCTCAACACCGCAACCGCAACGCTACCGCAACCGCAACCGCAACCGCAACCACAACCACAAACACCACTCCTCTCACAATCACACTCAACGCCACAAGAACTTCCATCACACCAGCATCACAATCTGCACCAATCGATGCGAGCACAACTCAAACTCAAACCAACCTCACAACTACAACTGGTCCAACTGCATCTACTGAAACTACTCCAACCACCGCATCAACCACAACCACAACCACAAACACAACCACAACCAAAACCACTAATCCAAACATAACCACCATCACTCTACCCACATCATCCTACACATCTATCAACACGTCCACAACAACATCCACCAGCATCACAACCACACCATCCACACTCAACGCAACCACTCTGACAACAACCCTCAACACCGCAACCGCAACCGCAACCGCAACCACAAACACCACTCCTCTCACAATCACACTCAGCGCCACAACAACTTCCATCACACCAGCATCACAATCTGCACCAATCGATGCGAGCACAACTCAAACTCAAACCAACCTCACAACTACAACTGGTCCAACTGCATCTACTGAAACTACTCCATCCACCGCATCAACCACAACCACAACCACAACCACAACCACTAATCCAAACATAACCACCATCACTCTACCCACAACACCCTACACATCTATCAACACGTCCACAACAACATCCACCAGCATCACAACTACACCAGTCACACTCAACGCTACCACTCTGACAACAACCCTCAACACCGCAACCGCAAACGCTACCGAACCGCAACTGCAACCACAACCATAAACACCACTCCTCTCACAATCACACTCAACGCCACAAGAACTTCCATCACACCAGCATCACAATCTGCATCAATCAATTTCAACACATCTCAGATTTCAATTACGCTCGGTACTGCAACTGTTTCTACTCTCTCTACATCTGCTCTCGCTAGTACATCATTTTCTCCTCCTAATAATTTTTCGGGTGAGTGCACACTCTTTTGGTTTTTTTCAATGCATTATAATTTTATTTTGTGTAGTTACGAGCTCACCTTTTTTTCCCTTTAGTTTTCCATGTATTTGTTTTTTGTCGTCGTCACTGTTTCTTATTTCCTTTATGCGCTCATTAAATCTTATGTGTAGATGATGACTTCAAGTAAAAAATCTATTCTACATATTATTGAATACCCTAATCATTTGTTCATTGGTGAAATATTCAAACTGATCATTTATACTGTTTAACTAATCTCAGTTTGTGATGTTTATAATCCACATTATAACTAACTAAATGGTACATTATTATATATTGTGCACAAGACTTTGATCATTATTCATTCTGCATATTTGGTGGATACATGAACTAAGAATGATGATTGATAACATTTATAAAAATGATGTATTCTCTTATTAGATAATTGAAACAATATGCTCTGATAATCATGTTCCATATTCGAACCCCGTCTTATCTATTTTGACTTTTGCAACCACTTAGTATATCTTTATTCTTTAATACAATGCACATTTACCTGATTAGTGGTTTTGTTAAAAATTTCATTTTTATTCAGTCTCAGCAGTGTTTAGTTGACTTCATGGCTTTCGATGTAACTCAGCTTTCACGAAGATGTGTCATAACTCTTCTAAATGAAGACTTCCTCACTCCCAGGGCAGATTTTTTAATGGTTTGACTTAGATTTTCTTATTAGCGTTTTCTAGCGAGTTATTTTTCGACGGAATTATGTCACTAACCCCATGCCAAACTGTCCTGCTTTATACGGGCTCGGAACTGGTAGAAGCCTAAAAGGGGCTGTAGGCGGAGTTAAATACATATAACCTTATTATTAAGCATTAAAGTGATAATATTTCATAATGGTTGATCCGATCAATACAGTGAAACTTTCAATCAATAAATTCAACCAATCAATTTCAATCATTAGCATAAAAATAACAAGAAAATATCAAGGAAAATTACATCAATCAATGAAGACAATGTTGGAATGATGATAGTACTGAAGACCCAGTAATTAATCTCTATTTTCTTTCCTTCTTTTATTTAAAAAGAATGAACGAATTCATTAAAACAATATTCTGATGAACAAGTTTTAATCATGCAAGTGAAATTACTGTTAACAATCTCTAATCCTACTTCTTTGATGCTTTATGCATCTAGATCTTGGTCAAGGTGATAAATTTTTAGTATACATAGATATATTACTTATATTATTTATGAGTAGTCGAAAAGTATACGCCAAATCTATTCATAATATCAAGCATGTGGTTTTTATTTGTTTGACAGGAAAAGTGAGTGATATGCCTATTAGACTTGATGATGTGTTAAAATTCTAAATAGATTTGTTGTAAGTTGAGTAATATCATTATTGTTAAACTGATTTTAAGTCTAAATTCATTTGGTATTGCTTTCTTGTATATCTACCCATTGATGTTTAGGATCGTGATTGATCAATCTCTTGTTGGCATATGTGTATTCTGTTCGGATTGCCTCGATATTGCCTTAATTCACAAGCTTTATAATCAAAGATGGATGGTGGATAGTAGTGTAATTCAAGATGTACGCTACTTCATCCTAGTTGGGACTCGTCAGCTGGATAGACTGGCATCAATTACAGTCCTAAACAACGATGGGAAGATAAAAGTAAACAATACCAAATGAATTTAAGCTTCATCTCATTGAACAAGCATGTGACTATTAGGAGTCATTAGCTAAGTGGACAACGCGATGATGTTTGAGGCGAACAGCATTGTATTTGAGTCTCTGAGCGAACATCAACTCTTGAATGAAGATATATGAAGTGGCACGCGTCCCGGATTACACTGCTAACCACCATCTATCACTCATTATGATGCTTATGACTTCATGTAATATCAAGGTAATTTGTATAGGATGTATATATGCCAATTAGAAATTGATCAATTATAGTCCTGAACATCAATGGGAGGATTCGAACAACCGATGAAAATTTTATTATTATTATAATTATTATTATTATCCAGTCAAGTGATTGAGGAGTGTTCGTTCCGTTTCGATGCCGATGACAACAAACAATCATTGTATATGCACCAGGAATAGATTCTCTAAAATATTCGGAACTATGTCAACAGATTTATTGATGTGGTCAGTTGTCTAATTTAAGCATATTGAATTGAAGAATATTTGAGATAAAGTATTGAATGACATAATTTATGTGCTTGGCCTAACAGATACATAATTAGACTACTGAATTCGATTATTATTTCTTGTTAAAACATTAGTAATGAAAACAATTTAGAGAAAAGTATGATTTAGATTGAAGCTATATCATTTGCATTATCTGTGAATTGTTCATTATCTAATTGTAACAATATGTTTTACCTTAAACCAGGGGAAATTATACCTACTACTCCTGCTCCTCCTACTAATACTACGACTACTACTCAGTCAACGACAAAACCAACAACAGTAACAGCACAACCGCAGGTAGACGTGTTATCGACGACGACGACGACGACTACAACGACAACAAAATCGTCTGACACAACAACACCAACCTATGATGGAGTACCTACATACAGTTTTGTTGAATTTTCTCTGACAACGAAACCGTCAACAGCAATCGCACCGGTTATGCTACCACTCGGTTAGTTAACTTGTACAATTTTATCGACTATGAACTGTTTAAAATAATATTTATGCCAACTGACTGAAAAAGATGAATAAGATAGCATGACTGGGATAATAATAATCGATGAATTACTTTGTTTGTTGACGATAGTTTCTTCATTGAACGTTTGGAAGAACTATATTTTCTATTGATCGTTGAAGCAAAGGAACGGGCAGTAAATACTAAAAACTGTAAACTCTGAAAAATGCAATTCCTCTTTCCGATGCCTACCTTTATTAATATCACTTTTTCTTATGATTGTACCTGTTAATGCTCAAACTTTTAGTGTGAACCATTAAAACTATATGATTCTAGTCAGCTAGTCACTAACTTGATAAAATGACTATCAGTTTACTCAATTACACCTTGTTATAACTTGTAGCCTGTGTGCCTTATTAATGTATAATGTAAAGATACCGCCAATTAGAGAGCAGTGAATTATCGATCGAACCAATGACACCTAAAACCTGTACGAGCAGTCTAGAGTACTTATTGATCCTGCTTCTTGCCTAGCTCAGCCCGTTAAGTCCAGAAAACCAATCCCAGCCTCTGCAATACGAACCATTTATTTCAAGCATACTGGGTTTATATATCAACCAGACAGACCACATCGTACCATAAAATAGGAAACAACATTTGTACAAGATTTAGCCAAAAGTGGCTGTGAATGTGGGAGATAGTAATTGATAGATTGGGTATAACTCATGAATGGTAAATCGTATAATAATAGTTCATAGGTCAAAATAAAGCTCATAATAAAAGGGACACGGATATGAATAGTTTAGTTACATAACAATTATGCGATCAAAATATGCGCATAGTATGAGTCCATAAATAGATTCCAACAGTTACCATTCATTATGCTTATAGGGGGCTCCTTATCAGGAATCTCCTAAATAATCTGTTCTAGCCACTTTTATCCAATTGTTTCCAAGTACTATAAACTACTAATATTTGAATTCGATTTTGTATTGGTTATTCAAATCTTACCATTAATTTGTCTCTAATCGGTATATGTGCATTCTGTACAGATCACCTTGATATTGCCTTAAGTCATAAACATTATAAAGATAAATACATGATAACTAGTAGTGAAATCCAAGATGCATGCACCATTTCATCTTATTTAAGATTGATCATCTAAGATATATCTTTATCACACAGTTGATATTCACTTCAGGACTCGAACCCAGAAACAGTTTATGATAACAAATTTTAAAATATTCCATCATTATTTCTTATTTCATTTCAATTCTATTTCAGTTTCTACTAAATTCAATGTTAAATCAAATTTATATAATCAAGTTAATGATACACCAGTTGAATGGATTGAAGAATATGCCAATACAAGTTCACCTGGTTATGCTAATTTAAAATCAAAATATTGTGATTTAGTATGTTTAAGTCTTTAATAACAGTCTCTCTCTTTTTTCTTTGTATTTCATCATGTTCTTTTTTTTATATTTTATTGTACTATACATAATTACGTAACTGATTACTTTCAAATGATTTACCTATAACGAGAACATCAGTAGGGACAATCAAATGTTGGTCTCCAAGATGTATATCCTGAAGTTGTAGTGAGAAACCGTGACCAGTGGAGTTCAACCGGATCTGTTGTAAGATAGTAAATCACTGACGATAATGGTGGACGGTGGAGCGACTTCATGGATTGATTGAAGTTAAACACTAACACTGTTGGATACCAGCCTGTTCAATGGTCTAGTGGTTAAGCGCTTACACGCGAGACTGATAGGTCCTGGGTTTGAATCTCACGAGGTGGGATCGTGGATGCGCACTGCTGATAAGTCCCACAGTAGGACGAAACGACCTTAAGATTCGAATAATCAATACAGAAATGATTTAAGTTATATAAGAGGTTAAGCTCTGATGAGTTCTTTAGTCCTGATCTGATTCTATTAGTATAATTAATTCAACACTACATGTCCAATTACGGAAGATAGTCGGTCGACAAACTTTGCACTGAGTGTCATGTGATTTCTAAACGTTTCAGTCCTACAGAATTTCATTGACGACATGGATATCTTAGTAGTTCTATCATAGACTGTGAAACTGTTTAGTTGAGAGCTCGATCCACTAGGAAACATCGGTTCCTTCAAGACTTCTACATTCAACAGACCAATATCAAATTGAATAAGTCTGGATAACTCATCAGTTTACTTAATAAAGTCGTGATTTTGTAATTGTGCCATTTCCAAACTGACAAAGATTGTTACTATTTGCGTCCTAATTCTGATAGTAATTTATTATTGTACTTACAACATTATTGACAATATACATCAGAAATCTCCAACCATCTTTCTATTAGACGCTAATAAACCCCTTGGTTTTCATTATTACTATATTTGATCCCAATCTCTGAGGTGAACAAACTTTAAAAGTTATTATGCTTAATGTTTTAATCGTATTGTTTCATTTTTTTTCTCCCTGCTTTTGAAATATATATTACTAACAACGATAGTTAACATACTACTTAAAACAAGGTGATAGTAATGCAGCAGATGGTGCAAGTTGTGAACAAGTGACTTTTACACCAGTAACTAGTACTAGACCAGATGGTACAGTGGTACGAACTGTAAAAGGTGATTCAACGATTAATGTACCAACAACAACAGGAACACAATTAACGGGTAATCAACTTTATGGATTATTTATAAATGGATATAATAAAACTAGTACAGCACCATCATCTATTAAACTAAATGCATTAGATGTTCAACGTAAGTAAAATTATTTAATTCTATGTGTTAAAATTTGTCTTTATTTGTTATTGAGATTCATATCCTACTTAGTCAGTTCGTTAGTTGCTATGCAGAATTTGGTACATATGTATATCCGCTCAGATTATTATACCCCATTAATACAATGAGATGAAATTGTCAAAACTAATCCCAGAGCAGTAAAGACAGTAGTAGTAGTATTATTGGTAATCAAAAAGATTAAACACTCAAGATTCAATACAAGAAGAAAATATAGATTAATGAAATAATGATAGAAGTTTATGAGGAATTAAGAAAGTTAGGATCCAAAAGAAGATGAATAAAAGATTATAGTAAATGTATCTGAGACATTGTGGACGATTTTCAGCTATGTCACTCAAAGTCTCGAACTATTGGTCACGAGAAACATACAGATCCTAAGGAGGTAATATGTGTCTACTTACTGTTGGAGCTACTTATATCATCATTATATATTGAATAGATAACTTTATTGTTGTGTTTCTATGTTGTTGTTCTTACTGCAATTGGATTGTGTTATGGCTTTATATTGCGCTAATTGTTGTGTCCTTGACTGGAAAATTAGAGAGCAGCGTACTTATCGATCGATTACAGTGACACGTAAACACGAACGAACGGCCTAGAGTCTCGATTGGTCTCGCTTCCCTGTCTAACCTAGTCAGTTGAGTCCAGAACACAAGTCACAACCTCTGAGATATGAATCATTGTATTTCAGACATACTCTATTTATATACTAACCAAACATACCACATCGTACCATAAAAATAGAAAACAACATTTTGTACAATATTCAACAAGTGAACAGATACCGACCAATAGGAAATGTCCATTTAAAGTCCAAGGACACAATTGGACTTAACATGATAATTATTGGTCTATTCCTCCATATCCACAACAGATTGCATTATATATTTTCCTAGTCTCTAATAACTTCTAGCTAATCATGTGCCTTTTGCTCCAGCCTCTACGTTTTATGGTATAGTTGTATTAAAGATGGGGTTTCTTATTCAATGTACTGTGTGGTGAAGTATTTCATATCTATTATTACATACGTTTTAAGTAATAAATGAATGGAATACAATGGACAACTAATCCGTTTACTATTATCGTTTACGGATAGATTATAAGAGACTCGAGTACTAAAAAGCATTTAAGCCTTGATTATGGTTCATTGGTTGATGTGTTTATTCTTGAAATAGTAAATTACTGGTTAGACTGTGAATATAGTATATGATATTGATTAGAATGTTCAACCATAACAAATTAGCGTTCCTAATAACGTCCAATCAAACAGTCACGTTCAATCACAATTGATTGATCACTGGGTGGTGATCAATGTCATGCTTGTCTAGTCCTTATTAGTGCAGATCGAATGCTATCGATCATGTTGCAATGTGGCCAACAGTGTAGGTGACTCGACACTGCGGGCACTATGTATCGAGATTTAGATGGTGGTTGGAGGTAGTCAACAGGAAAGCCTGGACCCGGGTTTAGTGCTACTTGGCACTCGTCAGCAAGGTGTACCTGTAATCTTCAGGGAACTGATGCTCCCTGGCGAATTCGATCTCGTGTCACCCAGCTTCACAGTCAGAGACGTTACCACTGAGCTATCTGAGTCGTGACTAACCTCCTGTAGGACTGAGATGGAATCACAATTGATTGATCACTGGGTGATCGATAGCATTCGATCTGCACTAATAAGGACTAGACAAGCATGACATTGATCACCACCCAGTGATCAATCAATTGTGATTCCATCTCAGTCCTACAGGAGGTTAGTCACGACTCGGATAGCTCAGTGGTAACGTCTCTGACTGTGAAGCTGGGTGACACGAGATCGAATTCGCCAGGGAGCATCAGTTCCCTGAAGATTACAGGTACACCTTGCTGACGAGTGCCAAGTAGCACTAAACCCGGGTCCAGGCTTTCCTGTTGACTACCTCCAACCACCATCTAAATCTCAGTCACGTTCAAATCAATCAACTGAATTGAATTGCATACTTTACTTCATAAACTATAAATAACCTCACTCTAGATCAAACCCAGGAATCACAGGCCTGGTAGCAAGTGTTTAACATCTAGACTACTGAGAAAAAATCAAACTTTACATTTCTCACTTCAATCAATTTGCGATATTGTACAACTAATTTCTAATATCATCATTGACTGATTGTATAATATTCGATATGACTGAAATCTACTTCTTACAGTTTCACATTAGAACACCAGGAATTGATTGTACTGATGAACATAATGATTATCATTAGTAGAACTGGTTTTCAGGAAGTGTTGAATTCGTTATGGAAACTATAAAACTCAAAATTCTTCACAGACCCTTTCTACTAATAAGTTTAAATGTGGAAATTAACTATTAATTACTGAAATTGATCTGTGGGTAAGGTGAATAACAATTGATCATTTGCTTAGTCAGATCAGCAGAGATGGTCTAATAGGTGTTAGATGAATTATATATTCTCCTATCTTTATTATTAGTGTGATTGTTGTTGGGTTTTGGTGTGGAGGCATACTTACGTTCTAGTCAGCCTAGTCATGTATTTTTGATCTGAATTACGTTGAAGTACATTAGAATAGAAAATGGAATGGTATGTAGTATAGATATTCGTCTATAGGAAATTAACGTCCTATTCGTGTAGACGAGGAAACTTACGTATGTTACTCCTCATGAAGGAGCGTAGGCATTCTCCATCCAACCCTGTCCTGGGCAATCCTTTCCAGCTCCTTCCAGTTGTTATTCATTCTTTCCATATCTGCTTCTATTTCCAGACGTAATGTGTTCTTTAGCCTTCTTATTTTCTGCTTCCCCTCAGGATTCCAAGTTAGGGCTTGTTTCGTGATGCAGTTTGACGATGTGCGTAATGTATGTCCTATCCACTTCCAACATCTTTTCCTAATTTCCTCTTCAGCTGGAAGTCGGTTATAGACAAAGAAAACAGAGTATTATAACAGAAATAATTTATTTTTAATCAATCTAAAACTTTGTCAAACAAAACTATCAAACTGGTATACTTTGTTTTCATTTGAGTTATAACATTGCCCAATATTGATTTTGTCTTTTATTAAAAACACTTACTATAATAGGCACTTCAGGTACAGTTACATGTTCACAATTTACTAATCCATGTGGAGAACATGCTACATGCCGTGATTCTCCTCCAGGAATTACTTGCTTTTGTAATTCTATGTGGAAAGATATGAATCCAAATGATCCTGGAAAACAATGTGCTTGTAAGTAATGCAGATTTGATTATTCATATTATATACCTAAGCATTTTTGAATCCAAGTTAATTTTGTTACATTGATTGTTTCCCATTTAAAAACACCGATTGAACGCATAACATAAAAATATATATAATATTTGATTAACATTGATTAGTGACCAATGAAAATCTGGAAGCACTGAACGGCCGTTTTGTCCTAGTGTGAGACTCCTCGGCAGTGTGCATCCACGATCCCGCTCGCGGGATCCGAACACACGACCTCCGGTCTCGTGCGCGAACGCTTAATCTCTAGACCACCGATTCGGGATCCGACAGTGTTAATGTCAACCGATCCAAGAGATCGCGTGACCATCTTCCATTTTACTGAGGTAGATACTTGTCTCTACCTGACATGGATTAGCTCTGCTAATCAATTTTCAATGAAAGAAAGATATTTAGCATTTTTTGACCATTTTCCGTTCATTTAGCGTGTCACTGTTATGTAACAGAGTAATTTTCAATGGAGACTTAATTTTCATCATCTAAAGTTAACTACATATTTTCTTCTGTGAACAGTCTACTGTAGCGCATCCCAGTCTGCCGGATATAAAAAATCAAATGAAGCTAAAGTTAGGGCATGAAATGAAGTCCTCAATGAAAAGTAATCTCCTATAGGGTAACATTTACTCATTAAGTTAATGGAAAAATACTAGATCTTCCATATTTATTAAACATTTTAAGGCAGAGACCCCATCAGTTCACAGGTATGTATCCTGATACACATTGCCAAGTCAAATAACACTCAATTGTTTCAGATATACATTGTCTTAATGACCTTGGATGGTCATTGAATGAACGCACAAATAATAAATACAATGATAAATTCCTTGATCTGTATAGATCTAATATTTTGACAACCTCAATCTTTCACCTACTATATACCTTATTATCTCATCAGTTATAAATTAAAAGTATGTGATCATTACCATTAGAATTAACAACCAAAATCGGACAGAGTAACCTGATTCCTGGAGTTGTATTTGATTTCGGTTGTGTGTACTTAAATCATTGATATTAAGAATTTGGACAAAAGATTTTCCAACATCTTCTTACCAGTTACCCATTCACAAGTAACTTTTTCAACCTGGAAACGTATAAGGAGTATGTTTGACGCTCGTTTCCTAACTATGATTCTCTCTTTGACACTATACCAAGACCACTAGTACTTCATAAGTTCACTATCGTTAACACTGACAGCTGAATATACCGACACACTGCGTTCTTACGTGTCTGGAAAAGAACAGCACATTGTACTTTGCGTAACCTTCACCCATTACCTGAGGTGAATAACTATCTGACACACAAAACGGACTGAACTCTTTTGGTTATGGCTTCTCAGTAGAAATACAGGAGTTACCTATTGTTCAACTAACTCATATCATACAAATAATTCACTAGTGACTTTGTATTTTGATAGAAAGTAATTTAACATAATGATGTCAAATTGAGATTTGCAGTCATTTGTAGCGTGGCGTCGAGTTGAAATTGACTATGAACACCGCCAAACAAATCAGAAGCCGAAGGTTGAATGTAACCAAATAAATCCATAAAATCCCCGAGAAGCCAAATATCAGAAAGCAGTTAATGGACCAAATCGAGATATATTTGCTGGCGATCTCGTGGTATCGAAAGGATACCGAGATCGTGCCATGATACAAGCTTGGTTACAGAAAGTAACCGAATTCGCGTGGAGTCACAATCAAAGTGTAAGAATAAGAATGGAAGCACAATATAGCTGTCATTAGCACAGTCAAACAAAAGCACATTAAAACAAACACTGGTACAGTTGGTTATAATAATAACTGTTTTTATTAAACCAGTCGTGTTCTCGTGATAAATGTGAGTCATTACACATTAATCAGACTGATCTTAGTTGGGTCAGCATTAAAAACCAAAGAACACTTGGGATCTATTATGACTTGTGGTGTTCAGATAATGTTAGAAGTGAAATTATTGTATTACCGATGGTGTTGAATGAATGTAGCACACATCACAAATTGACTAAGGATGGAAGTGTACATGTAGTTGAAGGTTCACTATGAGACATAAGAGTCCTGAGTTTAGTTCTTGAAAGGATCATAGATGTACACTGTTCAGGAATCCAATACTAATACGAAATAACTAACTATCCAGTATTTAATCATTTGAAATTGAATGGAGATATCAACAGAGTTATTAGCACTTAGAAATAACCGAAAAGTAGAACTTAGGAGAGAGTGGGTTAAAGATTCCTGATAAGTGAGTTATGTTACACGAAGAATTACAGATATAAGTAGGTAGTCAAGTAAAACTTGTCAATTTACAAGACTCTCTCCAATTCCGATTAGCCTATGATGAATACAATCTATGTTATTATAACTTAACTATTATGTAATATGATCTAATCTATGTAACTAAAATAGAATTATTTATTTACTTTTTATCTTCTATTTTCATTGTAGTACATCCAGCTGCAATTGCATTAATTGTTTTAGCATCATTACTATTATTGGCTGCATTGATCTTATTACTTATTTGTTTATTACGTAGACGTCGACGAAGGAATAGTTCCATTTTAGCATCAACTGATTTAGCAACATTGAATAAGCTAAAAGAAACTAAATCATGGAGATCAAAGTTAGATAAAAATAAAATTCAACTTGATGGAGATCAGTAAGTGTTCTGTATGAATAGGAAATAGATATATATATAGATGGGTGTGATTATCTTTTTCTAAAGAGATAGAGTCCTGCCTATTACTCCTTGTGGAGGAGCATAAGCCTCCCACTAGCACTAATTATTTTTCCTGGTTAGTGTTTTTTTTAACGAGTTAGTTGTCTATGGGATTTGGTCGCTAACTCCATGTCCAATCCTCTTCTTTTACCCGAACTTGGAACCGACAGTAACTCTAGAAGAGCTACAGGCGAGGTTGATTATTTTTTCTAGCTCGACCAACTTCGCAATTTCGTGGATTGGTTGATGTTAGAAACTGTCACCATTGGATGCCGGCTCAGTGGTCCAGTTGGTTAAGCGTTCGCGCGCGAGACCGAAAGCCCCGGGTTCGAATCCCGCTCGCGGGATCGTGGATGCGAACTACTGAGGAGTCCCACAATAGGACGAAACGGCCGTCCAGTGCTTCCACGTTTCCAATTGTGATGGTCTAATATCAATCGGTTCATGATCTCAGTCAAAAACTTAATAATCTCCACAACCCCTATACTAATAAATGATGTGACATATGATATCCGACACTTGGATTACTCTAATTCAAACACGATTGAATTCATGAGTCAATTAAAACTAGACCATCATGGAAAACTTGAAAGCATTGGATGACCTTTTTGTCCTAGTAAGGCACTTTTTAGTGGTAGTGCGCATCCACGATCTCGCTCGAAGGATTCAAACCCAAGGCCTATCGGTCTCGTACGTGAACATTTAACCTCTAGACCACTGAGCCGGCCGGCATCCAACAGTGTTAATGTTAACTTCAACCAATTCAGGATATTGTGAGACCGTCCATCATTGTCTTCATTGAGTTATTATCCCATGACAGACCTGGTAGAACTCCATTGGTCACAGCTTCTCACTAGAACTCCAGGAAATACTTCTTTCTCATTAAGTTCTACAATTATATATTCAACTTTATAATCTATAAAACTGGCTAGGTCCTAGGCAAAGTACATATAAAATTGTAGCATGTGAATCAAGGATTATTTGCCATCGTTAGTGTTGGGATGACTAATATGAAGTGTTAGCTTGAAATGAATGATCAGAATAAGCACGGTCAACATGGGGTGAGAGAGAAAGAATAGTGTAATTACAAATCGAAAATTACGTAATACGTAGAATAAGATAGATCAGGCAAGAATTGATGTATGACAACTTGAACATACTGTGGGAGAGAACAAACCAGATTCCAGTGGAGGAAGAAATCAGAAAGAAGCAGTGGAAGTGGATAAGACATAGATTGAGGAAAGCACCCAACTGCGTCACAAAACAAGCCCCCACATGAAACCCTCAAGGCCAAAGAAGAAGAAGAAGACCAAAGAACACATTACGTCGAGAAATGGAGACAGACATGAGAAGAATGAACAACAACTGGATAGAACTAGAAAGGAAGGTCCAGGACAGAGTGAGTTGGATAATGGTGGTCGACAGCCTGTGCTCCATTGTAGGTAACAGGCGTAAGTAAATAAGTACGTAAGTAATTAATATTACCTCGATTAACGAGACGAAATTCCCCTACTATGTATTTTATTCACATGATTTATTGTATTAATATTATATTCAGAACAACTTGACACTTTATTACGAATCATTCTGATCTTTATTAAATGACCTTTCCAAATTATAAATAACACAACATTGAAGTACTTATGTTGTAATAGATGAAAAAGTTCACCATTTTTTACGCATAATTCCTTAACGTATCCCTTATTTTGGCTGTCGAAAGTTAATGCATTGACCTAACATTGATCAGTTCATGAAACTATGCTTCACTGGATGTTTGTAGAGTAGTTTTAAAACGGATACTAACCGCTTTGTTACAGTATGATAAGAGGAATCGTGCACGTCCAAAATTAGTCTCAAAGGGATATCCGGTTTGTGTACCTTCAGTAGTTCGTCTAACGTAGATAAATAGGTAACTATCGGCTTAACATATCGTGTTAACAGCAGTTTATCTAATTCCGTCAGAGTGAGAATCCTGCAGACGGCTGAAGCAATTGCTATTCGGATAAAAAACAATCAAAGTTTTTCATCTGAAAGAAATATGTTCAACCGCTCCTTTTACTCTGGCCGACTTCGGGCTCAACTAGTTAAAAATCAATTTTATGATATGATGACATAATTTGAATGATGTCCATTTTTATATCTTAAACTTATCTTATTCACACATCTTACCATTGTCATCATTATCATTACACTTACTAACCTTTCTGAGACACTTATTCAGCATTCGCTCTTATCTGCTAATGCGTGCCCTACTTACTTACTTACGTACTCACTTGTTTACTTGCGCCTGTTACCCACAATGGAGAATAGGCCACTGACCACCACTCTACAACTCACTCTGTCTCACAGTTGGTTGTTGCTGATAATGTCTGGTCAACGGATCCGACGTATCTTGAGTAGACAACTGTTAATAAACAATTGTATCTTCTGGATGATGGCTTTCATAGTTCTCCAAGTTTCCGCTCCATACAGCAGAACCATGGATATAATATGTCAAAGTAATTATTATAGATAACTCATGTGAATTGGGAAATCTGAATGGGTAGATTAAAAAAGTTATAAGCACTTAAGCTATTCGGAGGTGTGATACGACGTTTATAACATCCAGTTTATGTATCTAGTGATCTAGTTGTGGACGAAGGTAAACATAGGGGCTAGATATACCTCTTTTGGATACATAAGTCAGATTTTCAGGAGTTGATCCAGGGGGCTTCAGGTGTGTAGAAGAATCGTAATCTCGCTCCGTTATGTAGATTGTTAAGAGCTTGATAAAAAAAATAGGGAAAGCTTCGTCTATTTTTATATTCTGTTCACTATCTGTCAAATGAGAAAAAATGACGCTGTTAACAGATTTCGTGATTTCTTTTGCCAAACATGCTGGTACATGTTCACCAGCAAGCAAGGATAAAGCCCTCTGAGTATGCCCTGTGTAACTATCTCCACAGGAGCAGTTAAATTGATGTACACAAATGGAGGACCTCATTATCAGTAACCTATCCTTAATTTGTTGTGCAAGTACTAGTTTGTTTGAGAAGATTATATGTAACTCGGTGCTATAAAATACCATTTCATTAGATTGTTTGAGTCGACTTGTTAAAATATTACTCGCTATGTCCCCATTAAAATCAAGTTTTTTGGTTGGATTTTGTTCTGTTTTTACCTTCTGACAGAAATTTCGTACATAATTATCTGGATATCCATTATTTCGTAACGCGTTCTTTAATTTATCTATTTCGCTATCTACATTGTTCTCAGGATATAATAGTTTGATTTTGTGACCTTTTGGTTTACCAGTATGAGGTTGTGGAAATCGTTGAATTTAATTGAGATTGATGACCGGTCTAAGTTAAACACAAACACTGGGAAGCTGTTTCGTTCAGGGATGAAGCTGTTCATCGATGTGTATCCACGGACCTACACCTGAAGACAAAAAGAAAGAACCACGATTTCGCGAACGGTCGCTAATCCTTGAAACTACAGGGCCAGAATTCAATAGTGTACAGGTTTAACTTCAATCGACTGACGATATTGAGTTACTTTGTCCAATTTTCTTCCATAACTACGTTATCCATAACCAACACAGTTGAAATTCACTAGAACTCTTGAGATTTCCTCTCAGAGCTAGTCACTAGTGAGCACATGATAATTATCATTACGGCTCTGTGGAGATTACGAACCGATCTAGTGAGATATATCTACCAAGACACATTTGCATGAGATTCTTAATTTATTATGTTTTTGTAGGTCCATTTCAATGGCTCGTGCTTCAGTGACAGATAGCCCAATAGCATTAACATCTATTCCAGCGTCGTGAGTTATAAGTTGATTTGAGTTTATGATTAACTAGAGTATTCATGCCGTTAACTGATGTAATTGGATAAATTTTGTTATACCAGCATAGGAAAATGATAAACCAACTTATCCACTATTATGAAAATATGGTTTTCTTACATGTCCCTTAGTCGATTGATGGATAAGAATCCGGGCTCTGATTCTGTATACGTGTAGTAAACGTTTTCATTAACAAACAAACAGTCTAAGCTTTGACATATGATATGCTTCGATAGACAACGGCCAACATTAAAATGCCACTAGTGGATCATCATGCATGCCTTTCTTCTATCCTAAAATCTAGTCCAAAATGAAAACATAGTGAGCACGGAAAACTATTATTATTATTATTATATTTCAAACCATCATGGATTTATGAAGATGATCATTTGAACCACGACAGATCCTAAGCAAGGGAACATAATTTTTGCAATGAGATGATCACTGGATAGTAATCAATGTTATGTATGTCAGATCCTTCTTAGTGCGTATCGAATTTTATCGATCAAGTTGTGATGTGACTACCAGTATAGGTGACTCAATATCGTGTGCACTATGCTGAGATACAAGGTGGTGGTTGGAGGTAGTTGACAAAAACCCTGGACCTAGGCTTCATGTTACTTGTCACTCGTTACGATGGTGTATCTGTATCTATCATAGCCCATTGATCGGTCAATTATAGATACATCTCAGTCTTGCAGAAAGTGAGTCGGTGTCCGGATAGTTTTGTGAAAAAGTCTCTGACTGTGGAGTAGGGTGGCATGGCTTCCAATCCATCGAATTTCATCAATTTTCTTGATGCTACGTGTACGTCTTGCTGATGAGTACCAATTAGCACAAAACCTATGTTCATAGTTTCTTGTTGACTTCCTGTAACTACTTCCTTAAAAATCGTACTTTTTATACAATTGAACTACAGTATTTTAAAGACATGAACCAATAAGTGAATAATCAGTAAACACCAATCAGAATACTGGTAAACGCTTGACAATAGTTACGCTATCTGACAGTCACTTAGAGTTTATAGAATATGAGCATATAATAGTCTATTTCATTAGAAAACTGTCTAACAGTAATAATAATAATAATCAGTAAAATGGTTAGGAGAATTTAATACTCAATTTGTTTCATTGAGATCATGAATCGATTGGCGTTAGATCACTATTGATAACCTGGAAGCACTGGACGACCGTTTCAACTCATTATGGGACTCCTCAGCAGTGCGTATCCATGACCCCGCTTGCGGGATTCAGACCCAGGACCTACGCTCAACTTTCAGACCACTGAGCCGGCATTCCATAGTATAAATGTTTAACTTCAACTAATCCACAAAATTGAGCACCCATCTTCTTTTGTATTAAAGTAGATACCTGTCTGTTGAATAAACTACTTGGACAATTGTTGATTTTAATCATGATTCACTGTCGAATAATTGAATGACTTGTCTTCTTTGGTTTGCTGGCATTTGTCACTTTTCAAAAATTAAAATATAAATTAAACTAGACAACTATTTGGATTATTTTCTAAAATTAAAGATTCACTTTAAATGTCCAGTATAGGCTGATACATTGAACTATAGATTACATAATATCCACTAAACGATTTCATATGAATTAGAGAATATACTCTCATCGAAGTTATATTCATTCCATTGTCAATATCTGATGAATGTGTTTTGGTAATTGGTTGAAGATCACAAACGAAAAACTTCAATACATTATCGGATTATATGATTTATTTAAATTCATGAACCAATCCACGTTGGATCACCATTGGTAACCTGTAAGCACTGAGTAGCTTTTTCATTGGCATTGTGCAACCACGACTCGGCACGTAGGAATCAAATCCACAATCTTAGATCTCGCGCATGAACACTAAACTTCTAGATCACCAACTTCGCATCCAATGATGTAAATGTCTTACTTCAATCAATCTATGGTGTTGCACGGACATCTTCTCTTGTCTTCGATAGATGATTGCCTCACACCTGACACAGTCGAACTCCACTTGTCATGGCTTCTCACTAGAACTCATCTCGAAACTAGTCACCAATGAGTACATGATTGTTGCATTCATATTTTTATGAATTTACGATTTATTTTTCTTCAACAGGCCAGTTCCACTAACAGGTTTACCAATGCCACTTACTCCAACAGCGAGTAACATGATGGACGGTCTTCCACAAAGAGTTGGAAGGTAAGTTACACAGTTTTTGTCAAAACATTTCGTTACTATGGAAACACAAGATAATTCTTTCTTTCACCTTCTTTTTCTAATGAAAAATGATCCATGTTTGTAGTATACATTCATCTATGGATTAACATAATGCATATTTTTTTGGATTAACACAGATGCAGTAAGGAAATTTTGTTGTAATATTGTATACTGTGCTAACACTTATAATCGCATTAACCCAGTTAATACTTGACTACCTAAGACAATTCTTCTTATTCCTAGACTACCAATCAGAACACTTAAAATCGTCCTCAAGCAACTTGTATTATTTAGACTACTGTGATTATATAAACTGGAATGGAACAGAATATATGATGAATTAGAACTAAGTGACAAGATTAGAATTTTGAAGAGAGTCAAAATTCAGATTTGGTCAAAACAACATGAATTCATTATTGTTTGATTAGCTTCTCTTCAGATCCTAACAACCTATAATATATGTATACACATATATTCACTAAAAGTGTACCTCAGTAGTGCATAAATCTTGTGAGGACTTTTCACTCGAACACTACTAGTCGGATCAGAGCTTATGGCGAATTGTCATCTGCTTTCACAACCTCATGTGGTGTCCGTCAAGGCTGTCCACTTTCTCCATTTTTGTTTAACGTCGTCACAGACCTACTGATGCAAATAACACTCTCACCGACTGAATTTTCGGGTATCGATCTCCTACCAGCAGGTTGATTAATCAAATTAAAATACGCAGATGATATAGCCCTGTTTGGTGAAGACGCTGACAAAATGCACAGTCTATTGATAACACTGAATGTTCGGAATGCGTTTCTCTCTCTCTCTCTAAAAGCAAGTTGTTGCTTCAGGACTGGTCTGCCTCAACACCTGAACTAAGGATAGGGAGTGAAGTAGTCGAACGCGTTGACAACTTCATTTATCTTGGATCTCTGATCAACCCTAATGGGTCGGTGTCTGACGAAATCTCACCACCGATTCGAAAAGCTCGTTTGGCTTTCGACAACTTACGTGACCTATGGCGAAGGCGAGATATCCGTTTATAGATTAAGGGATAAGTGTACTTCGCGGCAGTTCGTTCTGTTTTACTATACGGCTGCGTAACATGGCCATTAGCAGTAGAAAATATTCGTAAGCTACTAGTATTTGACCACAGATGTCTTAGAAATAATGCTCGGATTGGCTGGGATCACCGGGTAAGTAAAAGTGAGGTTAGACGATGAGCATTAGGGAATGATGTAAATCAGTTGATGAGGTTGTAAATCTTCATCGACTGAGATCGTTGAGCCGCGTGTTACGTATGCTTGAACACCGATTACCACGACGCGCAACACTGACTAGTGTGGTAGACATGTGGCAGAAAGATAGACGCGGACACACTAAAACGCGAAATCAGTGCTTCAAGTCACTAACGTCTAGTCTGACTCATGTCAGTAGATAAAGACTAGTTGGTTGGGGTCCACGTGACAGTCATAACCAATGGTTGGAGATTCTGTGTGACATGGTTGAAAATCGATCACAATGGTATAGATGTGTACACTAATTGTCTTCTCCTATACTTTGAGATTAAAATTGATTTATATCTTTCTTTCTACGAAATAATTCTTTCTTCCTGTTCTATATCCTCATATGCAATCTTTCTTTTATATATTATCACCTCTGAATTAACTACTTCTATGAATCAGTGTTCATCTTGTCGTGGTAATGAAGTGTGCCAACTTGGACCGCTTCATAAATGTGCCTGTTCCTAGGTTGTATCTAATTGACTGACTGACTCACTAAAGAACAATTGTCTAAGCTCCACTTTACATTTATTTACTCACTCTTAACAAATACAAACGATTCTACTTTAACCACTAATTCCATAGATTGATTCGATTATCAGTTTTTTGTTTGATGAGAAGATAATTGTCCATACTAAATATCTGTTTCATATATTTACCACTTTTCTTCAGTCCCTATTGTCTTGATATCCTGTGTTTTTCTTTGCAGTGCATTGCCTCTTACAGGAACTGCACCCCCCTTGTCTGCGCTCAGAGGTAGTATGCCAATTAACGGCATTCAACAAATTCCAGCATCGTAAGTTTCAATTTATTGCTACGTACAGTATGCATATATACCAATAAAAGACTGATCAATTGCAGTCCTAAACATCATTAGGAAGATTCATTTGTTAGTAATTCTCACCAAAATTTTATTCTTTAAATAAAACTTATTTAAGTCATCATAATTTGTGTAACTCTCGTGTCAAATAACAAGTTAGTTATGAACTGTAATTACAAGATTCATTTTTGCATACAAACCTCTTCAATTAATCATAGAGAATTGGAGTCTGTATGAATCTATACATAAAACATATTAAATTTCAATAGTTGAGATCATGAGTAAATTGAAGTTAGACCACCGCGAAAAACCTGGGGACACTGGACGGCCGTTTCGTCCTTTCGTTGGACTCTTCAATGGCAGTATGCATCCATGAATTCGCCTCACGAGGTTCGAACCCAGGACCCTCACTTACAGGTTTATTGTATTGCAAATACTAAATAATTAACCTATTGTAATGAACTGACCAGTTTAATAGAGATTCATCTCAGGCGGAAGAGTGTTGTAAGTCAGGAAGAAATAAACAGTTGTTTCGTCCTGATATAACACTCTTCCGTAATGGGCACCATCGACTCCAGTTGGAATCTTGACCAAAACATTCGATTCTTAATCTGTAACGAATGTAACCAACAAATTAAATAAATCTCTAAACACTCCGAATAAATTGTAGCAGTCTACTCACTAGTGACTTACTTCAATATCCTTTTGAAGCTCTAAAAAGACATTGTGAGTTGTGAAGCTCAAACATGTCGGGAATTAAACAGTTGTTGGCAGTGGGGTTAGATGATCATCACCATATATCTCAAAATGATTAGAGACGAAACTGCACTTTTCGATGATGACACAGTAATTTCACTGGTTTAGAGTTCTAGAAGAAACCTGAAGATAATAGATCCAACTTATGGAATAATAGAAAGTACTCGACAACAATTGGTTTTATATATGATAAAATAGCTTTTTATTGCTCCTTCGTTTTCAATAGTAGCACAAAATTGATTAGTTTGTGACAAATGAAAAGTACAAAGTTAAAATACCAATTAAAAGCCCATATCACCTATATGGATAATACATCTTTACTGAATATTACTGTGAGGACGGTCCAAGAGTGAACTCGAAGAAGCTCAGAAAGAGCCGAAGATATTCCATCCAGTCATCTTTTGGAAGAATACTCCAGAATCACCACGTTTAGCTTCCCCATTGAACAATGCTAATAACTCCCCTATGTGCGGATTGGATAACTACAATGATCACTTTGTTTTTACTAAAAACTATAAATACCCGGCAGTTTTCTATCATAACTGACAGTGTTTGGAATAACATTCCTTTCACTCGTGTTCTGTTTTCTTGTTTGCGACTTGAGAGGGTTCTAGCGCTCGAGTACTGAAGTTATACGTGGCATATCAGGAACATAAACATCTAGGTAATAACAATCGCTAAATCAATAGTTTGATTGTTTAGATGGCTGGTAAGATGATTTAGGTAAACTAAATATTCACATTAAATGTCCAGTATAGGCTAACATATCAAACTATGAATTACATAGCATTCAATAAACTACTTCAGATCAGTTGATGAACACAATCTCATATGGCTGATAATACTTAGTGCGTATAATTTAGTGATTAGTTAAAAATCGTCAATACAATAATCTCGACTTCTCAGTAGTTAAAATTCAAACGACTGGTCAAATTCCGCTTCTTCATCTTATATATATATATATATATATATATATATATATATATATATATATATATATATATCACGGCGAGATTGTGGGTGCGCACTGCTGAAGAGTTCCACGGTAGGACGAAACGGCCGTCCAGTGCTTCCAGGTTTTACATGGTGATCTAGCTTCAATTGACTTATGAATCCAACTATTAGAATTACTATAAGATCCACAAAATCCCTTCTGATATTAATAAAAGAATTAATTATATTATCGTATTGTACAATTTATATTTTTCAATAGGCCAATTCAACCAACAGGTTTACCAATGCCACTTACTCCAGTAGGAAGTAACATGACTGGTGGTCTTCAAAAAATAGTTGGAACGTAAGTTATATAACCTTTAGTTATTAGATTTTTCTCTACTATTGCCATCATATTTTCTTGTTACCAGCTTATTATGACATTTAGTCATTACAACCAATGCCAAGATAATAATAATACTGTTAAGTTATACTCTGGAAAACGCTGGTACGTTTATATATAATTGAATTCATGAGTCAATGGTAGCTAGACAACTATGAAAAACCTGGGAGCACTGAACGGCCGTTTCATCCTAGTGTGGGACTCCTCACCAGTGCGCATCCACGATCCCGCAGCGCGATATATATAAGATGAAGAAGTGGAATTTGATCAGTCGTTTGAACTTTAACTACTGAGAAGTCGGGATTATTGTGATGTTTCCGTATATACAATTTGTAGGCGGATAACCAGTCTCTTGGTTAACTATTCACAATTGATTGATCACTGAGTGGTGATCAATGTCATGTATACCAGGACCTTCTTAGTGCAGACCGAATTCTATCGACCAAGTTGAAAGGTGGCCATCAGTCTAGATGACTCGACATTGCGTGCACCATTTCTTTAGCACAACTTAGTTAACTAGAAGCAGAATTCACCATTTTTCAATAAGATAATAATAATACTATCAAATAGGAAAAAAAATGAAGAATATAGATCATATTATTTAAGAAATCCTTGTATTGATCGCATAAAACTACAATAGCTTTTGCATTTAATTGAAAGATAAATAAAGTATCGAACGGTAAGTCGAACATGGGTAAATAAAAAGCGATTCGTAAATATGATATGAGACTGGTTATTTGGATTTCCGTTTGTAGGCCAGCTGGATTGGTAGGGTCAACACTGCCTCTCACCTCAATGAATAAGATGATGCCTAGTGATATATCAAGATTGGCAACAGCAGTCCCTGCCTCGTGAGTCATGCTCCCATTTTTGCTGCCTTACACATGTAACACTCACATGGTTGTTTTCTAACACACTTTGGTTTTTTCTGAAAACCTCACGCTTTACTGAAGACGGATCGCAATGATTGGTTGTAATAATTAACATGATTACTGTTGTAAAAAGTAAGGTTGTCTAATGGAATCTAATGATGAATAATAGATGTTTGTAAGAGCTGAGTAATTTGGCGTTGAATCCGACTGTGCTGTTGGGTGGTTTCGAATATTGTGAGTCAGTGGCCAGTTGTCTGTTCCACTGATTTGTAGATCAGCGTATGAATGAGTAATTGGTGACGACGATGGTGAGGGTGATGCTGTTGGTGTTAGTGGTTGTTTGTTTGTGTGTGTGTGTTTGGAAGTGAGGATCCGGATGAATGGAAACACGAATGCGTGTATGCATGTTGATTGACATCAGTTGACGAGTGGATTGGTTGAGGCTGATGAGGCTGTAAGTGACCTTGGAAACCGTGGTACCTGTGTTGTGATGTTATCGGATCCACAATTCATAATGGATTGGATCGATCGTTTGGCGAGAAATTGAGCATGGCAGTATGGAGAGATGAAATGATCACATGTGAATACCTGAGAGCAGTATGAACACGAACGTATGCGTATTGGGTGTGTCACAGTTTTAACATAACGAATTACCGATTCGCAGTTTACAAACATATTAACAATTGCACTGAGATTATATCTATGTCAATTCACCAAGTCAAGTTGGCGCCAACACACACATACATACATATATACATAAGCATGTACACTCACACATGCACGCACAGCAGATTCCATATGGTGACATTGTGTGACAGTAACTATTAACTCGGATTCATTCATTGCTGGAGTAATAAGATTCATGTTGTGTTTGTTGGTTTGGAATCAGTGTACTTATGTGAGACTGGTTATTTGGATTTCCGTTTGTAGGCCAGCTGGATTGGTAGGGTCAACACTGCCTCTCACCTCAATGAATAAGATGATGCCTAGTGATATGTCAAGATTGGCAACAGCAATCCCTGCAGCGTAAGTGAGATTCCTTATTTATTTTTGGATTTCTCTTTTTCACAGACGAATTCGCTATACATTACTTTCACGGATCGACATACTTTTATGTAATTGATCATTTAAGCAATGATGTTTATATTTTAATAATGAGAGTTTGATTGAGTATACTTGTAAGCCAACGCTCCATAGCAAATATATAATTAATGTCATACTAATATTTCTAGAACTCAGAGTTTGTGAATATTTTACAGTCTGAATAATATTTTCTTGACCACCGCTGAGAACTAGTTGCCTCTGGAAAGCGCTCGCTTTCTGGTATGTACCTCCTCTAAAATACGCATCCACAACAACAAATCAGGGTATACTGGGAACAAACATCTGTTACGTGTTTTCCATTTTCTAGCTAAGTTCAGTATGTGATTTAAACTATACGTATCCTTCAGTCTTAACCAACTATCTAATATCAATCATGTGCTCACTTGTCTCAAGATACAATTCCTAGAGCTCTAGTAATAATCTCTTATCAATGAAGTTCAACGATGTCGAGTATGGGACAGTTATCTAAGATAGTCGATGGAAAACGTTCACGTAATATCATGATTTGATTGGATTCCTACTCAGTGCTTTTGTAATTAAGCGCTGACGGACAGAACTCATGGTCCTGAATTTCAGCCTCGGGGACTTCGTGGATACGCAGTGTTTTGGAATCTTGTAAGAGCGAGTAATAACTGTAGGTTCTTTCTTAATGGTGATTTATAAACTATGCAAATCCAATTAGGCTGACTTACCGGATTATTAGGTATGTTCATATAAATCACGGAATACTAGACAAGTGTTTTGATGTAATTTGAGATTCTTCAATAAAGCATACCATAGATCCAATGTTTAAACGAGTATAGATTTTATGAGCATAATTGATGGTTGTTAAATGAGCATAACCCAACTGCGTCACAAGACAAGCCCTCACATGGGATCCTCAAGGCCAAAGGAAAAGAGGAAGACCAAAGAACACATTACGCCGGGAAATGGAGATAGACATGAGAAAAATGGACAAGAATTGGATGGAACTAGAAAAGATGGCCCAGGACGGAGTGGGTTGGAGAATGCTGGTCGGCGGCCTATGCTCCATTAGGAGTAACAGGCGTAAGTAATTAAGTAAATGAGCATAAAGAATCATCTCGCCGTTTACTTTTATAATACATCAAGAAGGTTTAGTTGATTGTTACATTCGTTCCCACAAACGAAAGTGACTATTGAATGTACACTGTTCAACTGCTTTAACACTTTAATAATATATTGATCCATAATGATAAATGTGTTGTTACTGCAATTCAGAAGAAATTTAGATCATTGACAACTTTTTTGAGGGATCCATTTTCTGATCTCTCTAGAAAGAAATCAACTAACACTGAGCTTGATGGTAAACCATATTACTATTCCATAAACTTGTATAGAATAGGTATTATGCAAGACAAAATGACCATTTACCGTTTACCTTAACAGTAACTGTTTAAGATTGATTTCGTTGTGGTTAGTGCTGAGATTTTTTTTATTGCTATTTGTTTGGATATAAATTCGACTGTTTAGACTAACGATAAATTCATGAATAATGATACGATATCTAGAGAAATCTAATCAACTATCGTTTTTCTTTTTAGTCCTCAAAGGGAATCGGTCAGTTGTTTCTTTACTCTTCCATTGATGCCTTTATTATCAATACTTACTTCAATTAATTGTTACTCTAGTTGTCAGAAGGGGCATCAACTTCATGACTTCTAAACGAACTCGGCTTTCACCAAGAGGTGTCATAACTCTTCTAAATGAAGACTTTCTAACTCTCAGGGCACAATTTAAATGGTTTGAATTATTTTTTCTGATTAGTGTTCTACGGGATGGGGTCGATAACCCCATGCCCAACCCTCCTCCTTTATCCGGGCTTGAGACCGGCAGTAGCCCCAGAAGGGTTATTCAATAAACCTCAGCTTTCCCCCTATCTAATTTACTTCTAATCGTGGTATTCTCTTCTGTAAGATTTATTAGAATGTTCAAATGCTTCTTGATTAGTTATACATATAAAAATCACTTTTGTACAGCTGGCAGCTATCAGTTAAGATGATCTTAAACCTACCTAGTTCTTAAATTAAAACAAAACACTTTTCGTGTATATGATAATTTGGATCAACTCCTAAACTTACATCTATTAGGTAATCAATGAAATCTACATATGTATTGGTTTTCTGTTTTGTATTTTTTTTTAAAATATGTAATTCCTTTCATAACTAGAATTCAACTGTAGTGTGTGCTACTGATGTCGACAGATATAAGTAGTATGTAACATCGATCGAAAATGAAATACCTGGTGACAGAAGGTTAAGAAGATCGAAGAAAAGAGAATAAGCACAGAGAATGATTGATGTGAAAATGAAGGAACACTCAATTCAGAGACGATTGATTGACATTTTACAAATGAAGTATTTGGTTGAGATCATGAATTAATTGATGTTAGACCACCGTTGGAAACCTGGAAGCACTGGACGGCCGTTTCGTCCTAGTATGGGACTCCTCAGCAGTGCGCATCCACGAACCCGCACCCCGCGGGATCCGAACCCAGGACCTACTGGCTTCGCGCCTGAGCACTTAACCATTAGACCACTGAGCCGGCATCCAATGGTGGTTCATTGTATGATTCTCAGATTGTACTAAGGAGATTCTGTAGTTTTGTATTCAAATTACATTCAATTGTCCCCATTTGTGTTCTTATTCACTCAATAACTTGTTACTTTAACTAGTAAATTGGAATATATTCCATTCAAATATGTGTATACATTAAGGTACTTAGTGTACTTTTAAGACAATTCAAACATCTTACTCTTATTATTGAAATGGTTTCTAATGATTTTGCCTAGTTGAACAACAGAAACTATTTAGCTGTTGATGAGAATGGAACGATTGGTAATATCATTCTATCTGAAATAGTATTTACTTCTATATGAACTAGACGATTATCATATTCTCCAAAGTTACAATGAAAGCTCAACAAATCAACTATTTAGCTCTAAGAATTCAACACTACCAAAACTATAAGTTATGTTATTTAATAAAATACCAACATGCATGTACAAAGAGATTATTATGTAAACAACTTCAAGTACTCGTCAGTAATTTCGTAGGATACTTACTTACGCCTGTTACCTTTTATGGAGGAGCATATGTCGCTCACCAACATTCTACATCCTACTCCGTCCTGGACATTCCTTACCAGTTCTTTCCACTTGCTATTCATTTCTTTTCATATCTGCTTCCGATTCTCGATGCCGTGCATTCTTCAGTCTTCCTATTTTTCGTTTCCCTTCAGGATTTCATATTAGCATTGTCTCGTGATGCAGTTTGATGATTTTCTCAATGTATATCCTATTCACTTCTAACGTATTTACCTAATTTCCTCTTCAACTGGAAGTTGGTTTATTCCATTCTCACAGTAGGTGGTTGCTGATTGTATCTGACCAACAGATATCGAGTATATTACATAGACAATTGCTTATATATACTTGTACTTTTTTGATGGTAATAGTTAGTAGAATTATCATTCAAAATTTTCAGATGATAATATAATAACTTTTGTTATATGATTTCAGTCAAATGTTAACAACAAACATGCAAATTCCTAAATCTCCAGTTATAACCAACATGTTAACCAATGCATCAGGAAGTTTACCACAGAATTCTATGATGTAAGTTATAATTTAATGATCATCCTTGTATTTACATTCAAATAACATTGTTGGCTTTTCTGTTGAAATGTTCTTTCTACTCATTCTCAGCGTTATGTTACTTACTTACTTACTTACTTACTTTACTTTACTTCCTTACGCCTGTTACTCACGATGGAGAATAGGCCACCGACCACCATTCTACAACTCACTCTATCCTTAGACTTCCTTTCCAGTTCTATACAATTGTTGTTCATTATTCTCATGTCTGTCTCCACTTTTCGACTTAATGTGTTCTTTGGTCTTCCTCTTCTCCTTTGGCTCTCAGGATTCCATATGAGCGCCTGCCCTGTGATGCAGTTCGGTGCTTTTCTCAATGTGTGCTTTATCCACCTCCAGCGCTTCCTCCTGATTTCTTCCTCTGCTGGGATCTGATCTGTTCTCTCCCATAGTAGGTTATTGGTGGTACCGTCTGACCAACGGATCTGAAGTATTTTGCGTAAACGGGTGTTAATGTTAAAGCTTTCTTGTGGTCAATGAAGTTGATGTAGAGTCATTAACTCCATTCAACTGATTGTTCCACAATGATCCGTAGTGTTGCAATTTGATCTGTACACGATCGATCCTTATGGAATCCAGCCTGTTGGTCTCACAGTTGGGCGTCTACGGCGTCCTTCATTCTGTTTAACAATACGCTGTTGAAGACTTTTGCTGGTATTGAGAGAAGAGTGATGCCTCTGTAGTTATCACACTTGCTGAGATCGCCTTTCTTTGGTATCTTGATCGGGTGTCCTTCTTTCCAGTCTCTTGTTACATTTTTAAATAAATAAATAAAAATTTAATGGTAGAAAATAATTAAATTTACTTGGTATTGTTTACATGTATTTTCCCATTGATGTTTGGGACTGATAAATCTCTTATTGGCATATCTGATTTGTTTAAACAAAGATGATCATTTATAATGGAAATGAATTGCTTTAATTTTTATATCCTAATTGGATTATTACTAGAATGGGGTTTTGTTAATAATGTACTGATTTTTAGTGGTTAAATTGATGTGTTGAATAAACCTAAATCACCATGGAATACCTGGAAGCACTAGATGGCCGTTTCGTTCTAGTATGGGACTATTCAATGATAGTGATCATCCACGATCCCGCTAGCGGGACTCGAACTCAGGACCTACATGGGGTATTTCTTGGAGTTCTAGTGAGAAGCCGTGATCAGTGGAGTTCAACCGTATCTGTTGTTGAGGCCATTGAAGACAATGGTGGACGGTCGCGCAATATCCTGGATTGGTTAAACGTAAACATTAACAACGTTGGTTCCCGGCTAGCTCAGTTGTCTAGAGGTTAAACATTCGCCCGAGGAACCAAAGTTCCTCTACCCAAAACCCGCGAGTGGGATCGTAGATGCGGACTACTACTGAGAAGTCCCATACTAGGATACTAGGATGAAACGGCCATCCAGTGCTTCTAGACTCTACATGGTGGTCTAGCTTTAATCGACCCGTGAATTCAACTAGTTGGATTAGTTGATTTGTTCCTGTCAATGAGAAAACTTTACACTACGAATAGATATCATAAGTCGTAAATCTAGTAATGATAGGAGTTATCTTATTCTCTTATATTCTAGTTAATTTCCAGCATAAAGTATATAATAACTATAAAGCTTATAAATCTAAATATCAGATCATTAACTAATTTTTTTAAGCAAATATAAATAGTGGCTAGCAGTAGAATCAAGGACGTGCATTTCGTCCTATTTTGGGACTCGTCAACTGAACGTATCTGCATATCAGAGTTGATGGTCACTCTGAGACTTGAACCCAGTATCATCACGTTATTCACTTAGTTACTAAGTTCTGATAAACCTTTATATATTACTATGATTGTTAAACAAACCTTCCTTTTCTATGATATTTTTTTTTCTTTATTTTAGTCCTTCAACAATAATTCCACAGAATAATCTATCAACCAATTCGAATATTTTCAATTTTGAAAATTTAGATAAAATTTCAAAATGATGATAATGTAATAAGAATATTCATCTTATTGTTTAGTATTCAAAGTTCAATGACACTTTCTATTGACTCTTTAACAGTAAACATTAAACACAGATACGATGATAAGTTTATTTTTATATACATACATATACACATTACATATATATATATATATTACATTTTATTAAAAGCATGAGTATAGCTATCAGTGTGCTTGTGCGTGTGTGTGCATGTGTGTGTGTGTGTGTGCATGATTACCCATTTATTGTTACACATTCATTTTATGTTATCTATGACGATAAAAACTAACAATAATAATAGTTGCTAATGCATCTTGTCATTTGAAAGTGATGATACCTTGAATCAATTTCAAGTTTTATCTCATTTGAATGATAATTTCAGTGTAAAATATATCGAATATATATGTGCACCATACAAGTCAGTTGATTTGTATGTGAACTGTGATACTGTTCGAGGGCTCAAAAGCAGAAGCAGTTATTCTACTTAGAGGGTCTAACCCGGAGTCTTCGACCTAAAGATCTAATCTATAAGGTAGTGGAGCAACCTCAGGAGATGAAGTCTCAATGTAACCAGTGATCAACGATTGGTTCATACGTCATTTATACACTCAGGATACTGGAGCCCATATGTACCATTGGTTTGGAATCAGAGTTTTCCAACTTCCTTAGGTGAACTGTTCGTGTCTACCAACCTGGTTAAAGCGCAGGACATTCGCTTTTTGTCCTCTAAATTTCGTAAACAACACCCTAACCGAACGAAATTAAAAAGTTATTCATATGATAAACAAGAATCTGGTACATTAATTTTGATTTATTGTAAGGCAAAGTTAGAATTGATTGAATTTATAAAATAAGTAGGTTTGCTAACTTACGTGATATTTAAGACAAATGAAATGTTTATTGATCTATCTATCTTTAGATATCGTCCAGAAATTGATTGTACTCAGCGGGAATACGAATCAAGTAATATTGAAGTATGTTATTGAGATTAAATGACACTCTTTCACAAACATGATGATTTCTAAGAATGATAGAAATAAGAAAAAAAGGACTTATTTGATGTTATGATTCATGGTGGATTCCCGCAAAAGACGAAGTTTCATAACCAAAGTTCATATAACAGCTAAAACTCTAGTCAGTAGAATATTTCGAGAGTGAGATGAGAAGATGAAGCTGATCTGATTTTCAGTCATAAATTAAGTAAAAAGAAGTCAATATTGGTGAGACGTTTACATTTAATTAATCAGTTTAAATCGAACATTATTAGGATGAATAGAATTATAAGATGGATAACGATCTGTATTCCTCATCTACACGAATGGGACACTAATTTGCCTTACACATATATCTATACTACATACCATTCCAGTGTCAACTCTACAAGACTTCAATACAATTCAGATCAAGAACAATTGATTGGCCGAACTAGAACATAAGTATATTTTAACACCAAAAACCAACAACAATCACAATAATAATAAGGGTAGGGAAATATCGAACTCATCTAATAAATATTAGACTATCTCTACTGGTCTGATTAAGCAAACAACCAATTGTTATCTAATGACATATTGTTTCAAAGATTATTTTTAATAATTTCATAAGTTGAGATCAATTGGGTCAATTAAAGCTAGACCACTATGGAAAACCTGGAACTACTGGACGGCCGTTTCATCCTAGTATGTGAATCTTCAGCAGTGCGCACCCATGATCCCGCCACGCACATATATGCGTTGGTCAAAGTTGCCATACCACATTAGCACAAAATGATGAACACTGGATTCATAGAAGTAGTCACTTCAATGGCAGTAATATTTGAAAGAAAAATTGTGTATAAGATAGTAAGAAGAAAGAATTAGTTCGTAGAAGAAAGATATAGAGTGTGTATACACCTACACCATTGTGATCGATTCTGAACCATGTCACCCACAGTCTCCAACCATTCGTTACCATAGTCGCGTGGACCCCAACCAAGTAGTCTGCATCTACCAACATGAGTCAGACTAGAAGTTAGTGACTTCAACGACTGATGCCACGTTTTGGTTTGGCCACCCCTAACTTTCTTACAACCATCCCCTACACTAGTCAGCATTGCGTGTTATGGTAATCGGTGTTCAAGCATACGTAACACGCGGCTCAACGGTCTCAGTCGATGAAGATTCACAACCTCATCAACTGATTTACATCATTCCCTAATGCTCATCGTCTAACCTCACTTTTACTTACCCGGTGATCCCAGCCAATCCAAGCAATATTTCTAAGACATCTGTGGTCAAATACTAGTAACTTACGAATATTTTCTACTCCTAATTGACACGCTTCGCAGTCGTAAATTAAAACAAAACGGACTTCCGCGCAGTATACTCGTCCTTTAATTGATAGACGGATATCTCGCCTTCGTCATAGGTCACGTAAGTTGTCGAAAGCCAAACGAGCTTTTCGAATCCGTGCTGAGATTTCGACAGACACCTACCCATTAGGGCTGATCAGACTTCCAAGATAAATGAAGTTGTCAACGCGTTCGACTACTTCACTCCGTATCCTTAGTTCAGGTGTTGAGGCAGACCAGTCCTGAAGCAACAACTTGCATTTAGAGAGAGAGAGAGAAACGCATCTCAAACATTCTGGCATTATTGCATAGTGCTATCAAAAGTTTCTGAATTTTATCAGCGTCTTCACCAAACAGGACTATATCATCTGCGTATTCTAATTTGATAAATCAACCTCCTGGTAGCAGATCGATACCGGAAGATTCAGCCGGTGAGAGTGTTATTTGCATCAGTAGGTCTGTGACGACGTTAAACAAAAATGGAGAAAGTGGACAGCCTTGACGGACACCACTTGAGGTTGTCAAAGCAGATGACAATTCGCCATAAGCTCTGACCCGACTAGTAGTGTTCGAGTAAAAAGCCCTCATAAGTTTTATGTATTTCTGAGGTATACCTTTCAATGACAGACAATGCCACAGAGTCTCGCGGTCTACCGAGTCAAATGCTGCTTTTAAGTCAAGAAATACCATCATTGTCGGACGCCGGTAAGCATGCATGTGTTCTAGAACCTGACGAATGGTGAACATGTGGTCGATGCAGTCACGACCAGGTTTGAAGCCAGCCTGATTTTCACGTGTTTGCAGTTCACGAGCCTTAGTTAGGCGTCCGATAATTATTGAAGCCAGTATTTAAGATGCTATGTTAGTCAAACTAACCCCTCTACGGTTATCACAGGATGATTTTGACCCTTTCTTATATATCGGACAAATTAGTGATTACGACAAATCAGATGAAATTACGTCTAACTCCCAGATTTTAGATAAAATATTAGCTAACCTAATCGCTAAAACTAGACCACCATTCTTAAGGGCATCTGAACCAGCTGCTCATCCTCGTTTCAGATTAGCTATAGCTTTCTGAACTTCAGCTAGCGTTGAGAGACCTACTTCAATGTCCCATTCACGCTCTCTGGGAATGGTAGGTAGTTGTTGAGTAACTGAAGGCCAGTTGAACTGCTCCTTAAAATATTCCACCCATCGTTCTAAACGTCTGGACTTGGAGTAGATAAGTGTCGTCTCTTTCCAAAATAGTCTCACACTTGACTTCTTAATTCGTTTCTTTTATCAGTCTGTAGAGCTGTCGTGTGCTACCTACAGCCGCCGCCTTTTCCATCTCTTTTGCTTTCGTTGCTCACCACTGCTCACGGTCGTTCCTTAGACTCTTGCTTAACCTAGATCTGATTTGTTTTCGCTCTTCATCGTGTTCAGAGCCTGATGGGATGAGTTTACGAGGAATACCTAAGTATGACCTCAGTTGTTCCTGAAACCTACTTTTGGTTTTCTCATTACTCAATTCAATTTTAATGGATCTTTTTGGTATGGCTTTTCTGCATCCAGTGAGGCGGAAGCAGATGTGTGCTCGCATTAGAACATGGTCGGAGTCCAAGCGGGTATTCCAGAATGAGCGGCAATCTTCTATCGACCCTCTCCAACGATGACTGATGGCAATATGGTCTATTTGACTCTATCGTTGTTTTGGTGTAGGGGGTCGCCATGTTAGACGATGTCTCTCCTTATGCTTAAAATTTGTGTTTGCTAAAAATAAACGATTGTCTGAGCACAGTTGCAACAGACGATCACCATTATATATTCGTTGTGCCGGAATACTAAAATACCCACCTAAATGCCTTTCTGTTTGGTTTAAACTACCTATCTGGGCATTAAAGTCACCGCCTACGAGTACTATGTCTGAACGTTTAGCTTTCTGAAGAAGTTCAGATAGCTTTCTGTAAAATTCATCTTTCATTTCATCTGAGCTGCAGTCGGTGGGAGCGTAGGCAGAAACGACAAAAAGGCAACGACATGTGTCCCTATCCTACCACAATCATACAGAGCCGTTCAGCCGAACAGCAAATAGACGACTGTTAACGGGGATCAACTCTAATAGTGCTTGTTGCGTCCTCGTATTTAGTGCTATGCCTACACCTGCCAATCCACGAGAACTAGCCATCGGGTAGTCAGATACACGGAGGACTCTCCGTTTTGCCGTGGTGAGGTCAAGTGAATAACCACACTAGGATCCTGTATGCGTGTTTCGGAGACACAGCATACATCAATGGTACGAGATTCTAGGGTTCTAGCCAAGGAGGCCTGCTGAGCGATTTGACATAAGGTGCGTACGTTGAAGACTCCAATGTGTAGTTTGGAGCCAGGTTTCAGTAGACCTGGGACAGTGATTTGCACACTAGAATCGTTGGCTATGGTGACACTTGAGAAGGAAGCAAAAAGAGGAAGTTTAGAGTTGAAAGTCGATGTGGGAGGAATAATAAGAACTAAAAAAGAGGTTGATTATGAATATAATGGTCTCGAGTGCTGTTGGAAGTATGAAGGCGGTTATCACTTCCCAGTTGCCCACACCATGGAAGATTCCTTCCGGAGGCACCGGAAAAGGAAATTGGATTAAATGTGAACTTAAAGACCTGAGGTCGGTCACACGCGACCTTTCTATGAGTAATTCTTGTGTTTGCTTCGTACTTGTTGAGACCTTATCGCCGAGGACGGATATCCGCGGGATAAGGCGTTTTTTGCATTTATGGGTCGACCTTTTCTAACCCCACCCCTCCTTGTGGGAAGGCAGCATCACTGTCATGCTGGTTTTCTGAAGGAAACACCTTACTGCTGTCATACCTCTGTACAGTCAGAATTACGACTTCGCCATCAGACCTTTGGTGTGCTGCTTTTAATCTTACCGTTCTCTGGCATGGTAGGACCCTGGAGAACGATTGTTCCAGCTAATATAGCTTGATTGGTTCGTCACAACAGGCAACCCCGACCACCACATCAAGATAGCAACAACGGTTACATAACTAAGAATCCATGTTCTAATTTAATTGATATGTCGATTAGCGACAAGAACTAGATGAACACCAATCTGTTTTACTTCGTAGCTGAGTTTTACAAATTAAATGCTTTTTTCAATAAAAAAAAAAGTACAAACGACAAAATATCACTCATTTGAATATTGAACTCATCAAAAAAAATAATGTCGAAAGAAAATTATAATTAGCAAAAACAAGAAAAGCATATGCTTAAATGCAGAGATAGAGAGAAGAACAAATAAATAAATTATTGCACAACAACGATGGCAACAATGACGACAACAACAACGGAGATGATAACGGTTGAAGATATATCGACATCAATAATAATAATAAAAGAAAGACACAAAAAGATCCTTCATTGAAATTGTGCTCTTTTATCACAAATATTAAATTGTTTTATCAAATTGATTTATCAATGACAATTGGTGTTTAAGTCAAATCTGTACTAATCTGATTAGTAATAGACAATGTGATAGGGAATAATCTATGCACAACAGATGAATATACTTTAGATAGTGTAAGTTCGTGAATACTCAATGTTAAAATGTTTTATTTGAATGTATTGAGAAGATTTACTATCATATCATGATAGTAAATAGAATTAGAATGAACAGAAAAATATATTTGTATCAATTATATTGTTGTTACGAGAAATTATCCCATAAAGTACGTTAAACTACTCTTTAGTTTTTTAAGTAGTTTAAAGCTGAGAGATAAAGAAAGTGTTTTGATCAAGATAAATTGAGAACAATGATAATTTGAAATATTCGCATATTGTAAATTTAGAACAACATATAGAAGCGAACAATATTGTTTTCGATTAGATCCTCATCAGGCTTTACTTCTAATATTCAGTAATGTATTTATATGTATATATGAAATTATTAAAACAATCAAGGTAGTTTATGATAACCGGTGCACTTGTTATCACACTATCAATTTATACTTTTCACTTATTATGTAATCTATTCCATTATTATCATTGACTCATAAACTACTTTGATTGGTTTAATAATTTCGTATCTGCATATAAATACATTACTGTATATTAGAGTAAAGCCTGATGAAGATCTAATCGAAAACAATATTGTTCGCTTATATATGTTGTTCTGAACAATGATTATTTAGATAATTTAATGGGATAAATCGGTTAGTCTCCAAACAATAGCATGAGCACCTGAACCCATTTGACGTGAACGATTAACATGAATCCTCATGCTAGAAACTGTATAAATATAGAAAATAAATAAGAAATGATGTTTGGTTAACAAGATAGATTGGTTAGAAACAAAACTATAAAACTATAAACTATCAGTCTGATCAGATGTAGTTATGAAATAAGTCATAGTTACACATTATCCTTTACTGAATCATGTTGAATGATACTTTATGACGTAAAAAGAAATGTTTCTCGATAAGCCACTTGTATACCTACCTACCTAACTGCACAAGAACAAGAGAACATGTATATATTGATCAATCAAAGTAACGTGTTCTCTCCAAAGGATGGGCAACATGCAGAAGATAGTTTAAAATGTCTGTAGAGGTGTTACGTATAGTGTTTGGTGTGGTTATTTAGCAGCTTTACTTCTTATGATTTTGTCGAAGTCATCACCGTTGCATTTAAGTCTATGTAGTATCTTATTTAGTATATTCGTGACGTTCATACCATTTCCTTCAGTAAACCATTAAGGATAGTCATTATCCATGAAATCAACTGTAATATACAGAATTTGCTGTTCTATTTTGTTTCCCGTGAATATTTATGTGATTCGTCGAATGAGCAGTTTTTTAATGCAATAATAGTCTTTGTGTAATACATACCACCCAAAACTCATAATAATTATGGTGATTCGAAGTCTCAATGAGTTAGATTTATCTAAAGTGTCATTATATTTGGCGTGCGCCTAACTGTGTAATAGAAACCGACCGTTTCGTCCTGTCTGGGATTCATCAGTGAGATGTAATGAATTTCAGAGTTGATATTAATATTGAAATACATACCCAGTGCATTCCATTTCAAACACCCTCATACTCGTTAAGCACATAAGTGACTATCTGGACTTAATAGCTCTGTGGATAATGAGTTAGAACTTTGAAGCGAAGGGCGATGGTTTCGAATCGCAATGTGAACATTAAAGTTAGGGTACAGGTACATCCAACAGAAAAGTTTCAAATAGCATAAGAGCTTGCGAAGGATGCGCATAGCTCAACAAAGATGGTTCACAACGAGTTTATTGTATCCCGAACCACTGGACATATTTTCGCTAATTTAGTAGACAAATGTTGCACAATAAAGTGTAATTTCAATGACAGACTTCATTTCAAGTAATGAATTTCACTGGGATTTTTTTGTTTCATCATACATATTGGCTTAAGATATACTAACTTATTCATAATAGGCAACTACGAGTAAATTCAGACATGCTACATTCACTCACAATACGAACAAATTGGCAGAAAGTCCTGGATACAGAAAAGTACAGTTATTGAACATTGAAAATGATATAAAGAATTTTAAGCCAGCAAATTAAAAGTACATTAATACAACGTTACAAAATTGAAAAAAATAAACTTCATAAAAGAATTACTTTGATCAACTGGAAGATGAGTTTGTTGTTCATCTTTTTGTTCATATTGTTCTTGAAATTGTCTCAGATCAACATAATCATGTCCAACTGATACAATTAAATAACTCAAGTCTTCATTGTTAATTGCTTTTTGACAAACTTGAAAATGATTTGAATATTGAAAACAAGAAAATATTTAAACAGTTAAAAAGATACTCTCGATTGTATAACCTAATCTTTCAATCAATAGGTTTTTAACCCCACTACATCGAATTGAGTCAGTCAGTCAGTCAGTAACAACGTAGAACTTCGTACGTACGTACATCAGTTCGAGTTACCACATTAGCACAGAGATACAATTGTCGATTCAAATCTCATAGTGGTAGACGTATTAAAATTATAAGCAGTTATCGGAAAGATTACGGTTTGGAAATGTTATTTAAAGAGTATAATCCAGTGAAATAAATTTGCAAAGAGGAAAAAAGGGACATTAAGAATTCAGAAGATTAGAATTTGGGAGAACACAGAGAGTAGATGCACCTGCGCCATTGCAAACGATTTTGAGCCATGTCATTCAGGGTCTCTAACCATCGGTTGCTATCATCTCGCGGTCCCCAACCAGGTAGTCTACACCTACCAACATGACTCAGTTCACTTGTCAGTGACTTCATAGACTTGAGCCATGTTTTGGTTTGGCCGCCCCTAGCTTTCTTCCAACCTACTCCTATACCACTGAACATAGCACGTCGAGGTAGTCGGTCGTTGGGCATAGGTAACACGTGTCCCAGCCATCTCAACTGATGAAGTTTCACTACTTCATCAATTGATTTGCCATCCTTACCTAGTACCCATTTTCTAACAACTGTGTTACTTACTACATCGAATTGAGTAACCAACTAGAGCTACTCAATATTACATATACAAACAGTGAGGCTCATAGTTAGATAAATAAACTTGCAACTAGTGAATTAATTGTATTGCAACGATTCAACATCTCGCTCTTTAACAAGAGTACATCTATCTAGGGGCTCAACAAGAATAATAGTATCACAAAACATTACTAGGTTTCATAAACAACGAAATTTCAAGTTTCATTAGAGGTACGTAGATGGTTCTTACGCCCGGATTACTCACATCATAAAAGAGTACTTAATCTTTAAGTGACTGAGAAGGAAAGTGGGCTATGAATATTCTAACATGAGAAGGGCCAGTTACACACGTTCACTTTGTCACTTTGGATATATGCGTTCTATACTTCCAAGTTATTGCTGACAGATACGAGAATAAATAAGATGAAGTAAAGTGTGTTAACTCAAGCCACAAGCTTTTCTAATTATCTCTATCCTTTATGAATACTTGTCTCAGAGAAACAAATTATTGTTGTTACAGTTCTGCACAACTGAGCGCTTAGATTCTACATTTACTGCTTTTAATCCTTCCCCCTTCTAACTGATCTACCTATCATGGAAGGACCTAAAAAACGAATGTCCCGGTCAATATAACTCGATTAAGTCATCAAGTAAGGACCAGAGTCAGACAAGGCTGTTTACTCTCTCCCTTCCTCTTTCTTCTGGTGTTCGACTGGATTATGAAGACCTCGACATCTGAAGGAAAACACGGAATACAATGGACAGCTCAGAATCAATTAGACGATTTGGACTTCTCAGATGGCCTAGCCCTCCTATCACGTACACGCGAACAGATGCAGATGAAGACAGCCAGTGTAGCAGCAGTCTCTGCATCAGTAGGCCTCAGCATACACAAAGGGAAAACCGAGGTCCTCAAATCCAAAGCGGAGAACAGCAATCCAATCACACTTGATGGCGAAACTCTGGAAACTCTGGGAAGCATCATCGATGAACAAGGAGGATCGGATGCAGACGTAAAGGCGAGGATCGGCAAAGCAAGGGTCGCATTCCTACAATTGAAGAACATATGGAACTCAAAACAACTTTCGACCAATATCAAAGTGAGAATCTTCAATACGAATGTCAAGGCAGTTCTACTGTATGGAGCTGAAACTTGGAGAACTACAACAACCACAATCAAGAAAGTACAAGTATTTATAAATAGCTGTCTTCGCAAGATACTCAACATCCATTGGCCGGATACCATCAGCAACAGCCTTCTGTGGGAGAGAACAAACCAACTTCCAGCTGAAGAAGAAATTAGGAAAACACGATGGAAATGGATAGGACATACATTACGCAAATCGTCAAACTGCATCACGAGGCAAGCCCTAACTTGGAACCCTGAAGGGAAGCGAAAAAGAGGAAGGCCAAAGAACACATTGCGTCGGATAATACAAGCAGATATGAAAAGGATGAATTACAACTGGACGGAGCTAGAAAGGATTGCCCAGGACAGGGTTGGATGGAGAATGCTGGTGAGCGGCCTATGCTCCTTCACGAGGAGTAACAGGCGTAAGTAAGTAAGTCATCAAGATAAGCTATACTCCAACGTGAAACGCCTAGGCAGTAGTTATGATCAAATTTCAAAGGATCAATATTTGTTTTTTTAGTAAAAATCAAAATAATATTGATCATTATTTTCATTAAATAGTGTAAGTAGTACATACTTTGATGAATTAATAGTAAATTGCATACAGGACGTCGATAACCATGACAACTGATTGTTATTGAAGAAGTTTTGGACAATTCAACCTCATTTGATGAATGTTTATACTCTACATAATTATAAAATTATGAAAGAAAATTTATTAGTTTATCACTTAAATATCATATTCATGATGTTAATTATTAAAATGTGAAAAGAGTTAACCATAGTAACTGGCTATTCAAAATAACTGAATCATCAATATCCAAGAGACAAGCTTCTAAACTTTTAAAGGTGAAACAATTGACTCGCACTAATTATATAATGGGTATGAATACAGATTGTGTGTTTTTGTTTTAATTTCACTAGTATTTTTAAATATGAAAAATAAATAATCAAGAATAGAAATGTACTGATATGAACCCTTGTGATGAAATAAATGAAAAGCCAACTTCTACATGAAGTAATAAAATGAAGTTGTCAAGACTGATTAGTAAAGTTGCGCAAGTAAACAGTTGTTTATCTCAGATTTACCACAATATCGTATAAGAAAAACTAGATTTCAATTCTTTGTAAAGTTACATTGTAGTGTCGGTTATTATGTTAAGCCCAGATACCATATTCTAGTTTATGGACAGGCCAATTTATTCATTCTTCCTGAGCCACGCGCTTTGAATTTGTTAATTATTCACTTATCAACCTTGACTGTTTTTCTATGAGTGCATATGTTTGTACACTTCTTATTCTATTCATTACATGTCTGTAGCTTATTTTTATCTGGCTATAAATATAGTTTAACGACTTGATTAAATGGAGTTGGTTCACACGCCTTTCCTGTGCGTCATTTCGCTTCGTTCCTCTGAATGTCTCGAAATCCGTTCTCGTCTTTGATTTATTTAATTCTGTTATTTACTAAGTTTAAGTCGATGAAATATACGAGAAATTATGATCAATCATACAATCTATTTGAAATCAGATCCCGGGCCACTAAAGCATCACTGGAACCTATTCTAGCTTTAAAATGTAATGTCTGTCCAAGAATAAGCATTCGACAATAAATAATTGTCGAACAAAAATCGGATCAATACAAAATGTTGATGTTCGTTCATTTATTTATATAAAGTTGAGAAATATTATAACATGTACCTTGATAGATTTCAAAAATGACAAACATAGAAAAGACATTTCCGAAATTCTGGTGAAAATCTGTGACTAATGGAGTTCAACCAAGTTGAGTGTGACAAAAATACTCGTTAAAGATAGTGAAAGTTAGTCGTGTAATGTTCCACCAATGTATCCCCTCATTTAGAGTTCTACAGGTTAAGTGTCAAAGCATAGGCATGGTGGCCTTGATTCAGTTCCCGATTGTTGGTCATAGGTGTGTATCACTAAGATGCAACGGGTGTTTAGTTCTCCCAGCTTTCTAATGGCTCTATAACCTAGATAGGTTTGTAGTTATAATAAAATTTGAAATTTTATTTTGTTATAAAATCCTTATGACGTCAAACATACTACTATCAGTTCGCTAATGCAACTTAGTATATCGAGTGTACTACAGTAAAAAATTAAGTTGCAATATGACGAAGACTAGGAAAGTATCACTTTGGTCACTACACAACCAATTGTAAATATCCCAGTCCTGCAGAAGGCCAGAATAATTTAACGATACAGTCTCAGGTTGTGAAGCTAGTCAACTCATGTGTTATTCATAAAAACAGCACCAGTTCCTTTAAGGTAGCAGATATACTTTGCTGATGACAGCCCCGAAAACCAAGTCCATATATGGTTTCCTGCCAAACGCCATTAATCACTTAATAAACGATTAACTACTTATAGAACAGGCATGAATAGTTGTGTTTTTGCTCGCTTAATAATTTTATTAATTATTCAACTCTGTTAACATGATTCATCGATAAATAAAAAGCCAATAAATGATTACTGGAGTAATCCAAATGTAAACGAGCAATAAGACCAGAACGAGTAGCAAACCATATTTCATGATCACTAGTCAGTGGTATAATAAGTAAACGACATATAGTTAAATCAATCGGATCTGTAACATTTTCCATATCTATAAAGAATTAAGAAAAAACGCATTATAAACAGATAATAGTGAGAATTATATTAACTCCGCCTGGAGTCCCTCCGGGGGCTACTGCCGGTCCCAAGCCCGGATAAAGGAAGAGGGTTGGGCATGGGGTTAGCGTCCCCATCCCGTAGAAAACTAACTCGCTAAAAAAACGCTAACCAGAAAAAATACTACTTATAAGTAGCTGGTATATCATAAAACAATTTGTCATGAACATCTCATTGGTTGATTCTTAAACTAACAACTGATTCATTTTCTTACTGATTGATGCATAAACTTTATCATCGTTGTCTGTATTGAGTGTTGACTACTGTTGTCAGTTTGAATATGAGTTGTTTTTTGACTTGAGTTAACTGTTATTTACTTTAGTAATAAGTTTACATTAATACAGAAAACAACTATCTAACTTTAACCGACCTAAAATGCAATCATTCACATAAATCTCAATAACAAGTGAATTACTTTACGCTCATCGATGATGTTAATCAATAAACGTTTCCAGCTTTCAATCATTAACGGTTGAAAGCTCTAATCCTGACCCATCTACAAACCAATCTATTCATTCATCTACAGTACTACCTACTTTTAAGTAAATAAAGTATGTTGCTCATGTTCGGCAACATAAATTTGTACTTTATTATTGAATTACAATATGACAATAAAAGAAACGTATGACCGAACCACTTGACCAACTGTTGCACATAATGAGAACGACTAAACCTTTAGAATATGTTATAAAATAACACAATGGAAACGGATGTATGAAAGAATACAGAAATTCAAGATTGAGAAGAAGAAAAAAAGTTAATCTATCTGCATCATTCTGAACGATTCTAAGCCACAGTATCCAGCATCAAAAACAGTCAATGATTATGATTATCAGTTTGACCACAACCAGATATGTCTGCATCTACAAAACATGGCTTAAATCTACAATGCAATGATAATTAAACTATGTACAGAATAATAATTAATAATTTACCCCAAGCTTACCTAACATTGAAGACAATGAATTAGTTAAATCAATTTGACGTAGAATACACTTTTGTTTAGGACAACATCCTAATAGACGTGCCATTCCAACACTTACTCCACTATTTACATTATGTTGACACTTTTTCTGATTAACGATAACATCATCATCAATGTCTTTATTATCAATATTACTACGATTACTATCGGTTGTAGATGTTGAAATTTTCTCACATGATGGACAGATTGTAGGATTGCCAGATACAGCTAACCAAACAATGTCGGCCAATCCTGTTGTAGACGGTTTAATGCATATTGCATGTAGACATGGAGTTTCATTTGGTAATGCTAAACTGTACATGTTAAAAATATTTATGAAATAATAATAACAATACATATATTTCTGTAAATTAAGAGTAGACTAAGGAAAAATGTAAAATACCACCAATAAAAAGGAACTCTGAACTGCGTTACTCCGATATAAGGTGGGTATCTCTTCTCAATGCGATAAATTATATGAAGAGTAAGATGGAAAAGTATAATATAGTGAGTAAAAAGATTATTCACTGAGTCAGTCAGTCAGTCATTTAGCTACAACGTAGGACCAGACACATATGTACATCAGTCTAAGTTGCCACACCTCATTAGCACAACAATATGAACACCGGATTCATAGAAGTAGTCACTTCAATGGTAGTAATATTTAAAAGAAAAATTCTGTATAAGGAAGAAAGAATTAGTTCGTAAAAAGAAAAATATAAAGTAGTTTTAATCTCATGGTACAAGGGAAGACAAAGAGTGTATACACCTACGCCATTATGATAGATTTTCAACCATGTCACCCACAGACTCCAACCATTCGTTACCATAGTCACCTGGACCTCAACCAAGTAGTCTCCATCTACCAACATGAGTCAGACTAGAAGTTAGTGACTTCAACGACTGATGCCACGTTTTGGTTTGGCCGCCTCTAACTTTCTTACAACCATCCCTAATACTAGTCAGCATTGCGTGTCTTGGTAATCGGTGTTCAGGCATACGCAACACTTGGCCCAACCATCTCAGTCGGTGAAGAATCACAACCTCATCAACTGATTTACCATCATTCCCTAATACCCTACGTCTAACCTCACTATTACTTACCCGGTGATCCCAGCAGATGCGAGAAATATTTTTAAGGCATCTGCGATCAAATACGAGTAGCTTACTGTCGATATGCGTCTATCATGTAGTAATCTCTCCATATATATAGAGAATATATATAGAGAGAATCGTCTGACAGATTTTTTTCATTAAAATAAGATTAAAATGTAAAAATGAGAATTTGCACATGCAAGGAAATCAGTTTATGCTATAAAGATGAACAAATTATTACAGGCAACAAAATGTTTATTCGTTATCATATTAGCACAAACTTTCAAAAGCAGGTTAACTAACCACTTATTTGAAATCATGAGTCAATTGAAGCAAGACCACTATGGAAAACCTGGGAGTACTGGACGGTCGTCTCATCCTAGTATGGGACTCCTCAACAGTGTGCATTCACGATCCCGCCCCTCGCGAGTCTAGGGCCCAGGACCCATCGGTCTCGCGCACGAGCGCTCAAACACTAGACCACTGAGGCGACATACAACGGTGTTAATGTCTAACTTCAACCAATCCACTTAATTTCTAAAATCTCCACAAAACTCTTTCTGATAATAATCACTTATTTCTCAATTTTTTTTAACCATACCGAAAAGGTTTTTATCAATAAGGACGTCAGGAAACCCAATAACCGTGCAATGATGGCCACACTATAATTACTTACAGTAAAAGTAGAAACTAAAATATGATTTGGAAAGCAGGAAGTAAATTAATACAGATCTACACTGATAATAAACTTGAAGAATTATTTCATTTAGCGTACATCACAAGTAAAAAGAATACGGAAAGGCAAAACTATAATGTATAGACGAACTAGTCGTATTTAAACTTGAACTTTGGCGTTTTGGTGTGAAATTCATTCATCCATATGACTAAATTACACTTGAGCATTATAGCTGATATCAATTCGAGATGTAAAGCTCTAATTCTAATTCTTAACCGCAAATCAATTCCTTACACTAATTTGTAATCTCAATAAGTGATTAAATTTTCTCGAAACCACTACTTAAGTATTGCTCAAACGTCCTCCATAAATTATAGTCTCGCAGAGAGCGACGATATAAGAAAAAAACAAATACACATACATAACTAACCTTGTTATAAAATCACCAGATTGGACGTCTAAACAATAACAATGACCACCACCAGCTGTACCAAGCCAAATATAGTCATTTATTGAAGAAATATTATTCTCAATCACAGTAGAACAAGGATTAGAAGAAGACAAAGTGGAGGATGAAAACGAAGAAGCCATAATTAACGGACCAGTTGATAAAGATTCATACGGTAAATTAATGAGTTTATGTTTTGTTTGTATTTTGTTGGATGTAGAAGTAATCATTGAAGATGATGTATTTACTGTATGATTATGTTGATTTTGCATAAATGTTAATGGCCATTGAAAGCAAACAATATGAGTTGTACCAAGTGAATTGAATAGACCAATACACACATAATTATCACGTGAACTATAGAAGAACAATGTGAATGTACAGAGTGAATAAACGTGGTGGGATAAAGAAGGAAGATGAATACAAAACAATTCGATCGACGATGATAAGAATAACAGTAAACAAGAATCGATCAGAAGTGAAGATATACAAATATCATAGCATAATGGATGAACCCTTATATACAAACCTGACTTATAATAAAAATATGCTAACATTCATGACCGGATTAAATATCTGAATTATACAGAAAATAGCCTTCGTTAGGGTTAAACAATTGATTCATCTGAAAATATTTATTTATTTATTTTAGCACAAACAGTGGCACAATGGACCACCAAAATATATATGAGCCGCACAACATCCATGAGGTTGTGAAGTGACAGAGAAGGTGAAGTGCGTAATATAAAAAGAACAACAATGAACAGAAATTAGTGTACGATAGTGAAATAAAAATAATGGGAAGAAAACAGTTCAGTTAACAAAATTATGATCAGAAAGAATCCTTTCAGTTAAAAAAAGTTACTGATTGAGATTATGAATCGATCAATTTTAGACCACCATTGAAAACCTAGAAGCAATGGACGGACGTTTCGTCCTAGTATGAGACTCCTGAGCATTGCGCATCCACAATCATGCAAGTGGGATTCGAACCCAGAACCTTCAGTATCGCGCTGGCACTGTGGTCTCGAGTTAAGTGTCCCTGAGATGATGGGAGTTTTACAATTCAATCCTGAATAAATAAACTTTAGAGGAGATCTTGAACAAATTGTATGAACATGGACATTTACTCTATGTATTAGCATCGGTTAAAGAATAGATACAAACCTTTAACTTTCGTTTATCTTCATGGCATCAAGAAATTGGATCGAGAGTTTTCTAAAGTTTATTTATGTTACTTATTTAAACACATAAAAACCGGCACAAAAGCGCATCAAATATAAATGCGCCACACTTTATCATTCGATTTTTGTGAAGACTAGGATACTGTCCGGACGCCCAAACAGAAGCAGGTTGTTTTCTTAGGGTGCCACACTCCGAGGGCATTTGAGGGTTTAGTTTAAGTTCGTTTAATCAGTATTGTACGTTGAGTACACACATGTCGAAGTTTATTGTTGCCTTGGTATTTCGATTTATACACATAGAACGCGTCATCAGAAGGCCAGATTCGTTCGATTTCGCTATTTTTTAAAATAAGTAACAATTTTCAGTAGATTTTGATAAAACGTAGATAATCACAGGTACCCATTGGACATCACTTCATCGATTTCAAAGAAGTTTAAAACAAACTCAATTGTTGTGTGAATCATCTACATTAATTTTGATTCAACTGTAGATCAACTGATTTCATGACAAACTTTTCTTTCGACCGAGTGAGGTTACCTTATCATTATTACTAGTTTAGATTATAATACTAGAAAATATCCCATTCAATATGTTATATGATTCATTTACGTTGATTCTTACTAATTTTAGTCAAACGGTTGTATTTCTTAATATCATTGTTCAGTGTTGAACTAACATATAAATGTATGAAGGAATAAAACTGTAACTTATTTTGTAAGTTGAATGAAGTTATGTTGGATTCAATTTGTATTAAATTATTTCTGTAACAAATGGCCAATGGAAGTAAAAAGATAAATAGGTTGAGGGCTTTTTGATCATACATAACTTTGACGCATGGCTCGTTTTTCTTGGAACAACTGAGTGAGTAATATTGAGGTGAAGCATAATGTACTAGGCAAAGGTGGAAAGTCGGTTGATGAAGTTTTATACTTTCATCAACTTAGGCGGATAGGATATGGTGTTATGTTTTCCAGAACACAATATTCGTTGAAGAGTGAAGTTGACTGAAGTAGAAGCAGGTTGGAAGAATTTATAGGGTAGCCGAAACTAAACGTATTTTCAGTCTATAAAGTCAATGAATGTTGATGCGGACTATTCCGGTAGATGCAGAATACGTGGTTAGGATCAGTGCGATAACCGCGATTACTAATTGGAGACTTTAGGCGAAAATGCACAAAATTGTTTACAATGGAGTAGATGTATTCACCATTTATCTGCCTTCTGACCTAGAATTTTAATATGCTTTCATAGATTCTTATTCACTATGTCTTTTAAAAACATACTCCCGATGTCTAGTCTCTTTTATTACCATTGCAACTTTGATCTCTTTTATTCTTTATCTTGTTATTTTCATCTCATCATTCTAATTTAATATTGGCAATTCGAACCAACGTCCATTGATAACAGGCATTACGCTGAAGAAGACTGTAATCATAACACAATTGATTGATCACTGGGTGGTGATCAATGTCATGCTTGTCTAGTCCTTATTAGTGCAGATCGAATGCTATCGATCATGTTGCAATGTGGCCACCAGTCTAGGTGACTCGAGATCGAATCCGCCAGGGAGCACCAGTTCCCTCAAGATTACAGGTACACCTTGCTGACGAGTGCCAAGTAGCACGAAACCCGGGTCCAGGGTTTCCTGTTGACTACCTCCAACCACCATCTAATCTAAGACTGTAATCATAATTTAACACTCTTAATCGTAACATTAATTATTAATTGAAAACAAAACAAGCAACTCATCATCAAATTAACATAACTTACATCATCCCATTAGCCACTAAACCTTGACTATTTGTTTTAAATCGATATATTAATTGTGGTAAGCCAACAACATTGAAATGACTTGAAACAATTTGCTCACTATAATTACTATTATTATCGTCATTATTTCCGGCCATATCAGACGAACTGGTTGACTTCATGCTATAACATAATCTATAAACTAGAAATCGTCCATCATTTGACGCTACAATTACGCAACCACCTGAGAAAAAACAAGTTTTTAAAAATGTAGAAATTGATAGAAGGAACTTGTTCAATGAAAGAGAAGAATTACAGAAACATGAAAAAGCAACGTCAAACTAACAAAGATTAAATGTGACTGGAAAGGTTCCAGTTAGTCTACTTTCTTCTCTTCACTACTAAAAACTACACATTCCAAGGAATTCAGTTCATTATAAACAAACAAACAATAGAATGCATCTATACTGTTAATCATTTATTTGATTGATTGTAAAGTGATTGAAAAAATGTAGCCATTGTCACAGGTGAAACATTTTCATCCTAGAAATATTCATTCTGTTTTTCTTTCCAAAGTCTAAATTTATCGACACATTTTTTTTCTTTTGCCAATAATTCTCAGTTCTGATGAATGATTAAGTCAATCAAAACACCAACATGATAGTTACCACGTTGACCTTTGAAATTATTCTCGGGTTGGTCACTTTCACTTTGAATATATTATTTTCTTATATGCTTATAAAGTTATCATTGTTATTGTATAAGCAGTATTGTTTTCTCAATGTGTTGACTGATTTAATTGAAACAATAAAATCTCCTGTTTTCAATAACTGTCTTTCCTATCACTCTTACTGAAATGTCGAGGAAATTATCACTGAACCAATGTTACTATGTAGTTGTAGTTGTTAGTGGACGTGAAAAATAAGAGTTAAATTTCATCCTCATCATGAATTATCCTACAAGTATGGATAATGGAATTTGAAAATAGGGATAATTAATTGGTATCAAAAGGGGTTTTGCGGAGATTGTAGTTGTAGCCAGATCACCATGGAAAACCTGGAAGCACTGGACGGCTGTTTCGTCCTACTGTGAGACCTCTCAGTAGTGCGCATCCACGACCCCGTCTCACGGGATTCGGACACAGGACCTATCAGTCTGGTAAAAATTTTTTAAAAAAACTATACAACTACTGACTAGTTAAAATAAATTATTAGCCGAAATTAATCAAGAAAGAATATTGACATACCATTATTCTTATTACAAATTGTCTCATTCATATTACTACTACTATTATTATCATAAGACTCATTGACATCCCATGTAAATTCAATGTATTCATGATTTGAGGTTAATTCCATTGAGGATGGAGCAGTTGATGCAGCTGTAAAAAAATTTTATTTTCATGAATAAATAAATAAACGGAATTATGAAGAGGATTTGCTAAGAACAGAAGTTAAATGTTAAAATGTTGAGAGCAAGAGAATAGTAGTTGAATATCCAGTTTATAACAATGTTGAAGTTGATCGGTACGGTCTAGTCAACTATAAACTATAAGATAACCATCAAGGGACCTTGAGCAATCACAAGTGAATCACTTATTCAAAACATAAAGATGTATCAATGGATAGTTAACGGTTGACACAATCGGTCCCAATTTTGAAACCTGTTCAATTTATTTCAGTATGCGTAGCCGGGCAGTAGAAGGCAAATGTGTCAACTCCGATTCTCGCCTCTCAATGTCAGCACCCATTAGTGGACGTACAAAATATACGTCTCCGAAACAGTACTAGTATTTCGACTTTTGATATATCACTCTAAACATAAATAAAATATACATGAGCTCCACGTGGTTCATGTGGATCATACAGGTCTTTTGATACCAATAAAGGAATATATCAAGAATTAAGGATTGTTCCTTTTATCACTATAGTAGGTTCATTGTTTATGGGTTGGCACCGTCGAGGATTAACTCATAAATCAAAGTTTTGCAAGAAATCGATACTGACTATAGGTAATGATACATCTGCCAAAACAAATTCCCAGAGAAATAAGGTTCAACATCAGTTCGCGATCTCCATGCGTCTTTACATCGAACGCACTTGTTATTTCTAGCACTGCAAGGAGGTCACAAGAATAGTCAAGGTGTATTAGAAATGCTAAAATCTCTTTGGGAACGATACCTGAACGCACAATTTCTGACTATTCGATTTTCCGCATGACCCTTGCCCTTTGATTGGTTGTAATTGCTGCATGCTTGATGGTCATACTCTGCCACGATAGTAACAACTTTCGTACCAATTCCGGTTGTGTTATTTGTCCTATTACAAATATCAAGTTATCTGCGGTTTCGTCTTCTTCCTGTGTTAGCCGTTGAGGTTTGATATGTTGTGTAAATGGCTGTTGTCGATTTTGAAAATAAAAGGTCGCATTAGAGTAGTTCAATCGTTTCTGTTCCCAAATCCGTAACATCGTAGGTGTATTAAACCATAATAACAAGACACAACAAGTGCCAGTAGTATATCAGTGTCTCATCTCTTTTCACCTAAGGGTGGCAGAATACTTATTCACGCTTTGGCGTTTATTAGAAACCTAATAAATAATAAAGCCTAACGAACTCGCCTCACGAGTGTCTAACTTTCAGACTGTTAAGTAAGTATTTTATGTGCCCATTTCATAAGAGTTCACTACTAAGACAGAACAGTGATCCCATTCCTCTTGGCTTTCAATGTTTTTTTAGTTAAAATCAGTTTGTGATGTAACGATGAATCCAAAAAATAACAATAATGGTAGTAAAAATAATAATAACATCACAAAATACCTTCATTGTATTTTACATAAACAGCTGCTGTCGGCAAGAAACCATTATCTAAATCAAAACTATTAATAGGTTGAGTGAATTTTGTTGGTTCAAATATGTGCACTTGTCCAAGATAACCACGATTTACTGATAATGAAGAATCATTGGAATTTGGATAATCTCCTGAACCACCACGACCAATCAGCCATAGATGATACTATATATTTATTTCAAAAAGAGAAGAAAAGAACTCCCACACTAACGACAACATGAAATTGTCAAGAATGAATTTGTGGGATAAAAAAATCTAAAAATAATTTTGAAACCGAAAATTCATGGGTAGATAAACAGTGAATGCATCTGCACCCCGAGCCTTTGACCTAAAGGTCTAGTCAACAAGACAGTGGAACAACGTAAGGAGAAATAGTCTCATAGAAGCCGATAACCACCAATAGGTTCATACGTCATCTGTTCCCTCATAATCCTCGAGCCAATGTGCACAATTCATTTGGAATCAGAGTTTTCCAACTCTTCCAGATGGCTACTCCATACCCTAAAAACCCGGTTAAAGCGCCGGATATTCGCTTTTCATCCTCTCGATTTCATAAACAACACCCTCGCCACGAGAGGGCAGTGAGTAAGATTTCCTTGGCAGTGGCTATGTACGCGTGACTGTGGGAAAGCATTTGGAGAGAGAGTGAGAGAGGGCGTTCTCTTTTCACTCTTGGCCGTGCCAGGGCATTTGAGGGTAATAGATTCGATCTGTTGAGAAGAGATTATATACAATGACTGTCGGGAAGTCTCTATACCAGGATGGAACAGCTATATAATTAACAACAGAATGCTGAATAGTATGAATATGATACGATAGTAAGATTGAGAACATTTTGTTGAAGTCAAACGCATAAGTGTTAGTTTTTAAAATAACCATAATGTGAACAGATGAGAACACCTGACAATCAAAATTACTAGAACTTTGATAGATACTGTAGTAATTACAACATTGTTGAATATATTAGACAAAAGATTAATTAAACTTGATAAATAATCCATAGTCAAATGATGTTCTCACTATCATTCCACATATTTAGATCGTTAACATTAAGTATCATGCAATTTCCACTAGCATAAGAATGATTGTAAACAAGCAAAAATGCTATGCTTTATACAGAATGAGAACTAATAAAATCCGAGGTGGTATCTGTCTTAGTTATATTAAAAAGAATTTAAGGTGACTAGATAGATCAGATGATAATTTACATATTAAAAAACAACCACGATCAATAAGAGAATAAAAGATGGATCTTTTATACAAGAGATCAATCAAACAGAGGAAAACATTAATGTGTATATGCGTGTCAGCCTTAAGCTATATAGGAACATCATTTTATCTCGTGTACTTGTGTAATGTTTTGCAGCCATTCACTCTTACGCCTTTATAAACAATGAATTATTGCATGGTCGTTCATATTGGCCGTAAGATGGTCTGTAGTTAGCGTTGTAATTTTCATTCATTATCTATGATCTTGAAGTCGCTAACACAAATCTAGTTGATTTGTTGCTACAGTATTGTTTTCTCTATACATTACTATTTTGTGTCACCTGTGTTCTGAGTGGCTAATAACAAGGAGCCAACTTCCACAATATTATTCATGGGATCTCTAAAATTATGCTTTAGTTCAATTTCATCTCATGATCGCCACTTAAATGCCGAAGCACCTAGAATCTATTTACAGTCTAACATCACAATCTGTTGTTCACAGCTGTATGTTGTTGCTTTTCGAGGTAGTTCAAGGTTTGTAGATAATCAATTACAAAATTCTCTAATTGAAATTTACCTTCATCTAATCAATGAATAGTAGGCATGTTGTCTTAGTTATACTCTATCAGTTTCAAATCTCCTTCTTGTGAACACTGTATTAATCTCTATAATAGCTTCATCAAGTTTAGTGATAGAATCTCAGTCAGTCAGTCAGTCAGTAACAACGTCGAAATTCGTACCTACGTACGTACATCAGTTCAAGTTGCCATACTACATTAGCACAGAGATGCAGTTGTCGATTAAAATCCCATAGTGGTAGAGGTAGTAAGAGTATAAGCAGTAATCGGAAACACTAGGGTTTGAAGATTTTATTCAAGAAGTATAATCCAGTGAAATAAATTTGGATAGCGAAAAAAAGGACAAGAAAGATCCATTGAAATGAAGGTGTGGCATTCACTCAATGCATATTACAAATTATAACAATATTATTTAAATTAGTGTTTTGTAGTTAACTCTCATAAACAGAAATCCACACCTGTACTTCAAGGCGAGTAGTAGCAGTAGTAGTACTTGTGATACGTTAGTAGTAAGTAATGAATGAGGTAATAACTTACTTTAGGTTTGGAATTACAATCCAAGGATGCGATTGGAACAGTAAGTGCTGTACATATCTGTGTAAATAATAATTTAGAAAAAAAAATTCAAAAAATGGTGTTAGGAATATTCAATGTTCAATATAAAATTGTATTCGCCACTGAAAAAGTAAACAAACGAGTAGTTGCATGTGCAAGATTTATGCTGATGGGTTTTTTTGTGATAACCATAAAAGAAGTTAGTTTAACTTGTAGATAGAGTGTTTAAGATTTCGAATTCAATAAACATTTGATACCATCTAACTGGAGCTCGTGAAACAAAAAAAACAGCGAGGGATGAGAGAGGATTGAAAATGAGCACACATCCACTAATCATCTTGCTTTGCCTTGTTGTTTAATATAAGCAGAAAACTGTTTTGATTAGCTCAGTCGATGATAAACAACATCGAATCTGGTACACATATATGCACCGGTTCAAGTAACCGTACCATGTAAACATAGTAAAATGAAATTATCCAAACATATGATCAAGTTGTAGATGTAGCCACAGTATCAGTGATACTCGTGGGAAAAGATGAGTATAGTGAATCATGATCTACATATTCAGATACCCAGGAAGCGGAAATAAATAGTTTATAATTTAATTATAATCACTTCTATTCCCTCTTAAATATCAGACACTTAGCACAGTTTCATATATTATTAGTTTTTTTGAATTTATTGCTTCATTTCTCTAAAAGTGTTTTTCATATCAACCAATACTGGTGTATTTCTTAATGATGGTTAATTAATTACTTCCCTTTTTCCAAAATAATGATGTGAAATGTTGTAACTTGGGTATATTCATTTAGATTTTTGCCATGTCTAATGTTGTTTACAATATATGTTTAGGGACATTGATTATATATAATATACACGTATCAAAAGACAAACAGAAATAACTACACCCTGATAGTATACACTTTTCTATGTTGCTATCATGTTAACACATTTGAAATGCCATCATTCAGTTGTTATTCAAAATAAACGTCCGTGACACAATGGCTGTTAAACTATTGAACTTACCTCTAAGTTTTTTTTATGCAAACCACCAATTGTTCTACATTGAATGGGGACTGGTACATTAGAATGTGCATTATCATCAACAGAATCATTGTTACTTTGAATAACACCACCATTATTATTGTTATTATTATTACAACTGGATCTACGGTCCGATTGTTTTCCAGTTGCCCAACCGTAAATCGGGGAATGAGCACATGTCGTTGACAATGTAATCCATGATAGGGAATTATCTGTGCTGTGTTTTTATTACATCATTTCAAGAAATCGAAGAGAAACAAACATATAAGTACTTGGTAATTAACTGTTTAAAAATAATAAATGTTATCTAAGTAAATTACACAATTTTCCGAAAGTGTGTTTTATTGATTAAATTAAAAATATATAGTCTATATCCATCACAGACTGGTTTCAGTTGTGGTATCATGAAAAACTGGGGAGCATTGGAAAACTGTTTTATTTACGTATGAGTCTCGTCAGACGTGCACACAAACACAACGCGTTAACTGATGAATCCAAGACCCCGTTGACATAGTAAATAAGATTTAGTTTGCGAATATCTTTTTGCTAACAATCGTTTTTTAGTGATTCCTACCTAATATTCATAGATATTATTATTAACTATAAAGTGTTGTTTAAGTCATTATTTTTACGTCCTTGATCTGTCCACCCACTAATATGCAGAGGATAACTTGTCTTAATCTAGATTAAAATCCTGACGCGATAAAGCTGATTTATTTAACCTTGAAGCTAGTATGCGTGGTTTCGAATTCCGACCAACTGCTTGGGGTAGAGAGAAGAAAACTATTCTATCACCTGATTGACTGACAAGCGTACAAAAAAGGGGAGACGAATTAACTGGAACAGTACTCAATTTATTCCCAATTCCGATTCACAATCCGATCTATCTCCATTCTCTTGATGTCTGCTTCCAAATATCAAAATCAAATAGGTTTCAACCTGTAACTTCACAAACCTCACAGATTAAATTAAACACATAACAAAATGAAATTACCCATGAATTGACAGCTCATTTCCAACATTGTGAATCAATTCATTTGAATTTTCAGAACGTTGACCAGAAGTAAATGATGAGAAGCTTTTTAAAAAAAAAGTAGTGCGAAAATGTATACTAATTACCATAAACAGAACATCGCCTTCAAACTTCTAATGAAAGTATTACACTACTCAAAAGAATATAAGTAGCAAGAAAGAGGTGCCTAAAAATATAAAATATATATTCAAGTAAATGTTAGGTTTTTAAAAATAAAAGTTTATTTCATCATAAATACTTATAAATCCCCATTCATTTACTCTTTTTTAACTGTATAGCCATATAAAATTTCGAAAGTGAAATAATATCAACAGTCATTTGTGAGTTAATTGACTGTCAGTTGTGTACACGCATACACACACACACACACACAACTAGTGATAACATTCAACTGATTAAAATTTTATTTAAGCACTCACCATTAGTAAGTTAATTGAATTGTAAAATACAAAGTACACGATTCCACAGCTAATCCATAAAGAATATAATCATAAAACTATGAATTATTACAGACTCAAACTTCAAACCAAGAAATTTTAACAAATTGTCATGTAAAGAGTTTCTAGTTGTTTCGTTACGTTATTAGATCGAATACAACTGAGGTTGACTTTTAACAAGATTTGTCTGATAAAAACATCCGTCAGGTATTGATATTATAGATGTGTTAGTGTAAAACTATTGAGTATCAGACACAAACAAAAGCAAATACAAAATCTGTTGAGATGTAAAAGACTACAATAGTGTAAAATGGTTTATTGACTACCGACCCCATCAAAGGTTCACCTTAAGAAAAATTTGTTTGTATTACTTGAGATTATCCCCATTCTAAAATAAGACTTATTGTTATTCCTTCCGTAATTTATGTTGTATTAACACGTCAATCGAAAATATTAACCAAAGGAATCAAGTGAATTGGGATTTCAACGCTTATCGACATAGATAGTTATTTTTTTATACCAAGAAATCCCCAATAATTTTTCCTAATTATCGTGTGCAACATGAAAATAGCAGAAAATCATCCATTATCTCAACAAATCTTGTGAGAAAAATTTGTACAAACCAATTACTAAATATTTACCCAAGAAAAACCAAGATATAGTTACAAAAAACAAAAGTTCGAAATATGGGTTGGCCAGGAAAAGATGATATACAGTTTAGTGTTTACCTATTCCAATCCATAACACTGTCTGCTTTTACACATTTATCTAACAATGTCGTAGAAACATTTTTAACTTGTCAATTATCAAATTCCTGTAGATTACCAATAATGACAACAAGAAGCGATAACAGTTTTTCCAGCCAGTTAGGCTGGTAACGCCTTTTCTGGGAAGTTTGTGTATTCACTTCTAGAATAGATTCCGTATTTTTACGGCTCACGAATCCACCATGTGGATGTGGTTTTGTGGGGAACCTCGTCCCCACAGGCCATCGCGTGTATCTCGGTGTCGTAAGGAAAGTACAGGATTTCTGAAGTGTTTACTTACCCTCGATAGGTATAGTCTACGTGCATACTAGTTAACACACGGACTTTCATCCCAATATTCCTTGGTATATATACAGGTATACCTACCCTGTGAGAAAATATACGTTACATGCACACCGATAACACACAGGTTTTATCCCATGCATCCCATAGCACAGATATAAGTATATTCACCCACCTAGGGGGTAGATGTTCACCACTTCCTTAGAAACATATTTGTTACACCAAACGATCTCTTACACATTACGTGCATATAATTAGGCCCATGGCTACCGCCTCAGTACTTCCGGACACACATATAAGCATAACCATTCTCTCAACAGAGGTTGCTGATTGTCTTTCCCTAGTACTTTTTAACCGTATTTTTCTATTGTCTTCGATCTAATAGATCGGGTCGCTAATTTTATTAGACATAAGGAAGACATTGCCTTCGTACGACGCACACACGTACATACATGAAGTAAACATGCCCGAACACTTCTGCAATCCTTATACATAAGTATACACATCAGGTGACCAGGTGAGATTAAGCGAACCTCGAGTCAATTCGAGTTGATCAAGGATACAACAAAGTGGATGATCAGTTCGGAAACCGTCGTCCGCACAAGTTCGCTAGCAAGGTTATTCCTACTATCCAGCAGTGCTGCGAGGAGGCCGTAGGTCGAATTTCGTTGAAACAAGTTTCTATACAACTGAGCTGTATTTTCAAAAACAAATTATTTCAACAATACACTGAAATTTACTTTATTATGAGGAGATATATATAGAAAAATCGATTGAGAAGACAGTATCACACAAATCGTAGGTTCAAACATCCTGATTCCTATCTAATCTATCAATGTCGAAAAAGATATTATTACTAATATGCATGCAAGTTGATAACAAGCCTTTGTATTTATCACAATTATGTTAAGTATCATCACATAATAAACGATCAAATTGTTGATACACTTTAGTAAAAATTTCAGGATAAAAATTAATATCACTGGTCAAAATTACAGAAATGATAACAACAATTTATCTTGCTAAAAGGAGAAAATATGAAATTCATTGTCAATTAAGAAAAGAAAACAATTACGTAGATGCCAACCACGACAACGAAGAGTGAACGCTAACAAAACAAGGAGAAAAGTTGTCACTATCAGTAAGTATTAGCAAGAGCGATCTGAAAATACACCTATCGTAAAAAAAGCAACACCATTGTGGTTCGGTCAGTAGGACCAAAAGAAAAGACAATACAAAACGAAAGTAGTACACATATCAACAACAGTCTGAACACCTTGAAAATGGAACAGATCCATCACGTTTGTTTCGATCCTGTAGAAAAAAATCAGAAAACTACGTAGTCTGATAAAAAAGCATTTTCCAAAGTGGCCAAGCCCTTTTTCTATTAATATAATAATGGCAAAAACTCTTGAAGCATCAATACACAACAAAAATGGCATTTAAAAAATAAATACACTCGGTTCAACAGTGTATATATTCAATGTGTAATGTGAGCACTGAATTAACCGCGTAACAAAAATGCACCTGTTAATTACATAAAAACGAAAAAACTCTCGAAAACAATTAATGTACCAAATTTACACTACTCACTCAATGATTAAGTAGTATAAAAATAAAACTATCAGTAACGAAGACAGTTTAGATTTGAGGATGCTCAAGAATAACATAATGCTTTAAAAACGCAAGCATAATTCGAAAGAGGTAATTCCCAATTAATTAGATTAATTATATTAATAATAATGATACCCTTACTTTATTATTTATGGTTAGATGAATAAGTTAGTTAGCAAAATCTCAGTCAATTATGTGCATGTATGAGAATATTTTTTTAGTGCAAAGATTATGGTAAAGATCAAACTAAAAATACGAAGTCAAAAACGAAAGAAAAATAACAAAACAGTATTACAAAAATAAACAAAAATAATAATAATAATAAACCAGTTAAATACAAGTACAGAAGATTAAAAAAATTATGGTCTCAAAAAGTCAATCAATCAATAAATGCGATGTTACAGATCCCAAATAGGTGTTGTCTTCAATTGAAGACGTTTTTCTTGAAGTCTTTTGTAACTAAATAAAAATAGAATTTAAAAATATTAAAGAGAAAATTAAAGATGTAACAAATAGAAATAGAAAGAATGGCAAAATTATTGTTTTTTTCTTCAAGACAGAAAAAAAGGAACAAGAACACTTATATCAAAAAGGGTTTTGTGGATATGATAGTAATTTCAGTGTTTCCAGGTTTTCCATAATGGTCTAGCTTCAACTGACACATGATCTCAACCAATGGAATTATTAAAATATCCACAAAACCGCTTCTGATATTAATCAAAATATGCTCACTAAAGACTGTCTCCAAGAGTAATTTACTGAAGTTCTAGTGATAAGCAGTGACTAAGGGAGTACAATTGGGTCTGTTGTGAGATAATAACTCACTGATGACAATAGTGGATGTGTCGCCCAATTTCGTGGATTAGTTGAAGTTAGACATTAACACCGTTGGATGCCGCCTCAGCGGTCTAGTGGTTAAGTGCTCGCGTGCGAGACTGATAGGTCCTGGGTTCGAATCCCGCGGGGTTGGGGTCGTGGGTGCGCACTGCTGAGAAGTCCCATAATGGGACGAAACGGCCGTCCAGTGCTCCCAGGTTTTCCATAGTGGTCTAGCTTCAACTGACTCATGATTTCAACCATTTAAAAAAACATTTAAATCAAGAAACTTATATTCATTCTCTTCTTCGTATATGAAAAACTACTGTGCTTTTGAAGTGTTTAAAGTTTGGGTTAAGCGAAAACATACTACGTCAGTTTTATTGTAAAATGACCATGATGTTATCCATGTACTATTTATAAAAATATTTATGTCCAACTCAGTCGTCAGCTATTCTGGTTAGAGTCTTTTTTAGAAAGGTTATTTTCTACGAAATGGGGTTTTGCTGACTTCATGCCCAACGTACCCCCTTTTTTACCCGGGTCTGGGACCGGAATTAGCCTAACGACAGCTACAAGTGGAAAAGAAGAAAACTAAAGAACACGCTACAATGAGAAGTGAAAGCAGACATCAAAAGAATGAATAAAAACTGGAAAGAATTGTCCAGAACAGAGTTCGATGGAGAATGTTGGTGGGCAGCCGATGTTACTCTACGAGGGATAACAGGCGTAATAACTAAGAGCCTTCAGTTAAACCTTCAACATATAACATGAACACACTGTTGGAAATTTGGTTCCAAACTCAGTTGAACATAATAAGTATCTTTATAATTGATATGTGGATGACATATAGTCATTTGTGACAAATCTAAAAAAGCAAACGGTCTTCTAAAAAACATTAACGTATTTTAAAAGTACATTAAACTTTCCTATGAAAAAGAGATGAATATATAATGAATTACAATCGTTTTCATTGCTACACATTTAGTTGAGACAGTTCATATCTAACTGATTATACTTTAAAACGGAAACTCCTTCAATTACCACAACGCCAAGTAAGAACACAAAAGACTGGTGCGATGAATATTTATTGACTTTCCAAGAACACATCCTCAAATAATTAAGAGTGAAACACGTTTATCCGAAGGGTTTTACAGGGTTCTTATAATACAGCTGATCTCACTTCGTGAGCAAAATACTAACCCTAACTCCTCACCTTATTCACTAGCACTAATTCCGAAACATATCTTGAATTAGAGAGATAATTTGGATTTAGCAAGATTATTAAACAATCGAATAATGTCGTTCCTATACTTTAGTTTTACTTCAACTTCCTTAAAATTTGTCTAAATAAAGTTATTTTTACAAGTCATCACGACTTTAAAACTTCAAAGAATGAATAATCGATGAAATCTCCATCAGAGAATAAACAAAATATACTTCAAAACTACTTAGAATATATCAGAGAATGGACGCAGAAAGTTGTAAAATACTTGGATTTGACACTTAACACAACATTAGTTAAAATGGATACCCAAAGTAAAATTCATCAAACTTAAAGATAATAATAATAATGCGAATCCCACAAGCCAATTTCCTAACTAGTTATTTAATTTATACTCAATTCATATCTTTACATTCTACCTTTTTGAAATATATTCTCAATGTTTAGTGTTTCTTATTATTACCGAAACTATAATTATTTCAGCTCTTTTTCTATTGATCTTGTCAATTTTATCTCATCGTTTTAGTGTCAGTAATGACGACCTGACCCAACGTATATTTATGCCATGCGGTGTCGATTACCACGAACTGATTGAATGCTAGACGAATTCCTTTAAAACATATATTTACATATATCAAATAACTGACAGGAATACAATTCAATCATTCCTTTTCACCCCCTTTGATAGTATAACATCAATTATAGATAGTGGCTAGCAGTGGAATCCAGGACGCGCGTTTCGTCCTGTTTGGGACTCGTCAGCCGGATGTACCTGCTTATAATGCTTGTAAATTAAGGCAATATCGAGGTATACGCACAGTATGCACATATGCCAATAAGAGACTGATCAATTTCAGTCGTAAAACATCAATGGGAAGATACAAGTAAAACAATACCAAGTAAATATAACATCAATTGTTTTCTAACTATTCGAAAAAAAGGAAGAGTCACGATGGGCATCACAATAACAATTGAGATCGACATTCAATTAATGCAAAAGAAAAAAAACAAAAATAGAAATTGTGATGTTGTGGAAATTGTTGAGTCTTAATTGAGATCATGAACCAGTCAGTGTTAGACCACCATTGGAAATCTGGAAGCACTGAACGATCATTTCATTCCAGTATGGAAGTCCTCAGCTGTGTGTAACCACGATCCCATGTGTGAGACTCGAGCCCAGAACCTTCGGTCTCGCGCATGAACGCTTAATCTCCATATCACTGAGCTGGCATCCAAGGGTGTTACTGTCTAACTTCAATCAATCCACGATATTGTGCGACCATCTTTCATTGTCTTCAATGAGTAACTGTCTCACACCCGACACGGATAAACTCCACTGGTCACGGCTTCTCACTAGAACTCTAAGAATTACCTCTAGAAACTAGTCACTAGTGAGCACATGATAATTATCAGTATAAGGTTTTCAATAGTGGTTTAACATTGATCGGTTCATGATCTCAATTAAAAATAGAAAGACTGTTTCTAGACCGTTGATTATTCACATTCATTTGATAAATGAAGATAAATTTGTTGAAGAACAAGAATATCAATCAAACAAATATCTGTAAAGTTCAATGCTTTCTATAATTTTGTCCAAGATTAAACACTACATCGGTAGGAGGTTATAAATTCAAAATAACAATATCATTTAAATAGAATATTTTGGTAACTGATCTATGAAAGTTGAAATACAAAGGAAATTTATCATTTTTTAAATTAAGAACTTACAACTTTTGTAGACTTTGTAATGGACCACTAACTGGACTATTTGAATCAAATTTATATTGTTGTATTGGTGGTGTTTTAGTCATGAATAGTTCACGATGTCCTTTTTGACTGACACGTAAAGTTTCTGTAAAACGTACAGCATCTTGTAATTCTAATAAACGTTCTTTATAATGATTACGTTCAGCTAGAATACGTGCCATTTCGGATCGTGTGAAACGTTTAACTTGAGCGGAATTAGTCGATTCCTATAATAAATTATAACCAATAAGTTAGTTTTATTTTTCCATTCGATTACAGAAAGTACAACAATTCACATGAACAATAAATCTGTGTTATTTCCGGTTTTCTTTTAAACTCATCTCGATTAATGTTGCTATGTTCAAGGGATTAAAATATCACCCAAGACCAGTGAACGGAATGGAAGTCAGCAACGCAGCAACATAACAAGCTAAGCTATTCCTCTGAGCCTCAGCTCTGCTAACTAGAGGGAGAAGACCAGATTTAGACGGGAAAAGACATATATATATATATATATATATATATATATATATTCCACAAGCAACCCGGAAGAGCAAATGAACAAGCGCAGAACTCATGCGTATATATACAATACAAAAACGTCACAAAATAGCACACTAAAAAAGAAAACGAACCAATGACATTTAAGGTCTTTCCAGGTGATAAAAATGGGAACTTTTGGAGCAGAAATGTGAGATACGAATAAATATAATTAACCTACAAAAATGAGTCTACCAAGTGCTTTCTAGGGACATAGCATCCCCAAGCAAATGTACCTACACTTGGTATTGCAAATCAAATACACATTGTTTTACCAATAATATAAGGAGGAATTCAATTTCTTTTAAGCAAACAAATACATCTTGACAGGTAAATCTTTCTCATTTAACTGTTCTCTAGTCCAAGCCTATTCCTAAAAATGACCATTATACATTGTAAATCTATTGTAACGATATTATATGAATAATTCCAAATGAGTTGACAACTGTTTAAAGGTAATTTTATGATGAACATGAAATCAGGTCAAAAATTAGATTTATTAGCCCAAAAAGTTAAATGGTTTTCGACGCAGTAAAAGAACAAAAGAATGATCCCGGTGATTATTTTTGACAAGGGTGAAAACAGCGAAATAAAAAAAAATATTCATTTATTTGATGATTAGAAAGGATTTAAATTATTCTATTTTTGATAATCTTGACTAAATTTTGATCCATATTTCATAGCACATATACATTATGAGGTGATTGTCTCGATATAACCAATTAGACACAAATTTTACACTAAATAGATTAATTTATGGCTAGCAGTGACATCCATGAAACGTGTTTCATTCTATTCAGGACTCCATATAAGGATGTACCTGTATCCTAGTGTTGATCTGCATAATGGGACACAGACATATCTCACTGAAGAGTATCAAATAGAGAGAAATGTGCGTCTTCAATTACACTGGTAGCCACAAATCTATCTGTTCCATAAAAACAATGATTAGCAGGGAAAAAAGCTCAACATCAGTATTTTATTTTTAATCCTCTTAACTTGTGGTAGGTAGATAGAACTTTAAAACTAACGTCCGAATTACATATATGAGATACTAACAACCAGCTATTCGAACTGCAGTCGATGAAATACAGGATTCAAACATTCACTTCCCTAATCCAATAGAGTGATTAAAAGAAGTATGAAATACGCTTACTTTGTTTGATCTTTAATGTAGTGGCATTCACCTTTCAAACTCCGCCTGTAGCTCTTATAGGGTTGCTGCCGGTCCCAAGCCCGGGTAAAGGAGGAGGGTTGGGCATGGGGTTAGTGTCCCCATCCCGTAGAAAACTAACTCGCTAAAAAAACGCTTACCAGAAAAAATAATCCAAACCATTTTAACTCTGCCCTGGGAGTTAGAAGGTCTTCATCTAGAAGAATTATGACGCTTCATGGTGAAAGCCGAGTTCCTTCGGAAGCCACGAGGCCGATGCCCCTTCTAACAACCAGAGCAAAAATTTTTATAGGTACATGGAACGTTCGAACAATGTGGGAAACCGGGAAGACCAGTCAAATAGCAATGGAAATGAGGAGATACAACTTAGCAGTACTGGGAATCAGCGAAACCCACTGGACCCAAGCTGGACAGAAAAGGCTAACTACGGGAGAGATGCTGCTATACTCCGGTCACGAAGAGGACAATGCTCCACACACTCAGGGAGTCGCTCTTATGCTGTCCAAAGTAGCACGAAATGCACTTGTAGGATGGGAATCTCACGGATCCAGAATCATCAAAGCATCATTCAAAACAAAGAAGGAGGGGATCTTAATGAATATTATCCAATGTTATGCACCCACCAATGATAGCAACGACGAAATCAAAGATCAGTTCTACGAGCGGCTGCAGTCAATCATTGAGAAATGCCCAAGAAAGGACCTAACCATTCTGATGGGAGATCTAAATGCCAAAGTTGGAATAGACAACACTGGATATGAAGATATTATGGGACGACATGGACTGGGAGAAAGAAAAGATTTGCAAATCTATGTGCATTCAACAAATTGGTCATAGGAGGCACAATATTTCCACACAAGCGTATACACAAGGCTACATGGATCTCACCGGACCACACTACAGAGAACCAAATAGATCATATTTGCATCAACAAAAAATTCCGAAGGACAATGGAAGATGTGAGAACCAGGAGAGGTGCTGACGTAGCTTCAGATCACCACCTAGTTGTAGCCAATTTGAAACTGAAGCTAAAAAAGAACTGGACAAGTGGACAAACAGCAATACAAAGGTTCAATACAGCCTTCCTTCGAGATACTGTCAAACTCAATGAATTCAAGATAGCTCTCAACAACAGGTTCCAAGCCTTACGAGATCTACTGAAAGAAGAAACTACTATGGAGGACAACTGGAAAGGCATCAAGGAAGCATTAACTTCAACGTGTCAAGAGGTTCTCGGTCTAAAGAAATACCATCATAAGGAATGGATCTGTACAGAAACACTGGACAAGATCAAAGAAAGGAAGAACAAGAAGGCAGCAATTGACAACAGCCGAACACGAGCAGAGAAAGTCCAAGCACAAGCTGAATACATAGAAGCAAACAAACAAGTGAAGAGGAGCATTAGAGCCGACAAGAAGAAATACGTGGAAGAACTAGCAACGACGGCAGAAAAAGCTGCTTGAGAAGGAAATATGGAACAAATATATGATACATCGAAGAAACTAGCAGGGAAATACAGTAAACCAGAGAGGCCGGTCAAAGACAAAGAAGGCAGGTCAATCACCGAAATTCAACAACAGCGTAACAGATGGGTAGAGTACTTCGAGGAACTCCTGAATAGGCCGGCTCCAATGAATCCACCGGACATCGAAGCAGCACACACAGATCTTCCTATAGATGTCAATCCACCAACTACGGAAGAAATTAGAATGGCCGTCAGACAAATCAAGAACGGGAAAGCAGCAGGACCCGACAACATACCAGCTGAAGCACTGAAATCAGACATCGAAGCAACCACAAGCATGCTTTATCTTCTATTCAAAAAGATTTGGGAGGAGGAACAAGTGCCGATGGACTGGAAAGAAGGACACCTCGTCAAGATTCGAAAGAAAGGAGATCTGAGCAAATGTGAAAACTACAGAGGCATTACACTACTGTCAATACCAGGGAAAGTCTTCAACAGATTGTTGCTGAACCGGATGAAGGATGCAGTAGACGCCCAACTTCGAGATCAACAAGCTGGATTCCGTAAGGATCGGTCGTGCACAGACCAAATTGCAACACTACGGATCATCGTCGAACAATCAGTTGAGTGGAACTCATCACTATACATCAACTTCATTGATTATGAAAAGGCATTCGACAGTGTAGACAGGAGGACGTTATGGAAACTTCTTCGACACTACGGAATTCCTGAAAAGATTGTCAATATAATCCGGAACTCATACGACGGACTACAGTGCAAAGTAGTGCATGGAGGACAGCTGACAGATGCATTCCAAGTAAGGACCGGAGTCAGACAAGGCTGTTTACTCTCTCCCTTCCTCTTTCTTCTGGTGGTCGACTGGATTATGAAGACCTCAACATCTGAAGGAAAACACGGAATACAATGGACAGATCAGAATCAATTAGACGATTTGGACTTCGCAGATGACCTAGCCCTCCTATCCCGTACACACGAACAGATGCAGATGAAGACAGCCAGTGTAGCAGCAGTCTCTGCATCAGTAGGCCTCAGCATACACAAAGGGAAAACTAAGGTCCTCAAATTCAAAGCGGAGAACAGCAATCCAATCACTCTTGATGGCGAAACTCTGGAAGATGTAGAATCCTTCACATACCTGGGAAGCATCATCGATGAACAAGGAGGATCCGATGCAGACGTAAAGGCGAGGATCGGCAAAGCAAGGGCCGCATTCCTACAATTGAAGAACATATGGAACTCAAAACAACTTTCAACCAATATCAAAGTCACAATCTTCAATACGAACGTCAAGGCAGTTCTACTGTATGGAGCTGAAACTTGGAGAACTACAACAACCACCATCAAGAAGGTACAAGTATTTATAAATAACTGTCTACCCAAGATACTCAACATCCATTGGCCGGATACCATCAGCAATAGCCTTCTGTGGGAGAGAACAAACCAACTTCCAGCTGAAGAAGAAATTTGGAAAAGACGATGGAAATGGATAGGACATATATTACGCAAATCGTCAAACTGAATCACGAGGCAAGCCCTAACTTGGAATCCTGAAGGGAAGCGAAAAAGAGGAAGGCCAAAGAACACATTGCGTCGGATAATAGAAGCAGATATGAAAACGATGAATTACAACTGGACGGAGCTAGAAAGGATTGCCCAGGACAGGGTTGGATGGAGAATGCTGGTGAGCGGCCTATGCTCCTTCACGAGGAGTAACAGGAGTAAGTAAGTAAGTAAGTAAGTATTCACCTTTCAGCCACTAAATCCTAATTTAAAACCTTACCTTAACTACTTTGGTTTAGGCGACCAGATATTAAGTATCACTGGCTTTCATTCAGGCCCCCAAATGCTCTTATACGGCCGAAGGTGGGGAGAGTCCGCTCTTCATCTCTAAATGCTCTCATATGGTCACGCGTATACAGCCACTGCTAGGAAACTCCTACTCACTGCCTTCTTGTGGCGAGGGTGTTGTTTACAAAATTGAGAGGACGAAAAGCGAATGTCCAGCGCTTTAATCAGACCGGGAGACACGAAGAGTCCATCTACGGGAAGTTGGAAAACCCTCATTTCAAACCGATAATGTACATGGGCTCCAGGATCCTAAAGGAACAAATAATATATGAACCAATCGTTGGTCACCGGATACCATGGGATCGCATCTCCTGACGTTACTCTACTGCCTTGTGGATCAGATATTTAAGTCTAAGGCTCCGGGTGTGACTCCCTAAGAAAACCATCTGCTTCGGTTTAGGCACCCGAACAGTATCATAGCCCACACACAAATCAAGTGACTTGTATTCAGTGCTCCTTTGTAATAATATTTATGTGTTCAAATAAATAAATAATAAATAAGCTTTCATAGGTGAGACTATAATTTATGGACGAATCAATCAGGTATAAACCAAACAGGTTTCGGATTCATTCATCCATTTAACTAAATAGAGTCTTGGTATTATAGCTGATATCAGTTCATGATGAAAACCCTAAATCTAATTTCAAATCTTAACTATCAACTGTAAATCATCATTCAAATTCCTTACACTAATTTATAATCCTCATTTGATCTTAGTTATTAGATGAACACTCACAAGTTCAATCTAACATCATTCAAAGGTTGTCCATAAATTATAGTAGCCTACGATAAATTCTCCTAATCCAGAAGCTAAAATAAAGTAATATGAGCTTAACATTATCAACCGATATTACATACTAAACAAAATAAAAGAACTTACTACATTTGTTTTATCTTGATATAATGATAATTTTTCAGTTAATTGACTTAATTCTGAACGTGCATCATTTAATAATTGATCAGTATTAGTTAATTCATTTTGTAAACGAATACGTGAATCAGTTAACATATCTACTGATTCACGTAATGATATATTCTCACTAATAATAATTCAATATTGAATAAATAATTATTACTATAGTGATTAATTAATCATTATTATTACCATTATTATTATCATTATCATTATTATTATTATTATTAAACAATATTGAACAATAAAATACAGAAATAATTGAATTAATCAAATAATTATTATAAAATAGAATTTAATTATCTAGATTTCATTATCACACATCACACATATTGATTGATATTAATTTTGAAAATAGAGAATAAGTGATGTGAAGAATCGAGATCAGTATAGGATTGTGGAGATTATTACGTTTTTTTTTATTAAGATCAAGAACCGATTGATGTTAGATCATCATTGAAAACCTTGAAGCACTGAACGGCCGTTTCGTCCTATTGTGGGACTTTTCAGCAGTGCCCATCGACGATCCTGCTCGTACGATTCGAATCCACGGCCCTCAGTCTCGCGCGTGAACGCTTAACTGAGCCGGCATCCAATAGTGTTAATGTCTAACCTAGTGATGTAGGTAATTATTAATTAACTATGTATTGTTGTGAAAAGCATTGATAGTGTTTGATGGAGAAGTTAAACAAATAATCCTAAAGTTAAGCGTAAGGTAGTTTTATATTAGATGATGAGTTTAGTGAATATTTACTAACTACTGAATTGAGTGTATTAAGTGTATACCCAACCACTGCCTACATCGATACACAGCGGGATCATTGATATAGAAGGTTGAAAGAGATGTACAAACTCCCAAAGTAGAAATCGATATCAGCCCATGGAAACATTGACTTTTAAACAAGTCAGATTGGTTTTAATCAGGTAACTACTGAAAAAACCAAGTCATTGGTTCGATGACTGAGATCATTAAAGTGTCTGGTATTTTCCTGAGGGGACAAATGATGTATGAACCTATTGTTAGTCATCGGGTACCATGGGACTGCATCTCCTAACGTCGCTTCACTACCTTGTGCAATAAACCTTTACGTCAAAGGCTCGGAAAATGTCTCCCTAAGAAAACCACTTGCTTCGGTTTGGGCGCCCGGGCAGTATTCCAACCCTCGCAAAAATTGAATGATGAAGTCAGGTGCGTTTATATTCGGTGCCTTCTCGTACTAATGTTTGTGTTTAAATAAATAAATACAGTAAAGTCGTGATGTAATTGACAAAACAGAACAATCTCAGAAAACGCATTACACTACTAATCCACTGCAAGTCATTCATTCCTAAAATAATGTGCATCATTGTGATGGCTTGAGACAATCAGACATATCACATCGAGAACGAATGATAAGTGAAATATGTTGACGGTTACACACTCAACTGGTCAACGTTCAATTTAGTTTTCCAAGGGAGATAAATATACGATATTGTTTGATAAGCTCGTTTAAATTTACCGAGAACGCATGGTCATATTAAGTAATGAGATTATGTGCATATTTCGATTTGGTTAGCCAATACAGCTTCATGTTCCCCTTTCGTTTTCCTATTCAATTAGTTGATTGAGCTACAGTATAGGAAGTGTGTATAACGGTAATATAAATGGGACAACCGCCAAACACAATTTTCTGACAATAGGTCAACTCAACACATTTTTATGTTGAGTAGTGTGAGCGTAGAATAAACAGAATTCATTTAGTTTGAACAGACTAAAGAGGCGAGTATATAAATAGATATTATTAGAGCGCCTTTTACATATAAAAAGAAGTTAGCATCGGTCATCGATTCCAAATGTCATTGTAGTTGTAAGCTAATAAAGTTTTATACAGTAGAGAAAAGAATATGTTCAGTTACTCAGTTAACAAAATCCAACATCAGTAATAACAAAGATAGTAGAACAATAGTCACAAATACTTTGTAGATTAAAAATAAGACCGAAAAATCTGTTCAACTTACGATGTTAAATGGTCAATTCTGGCTAGTAGGTCGTCTTTCACAACATTGAGAGCATTTCTTTAAACACACACACATACACAAACACAAGCATCATAGAATGTTTAATATGATGAAAACAAAAGAAGAAATGACAAAGAATATGAAATGTTATCTCTGAAAAAGTATATTTACAAGTTTATAATTCTCATTGTAGTTAATTAATAATCTTGAGGACATGATCTCTATTTCAAGGTAAGTTAGAAAAGACTACAAAATTAATCGATCAATAGATTCGTCCACCGTTGTAAGTTAGAGTGCACTGGTCATCAAACCAATGATTACAAAACACTTAAGGATGTTTGGAATTTAAAAGATAGATTCCCGAAACGTATTTGTTATTATAACCGACTTGGACATATTCAGCATAGCATTAACCAGAGACCTGGTACTTGATTACATGATTCATATTTTCCACGGAATGATCTGATGTTCCAGTTTAACCATCATAAGACTTTTCAATTCCCATTTTTATTTAGACTATATAGGTTTATGTCAATGTAACGAACCATCTAGCTACCATAGGTGATAGAACCTTGTAAATTTACTATATAATTTGTCAATTTACCTGGTACTTTAAATTTTAAATATGTACTCTTTAAGAGATGGTTTCACTACAGGCAAGTGATATATTAAGATGGAATATATATACAACCCAAAACCTGTAGAGTATTGATACCTACATTCCGTTTTTAAAGACGGCATCCTATACCAGATGATAATATGTAGTCCGTCCAATGAATACGCAGATTCAAGTCATAAAATTTTTAATTTACAAAATTTATAGTAAACTAATCTTATCGTCTTTAAAGTATTCCCTTTTGTGGCAGTAAGCTCATCCTTTCTTCGTTTTCCCTGTTTAAAATATAAATGAAAGTCCTCAAAAGCTGGACTTTACAACTACTTCGTTATTTCTTAAACACGGACGTTTAGCAAGAATAGTTTAACACAGACAATTTCCTTTAAATCGGCGACAAATTATGTCGACGGCTGCCCTAAACTCATATCGTCCTTGCAGTTTTCATCACGATTTTCATTAAAAGACTTGATATAATTTATAAAGAGCTGTTTTCTCAAATGTATTATCGCCATTAACAGTCCTTAAAATTTCATGAATTCACTTGGAGATTTTTTGGATTTTCATTATAGCATCGATGTGAGGTGTTCACGTATTGATAGAATAGACCACTTACTAATTATCCATCTAAATCATATCAAGCAATAGTGTATTTGAGTCTTAAATAGAAATGAACAATAACCAAATACCATACTTCTTTGGGACGAGCATTAACAAGCGCCAATTCACCACCTACTTTGATGGGCGATGTTAACTGATGGAGCGGTAAGTAGGGAGAAAGTTAGGGGCAGCTAAACTAAAATGTGAAATGAAAACTACTCGACTTAGTTTTCACATGTTTATTCATAGATTTATGAATATTTTCGTAATATACACCTCAATATTCACTCTCTCATTGAACAACTTTGCGTTATACATTATTAAGGTGGTAAACAAAAGTATGAGAACTACCTGGAACCCTTCCATACACATATTAAGTTATAAGAATCAATTGAAATGAGTTACAACGAGTTATATCTTCACATTCTGATATTGAATGCCTTTAGTTAGACAAACATAGGAAATCAGGAAATCCTGAAAAACAGTCAATAACTCCAACAATATGCCATATGGATAATCATTATGTTCTTAACAGTGGCTAACTTCGAGGTGTAATTCTTGAAGTTCTAGTCAGCAGCATTCATCAATTTAAGTTCAACCATGTCAGACGTGAGATAAATATAAATAATGACAATTGATGATAGATTGCATAATGGTAGAAACGAAATTTAAGTATATCAACCCTGTGATCCAAAGATTGAGCGGTCATCTCGAGCACTGAAAACCTTGGGTTTGATCCCAGTAGGAAGATTCATGAATGTACACAAGTGATGAGTGCCTCCCTTGTTTATATGATAGTCAAAATTAAATCAGATGGTGATATAAAATTATCAACAGTACAACTGTTGAACAAATACTAATCACAAGTACTAACAATTAGAGTGTACAATTGTCATGACAATTATCAGAAATAATATTTCATTCATTAATGCGACAAAAATAACTTAAATAATAGTGTAATGTATGCTACTTATGTTTGTCGACATAAGTAGTAGGTAAAACCAGTGAAAACCCTGGCAGCTGAAGGCTAAAAAGATAGAACTGAAGAGAACAGAAAGGAATTGCGAATAAGAAGAATCATACAGAATGTGAAGGGCAAATGATGGAAATTTGTAAATAAAGTATTCAGTGTATGATCCTTATATTTTACCAAGGTACGCTGTAATTTTGTACTAAATAGATTGGTTGTCCTAACTTGTATTCTCGTTTACTGACATGATGGGTCATCGTCGTATTTTGGGGATCAATAAATCTTCACTTATACCAGTCTTTGTGTTTTTACTTTCGCGTCGTGGGAATTGCAGTGGTCTGTCGTTCCGAACATAGGTGATAAGAGTTTCCGACATAACAATCAGCGACGAGCAGATATAACAAATAGCATTCAATTGACAAGTTATAACATTTACAATAATAATAGACGAATTCACTTACTTCATTTCAACAAGTTCCATATTCTCTTTGATTAATACATCAATCTCTTTACGCATACCAGCTAAATGAATGAACATGAAAGTGTAAAATTGAAAATATTTCATTTCAACATGCAAAAATCAAATACTAAATTAAAACTATTTCTATGATTGATTATTAATTGACTGGATCAACAATAAAAACAAATCAACTATATCATAAATTAAAAACTAATGACTATTTAGCAGTGAATAAGCATTTCTTTTCAACAACATCATCTTTCCTGTAGTTACACAAATGTATTTAACATTCATGGTAATAGTAGGTCGTATCTATCGTAGATTGATTTTAGTTAATGTGTCATTAAAAAAAAGGTAGCACCGGACAACTATCTCATCATAATATGGAACATTTTAACGTTGGACACCAATGACTTCATCGGGAAGCAAAAACACAGAACTTTCACGTCTCATATAGAGCATTTCAACATTTAGACTTAACTAAGTTAGTATTTTATGGCTTACATTTCAAACTCCAATCAATTTATGAGTGAATAAGGGATTGGATCATAAATGGCATGGAAATACTGAATATATTCAATGATGATTATGTAACGATTTTAAAAGATAGTGAAAAAAATTAAAAAGATGGAAATAATTTTGTAGATGAGAGAGAAAGAGAAGGATAATAGTTCACATTGGATGAATATGCAGAGAGTGAAGATGGAAAGAACAATTAAATGTCACGATAACAATAGTTAAGAAGAAAAAATTAATAGGAAAGAATAATAATAACAGTTGACTATTATTAATAATATTATTATTATCAACAATGGAAGACAAAGGAAAAACAAAAAAAGACATACGATATAAACTAAGAAGAGAAAACAAGAGGGTTAAGGCAACTATTCATTAATTCAATATGTACATAAAATTAAACTACGATCATGATAACCCATGAAATACATAATCCACTACTATTATGATGTGTACTACTAATGTCGACAGATATAGGTAGTATGCATCATCAATCGAAAGTGAAGGTTAAGATAATTGAAAAGACGAGAAAGAGAACATAGAGTGATTGGTGTGGAAACGAAGAAACAGTCAATTCTGAGAAAATGGATTCCATCAGAGCTGAGAAGGACCTGACATAAAGAACATTCAGTTACTATCCAATGATCAATCAATTGTAAAGCCAATTTATGTATTAACTATTTGTTTTGATAACGTGATGCGTGATAAACTTTGTCGCAATAAATATTCATACCAAGATCTACACTAATGATGGTGATGATAATTTTTAATAATCTGAAAGAATTATGTAATATAGATTACACACTGATCTGTCAAATCTTCAAGATAAATACACTTTAATGAATTACTGAACACGATTAATTATCCCAACTGGTCTTATATAATATATTTCAAGATTTTATTGATAGTTGACACCAATAAAATAGATGAATTAGATAAGTATAATATATGCAAATGTAAATGTGCAACACATTTCGATTATTGTTAACAAAACAGAACAAAAAGAAGTGTTGTAGTGTATATTTATTTGTATGTGTGTATATGTGGGGGGAGGGGGTTTGTTTGGATATACAATAAGTACATAGAAAGTGTAACATAATAAGTACACAAACAGTGAACTAGATCACACATGCACATTGTGTAACTATTTTTTCTCTTGTCCGTAAGACAGCATGTGAATGAAGTATTTCACACATTGATATACACTTAAACACTAAACTAAGATAAAAGAAGAGAAGTGCTAAACACTTTTTTTGTGCAGAAAGTGAATGAATGTGAGACAATATAAAAAAACAGATAGAATACAACCATTATCCATTTACTAGAATTAATTTTACAACAGTAGAAATATCACCTACCAAATTCAATGATTTCAAATTCTGGATTAATTGTATTAGGATAATTGTCTAAATATGAAGTCATTAATTTAACAAGGGGACGAATGAGATAGATGTGTACAAAAGAAAATAAAAACATATATATTTATGAAAGGTAATTAACTTTATGCAATGTGTATGTGCAAGAAAAAGGTTATTCAATATCTACTCATCATCTCTTTTTTCTCTTCCCAAATTTATTTCACTGGATTATACCCATTGAATAACATCTTCAAACCCTAATCTTCCCGATTACTGCTTATACTCTTACTACCTCTACCACTATGGTATTTGAATCGACAACTGCATCTCTGTGCTAATGTGGTATGGCAACTCGAACTGATGTACGTACGTACGAAGTTCTACGTTGTTACTGACTGACTGACTGACAATAGAAATCAATTAAGAATAGTTTACAATGTATGTTGACATGATTTGAAAGTAGTATGGGTAATCGAAAAAAAATAGTGGGATATTTTCTTTTTATTTATATTCTAAGATATTAACAAGTACAATGGTTCATCAGTATTATATTATTCATAGTTCTTAGGGTCTTGAGATTATATATTACTGACACAGTTTATCGCAAGTTCAAACAATACAGTTTCATAAGTACTGTTTTTCATCTTAAACATTATGAATGTGATGTCAGATGAAAATTCATTACTCACCAAAGTAGATAGAATGAAATTCGAACATAAGACACAGCAACTAACCACTAAATCTCTGAGGAACTGATCTCTCTATTGTTACATTCATTCTATCTTACTATCAACCATTACAATAGTTCCTAAGACTGATAGATTATAATTAGTCTCGCATTTGCAAAATATCAACAAATGAAACGGGCATCCTGGATTCCACTGCTAGCTACATTTCATCTATTCTATAATAACATTTTTTACCGGTTATCTTTCACACTCATGTAATAGAACAGTAAAACATTACCTTATCATCCATTCATTAAAAAGACAAGATATTTTGAAAACAATATTCCTTAGTGTAACTCAATTAAATCTACAAACTATAAAATCTCTCTTATGACGAAAACAAAACGATACTACAATCAGTTTATTGAATACAACTAATAGATTGACAGGTTAATCAATAAAAGATATCACAATGTTATATGATGTATACACTTTCAATTCTCAATTAACATCAACAAAATACCGAAAAAAGTTAAACAACATCTTCAAATAAACAAGAAATAATCAATTAAATAGACATAGAAGAACACTAACAATAACGTACTAACAATAGAATGTTAGCAACTTGTATTTAGCCTAACTTTTTGATGACATTATTTTGTATATCTGATTACAGAATATCTATTTCGAGTTGATTGTCAATATTACCATTCTTTAGTAAATAGTTCAATTGTGTCCAATTTACTTATATTGAAGATTTAATATTGTTCTGGAATTTGAAGAATTGTTTAATCAAAACCAACTGTTAGAGTTTAACTGACAATGTTTTACATAGTTTACATCATAGACTGAGTTAAGTTAGATAAACACTGAAAGTCAAGAAGCAATGGATAGAGGTTTTGTTCTAGTATGAGACTTCTCGGCAGAGTGAATGCATAACTATAAAGGTTAATTGAACCGAATACTTCTGAGTATAGCAAGTACTTAACAACCTTATTGATAAGTTGGTATTCAACAGTTCACATCAACAATTTTAATCAATTCGGAATAATGTCCAACCAACTTCTAATGCCAATGATTAGGTACCTCATACGCGAAATAGTTGGACTCCACCGGTTACAGTTACTCACCAGAACTTAAACAATAGTCTTTTGAAATTATTCACTGGTGAGTATATGATTATTATCAGTGTAACACAAGTGACATACACTCATTGGCTACTCCTAAGAGATGATACATAATACATAGTGTAGATATAATACAACTATTTGGTTGTAATTTTATTCAACACTACATTACTTATTATATATATAAAATACAAAAAACAATGTATAATTATAAAGGCGTGGCAGCTAATATAATTTGGATTAAACTTGTGATTGTCACATCACAAGCTGAATACATATTGATAAAAGTAAGAATGAGAAAAAGTAACATGACGAAAGCTTAAGGACGAAAAAGGAAAGTACACAAATATGTAGTGAAATAAATGCATGTTGTTACTGTTACGCCTTTCACTTGATTACGGTAAATACGGTATACAACGCGTAGAACCCCACAGGCGCAAATCAAAAGACGGGAAAAACAGGGGAAGCAATCATTAGGTAAGAATCAAAAATGGACAGAAAAAGAAGGATATTTATAGTTTTTAGTATAGGTTATAACGTGATTATCATACAGCTCATCCGGAATTAAGAAGTTATGCAATTGTCCAACCACTGAATGCCACGTTGATATTCTAGAAGGTTCTACCGTACTCTGATGGAATGGAAACTCTTCGGCTCCCATAGAGCCTCCATAGGCTCCGTCGTGCTTTATTGGGAACCGTTTCCAAGAGATATTAAGTTATCCATTGTATAGTAGAGTAGTATTAGAAAGTGCAATTTAAACATAACGTATCGACTAGTAGTGTATTTTTGTTGAAATTGAGCAACAAAAAATAAGCTTTATGAAGAGTGAAGAGTCCCTACTCAAGTACTATGGGTTAATTCATATCTTATAGAGAATTGTCATCAGAATAGTAAACTTCAAGTGTTATTCGTTATGGTTACTCCCTAACTCACTTTCTATTTAGTTGCGTCGCAGATGTTTTTCTAGACATCACACTTCATCTAACTCTTCAAAAACTGACTTCTCACTAAGAGATTAGTCAAACAAATTGGAATGGGTAGATAATATGATCTAATTTGATGATGATAAAGGGGTCCAGGGTTTCCTAAGCATTTAGGACGCATTCCCCTACTTATAAATGCAAATTTTCTCTGTAGGTCTAATCTGAATAATCTTCTAGACTGGTCGCAGTGAATGGAGTAATTGAGTGACTTGACTAATGGTAGAATGTACTAGGCAATTGTTCGGTTTGCATTACTCTATGACTGTGAAGGATGGTTTATTTAACCGGCTTACGACAGTATAAGTCTTCGAAACAATGTTCGAGTATCGCAAAACGACCGAGTTAGTTATATTAATGCCCATGCATAGAGTACTAGGAAAAGATAGCAAATCAATTGATGCGGTAATAAATATTCCACAAATGAAGTGGTTGACAAATGTGTTGCAGTATTACCAACTACAATCTACCTAGACGTGCAGTCTTTGTCGGTGTAAGAGTAAGAATTCTAACGCTGGTCAAATCAAAATTTGGCACCAAGCTGTGAACTCAATGACAGCGAATCTGAGCCATCACAGTTAAAGCGAAATAAACAAGTATGCATTAGTGAAGTCTCGTTAAATATTTTTCAACCGAAAATTGCATGGAGGAAGTACAATCTATTCCTTAAAAAATATCATATTGAGCTTCTGCATAATAACTATATATATGCTTAATTTGCATAATGATTAACACGTAAATAAAACGAATTCTTTAAGTCTTTATACAAATACATATGAAATTAAAGTATTTCTTATGATCAGAATGAAATGTGATCAATTGTTAGTAGAATGAAATTCATTGATTTCACAATTATTATACACACATTGTATAATTATTCCAAATAAAAAAATACCAAATTTACGTGTAACATACAATTGAAAACCTGGATCTCACTCGCGGAATCGTGTATGCGCACTGCTGAGGAGTCCCATAATAGGACGAAACAACCGTCCGGTGCTTCCGGGTTTTTAATGGTGGTCTAACATCAATCGGTTCAAGATCTTAATCAATAACTTAATAATCTCCACAACCCTATACTGACATTTTCCAAGTGTTGAAAGCTATTTATAGAAGTGCAATATTGCCCAACATGTTTCTGAGATAGAACAAGTACTTCAGTGACAACCGGTAAAGATTGAAAGGATTACACAAAATCATAATGACTGCAGACCTCGCGTTTTAATGAAAACATCGAAAGTGTACAGTATATTTTCTATTATAATCACCGATCCACTATTTGAATGGTTTATAAATTTAGAAAACATCCGTGGACAACATTAAAGCAATGCAATTTATATTTATATTTATATAGTCTCTTATTCACAGTGAAATGTCAACGTATTGTATTTTTAACCGAGATCATATTAATAGCTTTATTTAGCTGTTATATCCTAGCGAATGATGGGTAACTTCTGAGGACTATTTATGAACTAATATTATATATATATTCCTATTGTATAACTATTCAGTATATTCATATTCCTCTTATTATAAGCTTTATTTTGACTAGTATCAGAATGGGTTTTGTTGAGGTTGTAGTAATTTCAATAGTTCAGATCATGAGTCAATTGAAGCTAGACCACCATGGAAAACCTCGAAGCACTGGACGGCCGTTTCGCCCCATTGTGGGACTCCTCAACAGTGTGCACCCACGACACCGGATTCGAACCCAGGACCTATCAGTCTCATGCGCGAGCGCTTAACCACTAAACCTATAGATTATTATGATACGATTTACCATTCTTAAGTTATGCCCAGTTTATTAATTACAGTGTCCCACAGTCACAACCACTTTTTGGCTTGAAGTTTTACAAATGTTGTTTCCTATTTTATTGTATGATGTAGTCTCTTTGGCTTGTATATAAAGCAGGTATGTTTGAAATAAATTATTCGTATAGTGGGTGGTGGTTTTGGCGTTCTTTTCTCAACTAGCAGAGCTACGAGGAAAATAACCAATAAGGAGGCTAGGTTGTTCATACCAGTCGATAAGCCATTAGTTTGGCACAATGCTAACATTGTATAAGTCGTATTCCGATTGGCGAATAAGTCACATGATAATTAGCCGGGCTAAAAGATATAACAGTAGAAAACTGCCAAAGAATTTGTAAGACGAATTAACTAAGAATTGCAAATGATAAGTAATGCAAACAGTGAATCAGTTATACGATATATAAATGATATGTATTATTCTTACCAGGTAGATCATCGTCGACATTTAGACCACCACCTTCCGACTCCAGAGTATTTGGGAGTTCATCAAACTCAAATCCACCGCTAAAAGGAGTAAGAAAACTATTTAACTTATAGATTTAATCCAATTAGATAGAAAGTTTACACTAACCTAAGCCTTTTGTAAAAATGAAAGAACCTATTTGAAGAAAATGATCAAAAATAATTAATCTAATTAGATTCTCCACCTAAAAATGCAAAATGTTGATTCAGGATTTGGTTGCATCGACACCCGAACCAATGATAGGGAGTGAAGTAGTTGAGCGTGTCGACCGTTTCACTTATCTGGGAAGTCTCATCAGCCCTTGTGGTCTGGTGTGTGACGAAATCTCAGCACGGATACAGAGCGCCCGATTAGCTTTTCCCAACTTGCGTCATTTATGGCGTATGTGAGATATCCGTCTACCAACTAAAGGACGGGTCTACTGCGCAGCAGTCCGTTTCGTCCCACTTTATGGCAGTGAAGCATGGCTGGTAAGAGTAGAGTAAATTCATAGGTTACTAGTATTTGATCATAGGTGTCTTCGAAACATTGCTCGTATATCCTTTGTCCATCGGATAAGTGACGCAGTTGTTAGGAAACGGGTACTAGGTAAGGATAACAAATCAATTGATGAAGTAGTGAAATTTCATCAGTTGAGATGGCTGAGACACGTGTTACGTGTGCCCAACCACTGACTGCTCCGACGTGCGATGTTGTATGGTGTAGGAGTAGGTTGGAAAGCTAGGGGAGGCCAGACCAAAACATGGCACAAATCCATTAAGTCATTGACAAGTGGACTGAGCTACGTTGGTAGGTGTAGACTACCTGGTTGGGGACAGCGAGATGATAGCAACCGATGGTTAGAGACCCTGAATGACAGGGTTCAAAATCGTTTGCAATGGCGCAGGTGCATCCACACTGTGTTCTCTCAAATTCTACTCTCCTGAATTTTTCATGTCTCTTTCTCTTTCCTCTTTCCAAATTTGCTTCACTGGATTATACTTCTTGAATAAAATTTTCAAATCCTAATGTTTCCGATTACTGTTTATACTCTTACTACCTCTACCACTATGGGATTTGAATCGACAACTGCATCTCTGTGCTAATGTAGTATGCCAACTTGAACTGATGTACGTACGTAGGTACGAAGTTCGACGTTGCTACTGACTGACTGAGATTCTATCACTAAACTTGATGAAGCTATTATAGAGATTAATACAATGTTCACAAGAAGGAGTATAACTAAGACAACATGCCTACTATTCATGGATTAGGTGAAGTGAAATTTTAGTTAGAGAATTTTGTAATTGATTATCTACAAACCTTGAACTACCTCGAAAAGCAACAACATACAGCTGTGAACAACAGATTGTGATGTTAGACTGTAAATAGATTCTAGGTGCTTCGGCATTTAAGTGGCGATCATGAGATGAAATTGAACTAAAGCAATAATTTTTAGAGATCCCATGAATAATATTGTGGAAGTTGGCTCATTGTTATTACCCACTCAGAACACAGGTGACACAAAATAGTAATGTATAGAAAAAACAATACTGTAGCAACAAATCAACTAGATTTGTGTTAGCGACTTCAAGATCATAGATAATGAATGAAAATTACAACGCTAACTACAGACCATCTTACGGCCAATATAAGCGACCATGCAATAATTCATTGTTTATAAAGGCGTAAGAATGAATGGCTGCAAAACATTACACAAGTACACGAGATAAAATGATGTTCCTATGTAACTTAAGGCTTCATAAAACAATAAAGGGCAGATTCCTTCTTCAGTGATTCGACGCTTAAACTTAAACCGATAGTGCAATTAGTACTTCAATGGACTACAGATACAGATATAATTACGGCTGCAGCTGTAACTGAGGTTTCTAGCAAGAGAAGCACATAGAATAACTAAGTGGTTTCTTTAATCTAATTGGTTGTTTCTTTGTGCCCGTTATACAAGTTTACAGAGAAAGACAGTTTCAATGCTTTCCCAATATACTATCTTCCATACTGATCCCTTCAATTCAGCAAATATGATCGGCAGTCAGAAGAACAAATTTTTATACCGAATTTACTTTGATTTTAAAAAGTAAGAACCTATCAGTAAATTTGACAAGTTTAGTAATCATGCTAATATTTGCATCAAGTGACAAGAAGTTGAATAATTCATCGGTTCAGATGATTTAAAACAGAATCACATAAATTTGTATTATTATCAATTCGGCACTGACACATCACTATTTGACTTGTACGTTGTATTATTCTATGTTATACAAGCGTAATTCCAATTTTCTTTTAGTGTATGCATTTATCAAAGAACTATACAACTTTATTTCATTCTCAATGTGTACATGAATACTATAATGTAGTCACGACTTCCAAATAGAATTAAACACCAATCTTGAATTCTACAAATAGCTGATATTCACATTGGTTGTCTATGAAGGGATTAAGCTGTTTACAACATTGACAATACTCAATACGTTTGTCGTATCCAAAATTACACTATAATATAGAACACTCATTCATTAAATGGATGTAAAAATAACTAAAAGTGCTGGGTACATAATATTCTGATTAAATGTCATCATCAATTCCAAATATTCTCAAAATTTAATTTAGCTTACTGGAAAGATAATAAATAACTTATTTTATGTGTACTTCAACAACTGATAATATTACATACAATTTAGTTATTATTATTATCATTATTATTATTATTAATGGCTTTATTCAACACTATAATTTTGGTACAATATAGAATTCTCAGCACAAAGTATTTCAACAAGTTTCCTTTTCTTATTTCATGATCGATCATGACAATAAATATTGATTGATCGCCAGCTAGATGTTCAGTCAGTCAGCTATAACGTAGAACCAGGTACATATATGCCATCAGTCTAAATTGCCATACCTCATTAGCACAACAAGATGAACACCAAATTCATAGAAGTAGTTATTTCAATGGTAGTAATATATAAGAGAAAGATTGTGCATAAGGATATAATACAGGAAGAAAGAATTAGTTCGTAAAAAGAAGAGTATGAAGCAACTTTAATCTCATGGGTTAAAGGAAAACAAAGAGTGTATACACAAACAGCATTGTGATTGATTCTGAGCCATGTTACACAGAGTCTTCAACTGTTAGTTACAATAGTTGCGCGGACCCAACAAAGTAGTCTACATCTACCGAAATGGCTCAGACTAGAATTTATTGACTTGAAGGATTGATACCATGTTTTGGTTTGGCCGCCCCTAACTTTATTAGATGTTAGCAGTTGAGAAATCCATATTTGAATAATGTTCATTCTTCTCAAGGCTCATAACCAGCCGCCACGATGCCTCTGATTGTACTTTTTTGTACCTTAGACGTATACGCGCCTGAATATGTTATGAGGCTAATAGATATAACAACGTGTTAAAACAAACAAAATCAGACTTGTTGAAATATCTAAATAGATGACAGAAACAGGTAGCCCAGATATTCAAGCAGGCCACCAAGATGTTTGAGGTCAACTATCGTTTTTTCAATGATCAATAAAAGTAAAATGTCTAGCATTATCTGCCACTTTTCCGTTTGTTTAGCTTGTGAGTGTAGCATATAGGGCTATAATTCTCACTGAGTATTTCATTTCCGTCATCTATAGCTATTTATGTATATCTTTTTAGTAACATATCACAGTAGAATATCTCAAATATCTAGATGAAACAAACAAATTAAATGAAATTTAGAGTTTGAAATGAAATTCTTAGTGAAAAAGTATACTTTCATATTCACCAAATGAATGGAAAAATGTCCGACAATATGCAATACATTTTGTATATTGATCAATGAAAAACGAATAAGTTACAAATTCACAAACGTATATCCTGTCACTTCTCTATGAATGCTTTAAAACTAACTTATAAACCAACCAAAGAAGAAAGACAAACAATCTGTTTTGGTATGAAAATTCAAAATTTACTTTACAAGAGAGAAACAAATGAGAAATAATGACAACTATAATAAAAGAGATGATGTGAACATTATCATACAGAACAAATTCTAACCTGTAAGAATTATGCTTAAAATCATTTCAAAAGTTGAAATACAACTCTATTTCTCAAGAATTACTTCGACAAGTTTAATTTACTGACAAATGTGTACTATGTATATATATATACACCAAGATTTGAACCAGCCATCAAAAATAATTAACAAGGTCAAGTTCAATAAGTAAACATGATTGAACAAGTGTGTTTAGTATGGATTTGCTTGTTATAACCTTATTTTATGTCTTTTATTTTTATGAAGTTAGCTCAGACTAGTCTACTGAGTGAGATATTGGAATTATTCAAAAATATCAATCGCTAAAATTATTTTATATAGATAACTTTTACATCTCTGGAATAACCTACCACAATCTATCCGTACGATAAAATCACTCCCATTATTTATTCGTTGCATCGATGCATACTGCTCCTCTGAAAATGCATTGAATGGTCTAGCACCTGGAAGTGTATCTCATTCCACAAGTAATATTATAGGAACTTTGAATATTTAGCCATTTTTATTCGTGCATTCCCTAAGTAAAACCACCTACTTGCTGTGACTTTATGTTAACACTGTCCCTAGCAAGTTTAACTAATTTGAATAACATCAACAGTATATCACTGTGTAACATGACACACGCATTTAGGTAGACCTGATTCATATATTTTAGTAAACACTGCTTTGTTGTTCCGTGCTCTCTGTTTTCGTTTTAATTTCTCTAGTTGTAGATAATTATCATTAATTCGATCTGGCACACGAAATGATCTTAATTACACCGTTCATAATTCAACGGGCTGGCCATTTAAGAAATATTAAAAATTCCCGGCTGATGAATTGGATCGCTGTAAAACATGTACTGCCTAAACAACTACTGAACTAGTATACTTAAAACTTTCTTCTATCACATGTTTGTTCTGTACATCTAATGTTACTATTTATATCAAACTGATCATGCCTGTAAACTGGCGTGAATTCTGTAATTATTATTTTCAGAATATAAATTATTATTATTATCTGTCTGTTACTGATTACCAGATAATTTGAATTCTACAACATTTGTGGAAAAAGCTCTTAAAAATATTAAAATTTATACGAACAGACGAATAGACAGAGAGAAAATAACCAGAAATACATCATTCGTTGAGATGTTAGATGGTTGGAAGAAATCCTGTTTGAAGTGGGTTCCGTGTTGGTTGGCATTTGTCGTGGCAAGGTATATCTCCAATATCGGGGAAACGGATGCTTCTCTTAGGCTTTTAATTCGAGTTACTTAGCTTCAAAGTTTGAGAAGTTATCAATGAGCTATTCAGGCAGTAACTGTAGTAGGAGTGAAATATTCACAACTAAATAATGACCGAGTAGTGACCATTGTCATGCTTATCCACTGCCTTAGCACTGATCGAATCTTGTCGATTAAATAGCCACTCGATAAGTAGTACTGCTTTAGAATGTGAAGTTGGGTGATGCAGGTTAGAAATCCATCCATTTCCTCGAAATCACAGGCACGCCATGCTGGCTAGCGCCAACTAGCAGAAAACCAAAGTCAACCGAGGTCTCCTGTTCACTACCTCTGAACAACAAACACTTTAAAATAGTGAATGCGATGTTGGGTCACTTAAACTGGTTAACGGACACATAGCGATTTGGTCGATCGAATCCGATCAACACTTTAAGGACTAGATAGGCATGATAATGCTTACTCCTCAGTCCTTAATCAAAAATATACACATCATCCGAATAATTTTATCATTAATCACTCGATTTTATGTATTTTTTAATACATAACTGATGTACACTTACCCAGTAGTATCATAGCCAACACCAAGTGAATTCGAATGAACTGCTGAAATATTAATGTACAATAATTAAAGCTTGTGTATATACATTGAAATAATGAAAATTAACCATCACGTTGAAATAACAGAGTGATATTTGATATTAACATTGTTTTTAGCATGCCCTATCCCAAGAATATGTTGCACAATTGAGGTCTTCGTTTGCTAAACAAGAGGTGAGTATATCATGTGTTGTAGTCTGTTATGTTTTAATTTATGACTGTGAAATTAGGAGAAACTTCCACAGACTATAGTTATTTGATTATACAGAGATCCTTGGGACATGGCCCACATTCGATAGAATCCCTAAGTTAGTAACGCTGAGGTTACACGTAGTGTCAGGTAAAAAGACAAATCGATTGACGATGCTGTTGGGGCGTTCAAGACGTGTATTACGCACGTCTAGCCAGCCCCTACTCTGACCTTTGGGCACTAAATTTGCATTTAATAGTTTGTAGTTTTAACTTCAATTATATGACGAAAGATTAAAAGGAATCGATTCAGTAATAAAAACTTGCATATAGATAGTTTTTGAAACTAAAGTTGCTTAGATGATTTGTAGGAAAAAATCAACACTGTTTGAAGTGAAAAGTGATAAATTCGAATCTCAAAGTGAACATCGACTCATTAGGATGCAGGTAAATTCAGCTGACAATCTACCAATAGATCGAAACTCGCGGCCTGTATTTTACTGCTACTAACAATTTATCTAACTCCGCCTGGAGTCCCTCTGGGGGCTACTGCCGGTCCCAAGCCCGATAAAGGAGGAGGGTTGGGCATGGGGTTAGCGTCCCCATCCCGTAGAAAACTAACTCGCTAAAAAAACGCTAACCAGAAAAAATTATTCAAACCTTTTAAACTTTGCCCTGGGAGTCAGAAGGTCTTCATTTAGAAGAATTATGACGCCTCATGATGAAAGCCGAATTCCTTCGGAAGTTACGAGGCTGATGCCCCTTCTGACAACCAGAGCGACCATTTATTTAGGTACATGGAAAGTAACAATTTATCTATTCTATAAAAGTGATATACATATGAAATCAAACAATCTATCTCTTAGCTAGATGATCTAAAAAGTTTCAAATACCACAAATTACGACAATATTAATTTTAACCTCATATCAAATATCCCAATAAATCCAAAAAGGTAAAGAACAAATACAGTTGAATAACAAGGACAGAATATAGTCTCCTAGATATCAATATAAACGTTAAATGGGTGATAAAGAGTGAAAAACAGAATAATCAAAATAAGAAAGGATATGGTCTGTGTTATAATAAGAACAAACACCACTTACTAGATGATCCATCTATTGTTGAGCCTTGATCATGATTAGTTGATCCAGTTAAATTATACTTGGATGAATTCATTGATAATTTACGTGGTGAATTTCTCTGAATAGAATTATTCAATGTATTTCTTGATTGTTCTTGATTATTGTTATTATGATTAATAAATTTGATTTGTTCAGTTAATTCAACATTAGAACGTATTAATTCATTTAGATGTTCATGTAAACGATTCTCTTCTTTTTTCCATTCTTGTTCTTTCACCTCTAAACGTGAAACTGAAAATTGAACCAATTTACAACAAAAATGTATCACCAGTAAAAGATTGTTTTAATGAACAAAAGAGAGTAGAGCAAAGAAGATAACAACAGATAAAAAAAAAGGAGAAGGCAATAAATCACAAATATAATGTCGTATTATACGCTATCCGATTCTGATACTGATACACATACTTCTTATCGGCGAAAACTCGAACTAGCTACTAAGTGAGAAGTCTGAGAGTGAAAGGAAAGCATTCTATTGGGTAATCAAATCGACAAATAACTGTAAACTCATTTATATATAATGTTCTTCAAAAATCTAAACTACAATTTCTTTTTACCTATAATGTGTCGAATTTCTTAGAAAAGGAAGTCAAATCCTGCTCAATCGCGTGCGCTTATTATCTTCATGACGTCTGACTGGTCCATTGTATCATATACAATGAGTTAGAAACTGTAATACAAGTGAGTGAGCAGATAAACACCAGCGAAGTAGATAGAATAAAATATGAACAATCAACTTGAATGATTGCAAATCGAATGTTTCAACTTATTATATCACAGATTCACAAGATAATATATTCACAATGAAACCTGTAATATTTGTTTATTTTCTGCCATAAATAATGAACCCATCAACAATATGTTCATACGCCACTGATTCCCTCAGGATCGTGGAGTTCATGTGGAATCATGGTCTTTCAACTCCGCTATGTGGATCCTTAGTACCCACCATCACAGTTTTAGCTTCTCATCCTCTCAATTACATCAATAACACCACCGCCGTCAGAAGTCAGTGAGTAGGACTTCCTTTGCAGCGAGTACATACACGTGGCCACATAGGCACTATATGTATATAAATTACATTCATTTGTAGCTATCATATTTCCTTTAACAATATACTTGAGGTGATCAGTAATAGTTATTACACGATTTCAAATAGTTTAACGGTCAAAAAACAAATCAAATGACTTCAACCATATATTTATAATACTAAATGTAAACAATGTGAGTTAACGTGGTCACAAGATGTAAGCTTGACAAAAAAAGACACTTTTCTATTTATTCAGACAATTATTGAATACCTAAAATCACATGTACACACTGGAACTGACATACAGTACGTAATGATATATTATCAAGTGTTATTTTTGTTGCTTATTTTTCAATAGTAAATTTAAATTAATCTAAACTGATAATCAAGGATAAGTTTATGTACTTGGAGATTTGAAACAGATATTTATACTTAAGAAGCCAATGGAGTAGTGTATAATAAATAGTTAAAGCGCTCAAGTACGGGTTCAAATTCCGTTCCATTCACTTTGATTCCCAGGATATTGGTAATATCACTAACCTTCCATAAAACCACTATGGTTCAAAGCTGTGGACGTAAATATTTACTTCTTAAATGTTTTAATAACATCAACTGGTTACCTAAATTGAAGTAAACAGTTGAGATAAGATTCCATGTGTAGTTGAACAAATATTACCTTTAAACAGTATAGGATGTATATCAATCCAATTAGTATGTACAGTCAAGTTTATAAATAATACTTTAGGTAAAATACACAAATCAATCAATGAGAACGTAAACTTAGTGGGATATGGTAGTACATGTATGTTCAACAGTAAAAAAGTACTTAGTGCCCTACAAGATTCCGACTTCCACAAACTAGATCAATTTCCAGTTGTATCAGGTGACAGACAACAATCTAACTACTCAATCATATTCTACCCTGAAGACGTGAATAATGCACACATCAAGCGTAGATTGATGTAAACGATATTAAGTAATCTACAATAAAGACTGTCAAATTATTCCTTGTTTGTGATGAGATAACTCACTGAAGAATGAGAAGATTGAATCACTTTGTTAGTTATATCCATAACTAACCAATCAAATCGTTGCTTAGGCTCGCACCACGTCAATATGGTCTGATGTATCTGCAGACTATCCCTAATACATGTAACCTGTCAATTGAAGGACATTATTATCCTGTTATATTATTGTGACTCAATTTTTATTCGTTTCGATAAAACAAGCAATACTGGTCGAAACGGATAAAGTTGTCCTTGTTCTGATTATAACTTTGACATAGACTCTGGGGTCGCCAGGATCGCGTTTACAGTCCTATTAGAATATCTGTAGAACAAATTGAATCCTACAACTTCACAGATTTGATAGAACTGTTGATTTAATGCAACTCATTCACTAAGCAGTGCACGTTTTTGGGATTGTTTTTCAGATACTATTCGTGTGTGTGAAGGTCAGTGATGCTATTCAATTATCCAGACCAGAAATAAACGGGACGAGATTCAAACCTGTAATCTACTGGTTGAGAACGGAATGTATTAATTACGAAGCTATCACTATGCATTATTGATTCCAGAATCTCAAATTGTATGTTCTTTGATATTGTAGAAAGAATCTATGAACACACGATGCTGAACCTCTCAATTACTAACATGGTGTTGCTGCAAGATGTCAGAAATCCTTCGGATACAATGATAATCAAACACAGAGTCATCTAACATTCACAATTCGGAGGCCAGATCTCACAACCATAGAGCAAAACTCGCACCGACGCGTTGTAGCTCCGAACTTTTACAGCCAGACTAACATCACGAAGGCGTCAAAAATCGTCCATATTGGCCGCTCTAGCCTTCACTATATCTAAATTGATCTCATTACTCACACCACCACAAGCACTTAAGCAGCTACCCAGATACACGAACTTCTCGACTACTTCTGTCTACCCACTACCCAGGGTGAGTCCAAGATCAAGGTCCTGTGAGTCTTGTAGAAGTGCTTTGCACTTCGAAGGTGCAAAGCACATACCATACCTACGGACACTGATTGCCAACTGATTAAGTGCGGATTGCATGGCTTGGGCATTATCGCACAGTAAGACAATATCACCCGCATACTCAAGGTCAAGAAGTCTTTCTCCAGGCAACAGATCCACACCACCATTACTTACATTCATCAGAGCTGTTTCCAGAATGTCATCGATGACAAACTTGAAGAAGAATGGTGAGATTCAGCAACCCTGCCTAACTCTACTGCTTGAATGGAACAATGGAGAGAGGTGGTTGTATGCCCTCACTCTGCCTGAGGTGTTTGTATATAGGGCTTTTAGGATGTTAATAAACTTCTCAGGCACACCCTTCTTCAATAGACAATCCCAGAGAACAGTCCTGTCCAACGAATCGAAGGCAGCCCTGATGCCAAGAAACACTACGATTGTTGGCAGGTGATAAGTATGACAATGTTCTAACATTTGGCGGAGGGTGAAGATATTATCAATACATCCTCGACCAGAACGAAAACTAGCCTGCTCCTCGTGAGTCAATCTTTCTCGGGTTTTGAACAATCTACCAAGTATGATGGAAGCCAGTAGTTTGGACGCGATCAGAATCAGACTTACCCTCCAGTAGTTGTCGTAGAAACGACGCGAAGATAGGGACAACTGTCGGCTCGTTCCACGGTGTTGGAATACTCTCGAATTCACGGACCTTTGTAAACAACTCAGTCAGTTCCTTAACCAGGAAGTCACCATCGTCTTTAAGAAGGGTCAGAGTTCTTTGTAGACTGCTGCTTCATCAGGTGGATCAGTCCTCACCGGACATGGATGGTAGGATAGTCTGATCGATGTTGTCAGGGTAGCAGACTAGTAGAACGGCTCCTCGAAAAACTCTGCTCATCGTCCAACACGTCAGTGGATGTTATCGTTTAGCATCCGGTCAGCTCCATGGATTGTTTCACTCACAACAGACTTCTTTATGCCAGTGACTTGGGTGAGTTGAAAGAGATTCTGGTAATTACCGAAGGCAGCTGTTGTTTCTATCTCACTAACACGGTCCGACCACCAGGCTTCTCGGTCCCTACACAAGCTTTGCACAATTTCATTACGTAAACATCTTTGTTAATGGTCAACCTCACAGTCAACTGGAATATACCGATGGTCTTTAATCAGTTGTAAGCAGCCTGGAGAAATCCAGTGCTTATGAGTGAGACGTTTCGCGAAGCGGCAAGCGACTTTACTCGCCGTTTTCATGGCGTCATGTAATTGCGACAAATGCCCATCTACATTTTTCGGTGGATTGATAGCTAGCCTTGAACCTAGCTCGGTTTGACAATTAGTTGCAACATAAACTGCAACCAATTTTCTGACATCGATCCGTTTAGGATGACGAAATTGTTGTCCACTGAAACGTTATATCAGCGCAAACGAGGACATGACCACAATCCCGATAGGTACTACAAAGGGAGAGGCGGTTTTGTACACAACCACGTCAATGGTAGCTGACCGCGAGGTGATCAACCTGGGCCCAGATTCAAGATGCTGAGGAAGAACACCAGGTAGCACATTCGCGATGACTGTGCCGAAAGTTAGTGCTAGCCAAAAACATGTTGTGGTCTGCGCACAGTTGCAGTAGACGGTCACCGTTATTAGACCTTCGACCACCAACAAGTACCCATCCGCCACCCAAATGACTCTCTTTTGTGCTTAGACGCCCGATCTGAGCATTCAAGTCTCCGGCTAGTACTACAACATCTTTCCGACACACTTTCTGTAGAAGAACTGTTAACTAGTGGTGAAACATTCTTGATCGCACACTATAAATGTGAGGGCTAGTTGTCCAAGCCCAGTCAGCTAGACTGAGGAGTTCGAATCCAAAAATTAGTGGCTAAACGTCAAAAGAATCAACAAGTAAGATCCTAAAGTAAACCTGAATGTAATATTATAGTTTAAGATTACAGGTAAGAAAATAAAGGTAACGCGATTTGACTCAATGCACTAATTCACCCCTTTTATTGATGGTACCACGTCCACGTAATTATTATTTAGGTACTAGTCAGCTTAGTTTATACTGTTAGATATTTAGTTAACAAACTTAACTGCAAAGTATAACTACTTGGTCATAATTAAATGGTACCAATTTGCATCAGTCAGTAACAATACCACGACATAAAATGTCACCGAAAAGGTCGAACATATCTCGACAGATTTTATTGCTTAAATATAACTTCAATGTGATTATTTATGATTATTAAAAAGATGTATATAGAATGTGAAAGAATATAGGTATAGGGAATAAATGAAAAAAACAAACCTTGATCTTTAGCCAACTGAAGTCTCAATTCCGTTTGCCGACAAGATGTGGACAATGACTCATTTTTTGCCTCATTCACCTTTCTCTCTTCATCAAAAGCATCCTCTGCATTTAGTAAACGCTAAAGTTTTAAATTTGCATCAAAAGTAAGTTTAATGAGTTTAAAGTCGAGCAGAACCAATTGAAAATTTTATCACAAAAATATGATATTTGAAATATGATACACTCTTTTAAGCCCCTACGAACAGTAATCATGCTACAGCTTACACGCAGTTCAGAGGTAAAAATAATGATGTATGATGTGACAGTATACGGTCAACCTTCCAACACCAGCTTTGTGATCATTGAATAGCACAGAAATCGTTTACTAACAAACCGTATACACTATATCAGTATACAATGCCCCCCAAATGCCCTCGTACGGCCGAGGGTCGAAATTCGCTCCCTTCTCGAAATGCTCTCACATGGTCACACGTATACAGCCACTGCCAGCGAAGTCCTCGCAGCGGGAGTGTTGTTTATGAAATTGAGAGGACGGAAAGTGAATGTCCAGCGCGGAAACTGGGTTGGTGGGCACGGAGGACCCACCTAGAGGAGTCGGAAAACCACAATTTCAAACCAATGGTGTACATGGGCTCCAGGATCCTGAGGGAACAAATGGTGTATGGACCTCCTGTTGGTCACCAGCTACCATAAGACTGCATCTCCTGACGTTACTCTACTGCCTTATGGATCAGACATTTAGGTCTAAGGCTCCGGGTGTGACTCCCTAAGAAAACCATCTGCTTCAGTTTGAACACCCGAGCAGAACCACAGACCACACACAAATTAATTGACTTGTGTAGCACATATGTATTCGGTGCTCCTTTGTACTAATATTTATATGTTCAATAAATAAATACAATATTTTATAATATGAATGCATATATATATATATATATATATATATATATATATTTGTAGAATGATTTTTCCAGTTTCTTTCGTGCACAGTGGGGACACGCGAACACAAGAAGATGGAAGACAATGTCGAACTTTAGCATGGAACTACGGATGACAAAGAACCCAGTTTTGAACCTGGGTTAAGTAGGGTGAATGTGTAACAGGCTACGTATATCCGAGATGCTGGCTGAGAAGTTTACACAAACCAAAAGCTGTGACATTATGCCGTAAAAGACCAAATAGATAACCTTTTCTGGTAGTAATATTTATTATCTGACTTAGTAATTATTAAAGTTCGAAACATCAATTGGACTAATTTTTTTCTTCAAAATTCACTCACCATTTCGGACTGTTTTCGAGCAGCCTTTTCAGCAGTAAGTTGGTCATAAATATGCTCATTCTCTTCACGTAATTGTCTGACTTCAGCGTGGTATGCAGATTGATCTTTATATAGGTCATCCAAATTTTCTAGTAGACTAATTATTAATGGCATTAAACGTTCAACAACGGGTAATCCATAAGCCTCAATCATAGTTTCAAACTCTTTGTATATACCAGAAGCTATACACTGAACTCGTTCCGACATAACCACTGAAACATGTGAGCTACGATCTAATTCGTTGAAATTTGAGGATAAATAAACATCGTCAATATCATTAAAAGGAGGCTTCAAGTTGAGTAATTTCTTTTCTAACTCAGCACCACCATTCGTAATATTTTCATGAACTATTGCACTTTCAGGAGAATGAGACATTCTAACTGGAAATATTCAAAAACAGTAATAATAAAGACTCGGCAAAGTGGTGATCTTCCAATTTAATATTGTAATGAGAAGAAAATTTGAAGTACAATTGCAAATGGCAAGAAAAAGATAAATCGTAATAATAAGAGCAGGTAGTTACCAACAGTGATTCGGCGCTGAGCACATTAACCTGAATTGAATAGAACAGATTACACAAAAGACAACGGAATTAGCACGAATATATATTGGTTTAAACTCCCACACTTCACAGTGGGTATAGTAATGGAGTGAAAATAATACTCACGTTAGTCGTAAACTAAACACGGAAAAGATAAAACAAGAAACTCGTGTTAACATTACGCACTGCTGTGTCATTTAACACTGCATGTCCTTAATTTGTAGTCATCGTTCTAAATAAAAAACCAGAATATATAGTAAACTGTAGTTATCTTCCCTTTACTTATGTTGACTATACATGAAAATAAGTATATGTGAACGATCAACGACTGTCTGGTGATATGGTAACAGTCAGTTTTACTCCACCCTAAGAGTTACTATATTATTGAAACTACTTTGCCATAAGTTATTACATATAATGAAATTCAACGGCTATTTGGTCATTAATAGCTAATCTGCAAATAAAAATTGCAGCTTTCACTTTGTAGATAAAACTGTGTGTATTTAAGAAGCAAATCAAATTCACTTGTGCTTTTCAGGATATATACGTATATATACACGAATATATTCGTGTATTATGAAAGGATATACCCTTGCATAGTTAAAGGTGTCAACCTAATAGACTATAAACTAAACCAAAGAATTCACTTATAGCTGCAGCTTTCCAAGTTGAGTTAGAAAAAATTAACGCCAAGTTTACCTTGGAACGACTAACACTGTACCGATGTATTATTGGCGTTTGTTTGAAAGCAGGAGAGATTTAAAAACAACATGCAGACCAGGGCCAGTGAATATCGGAGGTAAAACATGACGTGCCAGCAACAACGTATATATTTCAAAAATCGGATAACGCGGTTATGTTACAAAAAAGAAAGCTTGTTTACAAAAGTTTCATAAATTATTTGCAAGTCCAGTTCACCCAGGCCTTGTTTTTCTTGCAGCACATATGTAAATATTTACCCTTTGTTGCCCTGTAATAAAAAAACAAACTCACATTAATAACATTGCACAATAATTTCGAATATTTCCACACAACCTCTCTCTCCGTGAGGCACTGTCCTCAGTGTCTGACTGTGGACATGGACATGCTATGTCTTCTTTTGATGGTACTTCGTAATAACTGGTGGCAGATGAGTGTTTACAAACTGGGTACCTGAATGCACCATCTTTCGGTCTAGTTCCAAGCGGTTATAGTGTACTGTTATAACGTAGTCTTTAGGCCGATGACGGTTGTGTAAGATGAAGGTGGTGGGAGGTCGAATAAGCACAATTTTGTAAGGCCCTTCCCAAGGATGGTGGAAGTTGCTACGTGCTCTTGGTGGAGACAGGGAGGTGAGGCCAAACACGATCGCTAGTTTTTACACCAGCCCGTCAATTCCTCGGTCGCATAAGTTTTCCTGGTTTTGACCAGGCACTACGCGTCGACCAGACAGCTACGAAGATTATGAATGTATGATACGTGTTCTTGAGCCTCATATAGTAACGAGGGCATTTGTATCCCAACAGGCAGATGCAATTCATGCGCAAAAGTAGGGTGACGATTGAAAACCCTGTAGACCCATGCAATGGTGTGCGATAAGCTAAGAAGCATTGTAGTACCGCATTATCCCAACATCCAGTCGACTCACTGATGAACGATTGTAGTAGGGCCTTAATGGTCCTGTTTGTCCTTTCCAACAGGCCACTACCCTCTAATAGGTACGCAGTGGAATGTGCTTTTCAAATTTACAATATTTGTGATACTTGAGAGACGAGATGACTTCTAGAGTGCACGGAAAAGCAATCAACTTTCAAACTTCACCGCGCTTTCTTCTCCACGACCTTGAGCGTCCTAGATGATAGCATTCATTTCAAGTGTCGGTTGCTAGCATGGTTCTCAGATATTTGTATATTTACGTAGCCCGCTTATATCTGAAAGCCACCAAAGTCGTTGTTAGCATCATAAACTATGTTCTTTTTCATTTTTAGCGTTTTTTACTGCTGTGTAACACTTTTGAAAAACCGGTCGAACAATTTTGTTGGAGATTCTATTATAACCGGGTATTTAAATAACATAGCTGAAAATAGTCGCAAACTAATCTATAGACTGATAATCTGTGTGATAAATAGTTCTTTTTATTACTAAATAGAAGATGACTGACAGTCAGTGAGTCTAGATATGTTGTCGTCTACCATTAGTATTACCAGTACGTTCAGCCAGGAAAGTAAACCAGAAGATTTTGGGACAAACAATAAACCGTGAGGACTACAAATCGAAAGTGACATTTCAGACCAAGTTTCTGAATGAACGTGCGAACATCATGCCGAACGGTTTGCAAGGATTGAAGTCGCTTACCTCGACGGAATGAACTATATCGGAGCCAGGAAAAAATGCACTTGCATAGGTGCTACGGTTTCGGCTGCAAGTGAAGCCCTCGTCGACATAATTTGCATGTGACGGTTGAAATGATTGAAGGTTGACGGTGTGAACATCGTTGTTGGTTGGACCATTAGGACTTATAAATCGGAAAACTCTGGATTTAGCTCATCGTAGACCGGCTGCATGACGGATTAAGCTTTCGGAATATCTATCGACTAGATTTTTTTATATTGAAAACCATCTGACCTAATAGCCCTGTTGCAATGACTCCTTGCTTGTTTGAACTGCCTATATGTGCTGTTGTCACTAGTTTGATTATGTCCCGTCCATTATGGCCCTGTGACCCCAAGGATTCGAAGAGTGGGGTTCTCACTGACTGTCTGCCGCCTGTTATTTTTGGTAACCGTTTGCGGGACAGACTGTGTGGTAAGATATAAGATCGTGCGCAGTAGGAAATTCCGATGAGCATTCACATCAACTGGTGGTTAGGCTTTCCAGTTCGCCTGCTGTAGACTGACCTGCAAAGGTGACACTTTCAAATATTTGAAATCACAGTGCTTGTAAGACACTGTAACCGCTCATACACAGAGGGACCCAGGATTGAGAGGTTTTCAATTAGGAATCCTTCGTTTATGAGTACGGAGTCTGGGCGTGATGGCGTTCAACTGCTTCTCCAGGGAGTTGCTGACTTGACACCTTGATATAATCCCAGATCTTCGATGAGTTTGAAGAACCAAGCCTCATTAGAGTTGTCATCTCCACTGTACGTATGTTCAGCACAGTTGACTTTAGGATGATTGAAGTTGCCAATAATAAGGATATGAGTGTTACCAAAACGAATGGACAATCTCACTGAGCACTACACAAATTTATGAAGACCGATAAACTCTTGAGTGTACACATGATGTTCTACCACACAAAGCCGTAAGTACAGAGCTTCTCCGCACCACATTCCTGTTTTTCTGTCGTTTCATTTAATAACTGTACACCTTACCTCCAAAATTCCTGATTTAACAATAGCCACTGATTTCAGTATTAACCTCACTCCTAATTAACAATAACTATATACTCATATATTCTATCTAGTTAAGTGGGCTCTCTACTTACTCAAATGCCAGTTATGACTAGTAATCCCATTAAAAGAAAAATTTTACCTCAACCATCTTAAAGGTCAATATCTGTAACCCCTATGTCTGATGAATCAGTGCATGACAAAGTCACTTTCATCTTCTGAACTATACGCTTCTTATCCACAAATATAACTATCACTGTCTGATCACCCGCGTGAATACCCCTCCAGATATTTATGCAGTGTGTTAACAGTAAGGCTGATTGATATCAAAGGTATAACACCCACACATACGGAAAAGTCAACACAATTTAGCCATCAATAGAGTATACTAAAGTCAGAACCCAAATATTCACAAACCAATGAGCCAAATATTTCGTTCTGCACACACCAAAATACTGCTCGCTTTAATATGGATATAAGACAGTTACAAAACTTACTCGCAGGAATTAAAAATGGACCTAACGAGCTAACACCCCTCACGCATATATCCGCCCCGAGCAGTCACAAAAACCCAGAACCAACTGGGGCCGAATGTATCTTAGAGTTTGTAGTTAGAGAAGTAGTGGAAAGAGTAATGTCTTCCTGCAATGCGGCTGTGTACAATCGCCCTGACTCTACATTACACAATATGCTGAGGGTTATTTGCCTTTAAGTACTATACAAGGACGTAGAGGTCGCTCGACGCTTAACACCCCCCTCCGATGTCGTGTAAGAAAATGTGAGGCGATAGGGTCGCAAATTAGTGTTATAGCAAGTAACCAACTAGAAACAAATTCAAATAACATTAAGAGTATCGAAGACATCTATCTTGGGCATGATGTGAATACTTAAACCGTTAATAATTCCATGGGTATAGACTGGTCCATAGACTAGGAATTTTCAAACAGGATACAAATTCCAACGACCACTAACGCCGTCTACAATACTAATCCAGGCTTTTCTCATGGTAAACTGCTTGAATATGATCAATATGACGACACACAACCAACCAAACCTAATCAAGCAGAAACTAGTCCTCCTATGTTTATTACACAAGATGACCTGGATGAACATGAATTCACTTAACAGACCATCCCTAAAACACCAGGAATCTCTTTAGACCTGGCGACGAAGGGTGAACAGACTAAATCCTCGACGTCAAATAAAGAAACAAGTAAGCTGAACCCGACGTCTCTGTGGCTCTCCCAATAACCTTGAACAGACTCTCCCCCTTGACATTATGCGACTCACCCCCCAACCACTCTGTGGCAAAACAGGTGTTAAGCACAAGCGTAAATTACTTCTGAGCACTCATACTAATGAAAATTATCAAAGTGCTGGTCACTCTACTAACCCGCTAAAGCCTAGAACTAATAACTATAGTGACAATAGATTTATCACCATATACCCCATCTGTAATCTTTGGATCACAGGTGTAATTACTCTCAGAACGTAAACTTTCACATCCTACAGTACCAACTGACCCTATAACAATGGAAATCAAATATAAAAACGATCATAACAACTGCCAATTACAACAGCAACTCCTCATCAAGCTCACATCACTGCAAATAGCTGTAACTACAATTGGCGGTACACAGCACAGTTGGCGTGCTCATGATTTTTTAGAATACAGCTCATAGTGACACACATATCATATATCCGAAGATAATAATAACTCAGTTACCTAAAATTCATTAACGTATTGGATCATTTGGTTAATATACGTTTTATCAACGCTCTGTTTTTTCAATAAACGGAAAGATTTAGTCCTGTTTCCATCCCTTTATCAACTGTCACTTATGATAATGTATGAAGCACTGATTATCATTAATATTTCCTATCTAATTATATCTGATTATGATTATTGTCTATATCGAAGTGGTAGATTACAAAGACCAGGTGGGGACTGCATTAACCAAACACATTCTGGCTCAAACTCACTTTTGTAATATGCTATAACTAAACAAACTACGATATTTTGTGTGATTTGTTCTGAATCTCTCAAACTCAGTCTTCCCACTGTCCAGATGCGTTTACCTTACACGTAATTTATCAACGGGTGAAATACTAATATCACCAAAAGTATTCATATAAAATATCCCCGATATTCATAGGCAAGCTTATTTCAAGGGACTTCAGTATGCCTGAAATTTATTTGTTTTCAGTCTGAACATCAAAAGGTTTAGAGCCATTAATTGAGACCTCAGAGATTAAACAGTGGACCCAGTTTATCAGTAGACCAATTAGACATCGAAATGTCTGAGATTTAATTACACTTGTAACCTCACCCACGACACAGTGCATATTAGAAAACGGCTTCAAGGTAGTGGCCATATTACTGCCATCCATGGTCTCAATACTAACATTCTATCCAGTTAACGTAAGGACACCAGAAATTCTCCCACAACACCAGTAACATATTCCGCAAAACCGCACTCTGAAGGTGCTGGAACATTCTACTGAACCCACTGGAAGTCACCCTCGAAGCAACGCAAATATCTTCCGAAGGATATCACTCCACCAACAATCGAAGAAATCGGCATGCCCATCAGACAAATTAAGAGTGGGAAGGTAGCAGAACCAGAAAGCATACCAGTGGAAGCATTGAGTCCCGACATGTACGTAACTGAAAAGATGCCTCACGTTCTATTCAGGAAAATTTGAGAGAAAGAAACAGTTCCACCAAACGGAAAACAGTATAACTCGAGATACCGAGGAAAGGAGATCTCAGCAAATGTTATTCTATGGAAACATCACAATAACATCGGTACCAAGAGAATTTTTTAATAGATTGTTGTTGAACCGAATCAAAGATTCAGTAGACGCCCAACTTCAAGGTCCATAGTCCGGATTCGCTAAGGAACGGCCGTGTGCAAAACAAGTGGCAACACTACGGATCATTGTTGAAATATCAATTGAATGGTACTCATCACTATACACCAACTCACTCAACCATGAGAAACTACTTAACAGTGTGGATAAGAAGAAGGACCCTATGGATCCTTCCTTGACACTATGATGTACCTAAGAAAGTCGTCAGCATCATATGGAACTCATACGATAGACTACATAGCAAAGTCGTGCATGTAGGACAGCTGGCAGACGCACTCTAAGTGAGGACAGGAGTCATGCACGACTGTTCACTCCCCCTCTTCCTATTTCTTCTGGTGGTTGACTGGACGATTATGGAGACCTCTACATCACAAGGGAAGCACAAAATTCACTAGATGGCTTGTATGCAAATAGATTATTTGGACTTTGCAGATGACAGAGCTCTTCTGTCCCACTCACCTCAACAAATGTAGGGGAAGACAGACAGTGTAATAGCAACCTCTACATTAGTGTGTTACGTCCAAATTTTGCTCGTTCCAGTTATTGAAGTACGGACTATCGATCTACTTGCAAATTACGAACC